TGTTTACGTTTACTTTTTTAAAAAACCATTCCTTTTCCTTTAGTGTTCAGATGAAAGTTTAGATAATTTTGTCATCGCCAATTAACATTCAGCCATTCATTTCCTTTACTCTCCTAACTGATCACAAGATTTATCTTCCCTTTCTTAATTCGCCCTAACACTGGTTGCTAGAGACAACTATGCCAAAAAATGTAAACAAAGATAGTGGTATACATATATATATATATATATATATATATATATATATATATATATATATATATATATATATATATATATATATATATATATATATATATATATATATATATATATATATATATACTTTCACTTTGATGATTTTTTGTTTATATATATATATATATATATATATATATATATATATATATATATATTCACTTTGATGGTTATTTTTGTACTTTCTGTATGGCTGTTTAACATTGTTTTGAAACATTGATGCATATTTAAATTTTATGAGAGCAATTAACCCACTTTTACAATTTTAATTTAACACACTGAGATGAATCAGCTAATCAGCATGCAACTATTACCCTCCAGTGCAGGTGTACCTACGGAGTTATTTATTTGTAGCGTGTAGTACTCTTATACCATTGTGATTTTATTTAAACTATTTCAATATTTATTTATTTATTGGCTAGCCAAGATTTATCGACCAGGAAAATATCAGAAAATATTTGTATACAGCCCATCTCAGTATTTAAGTGACATATCAGTTTTTACTCTTTTGTATTGACCTTCGAACTAAAGTCACGTGATCTGTACACGAGGTCATGTCTCCTTAGAGCTATCTAAAAGTAGGCAGATCCCGCTAATGTGAAGGTCAATGGTCTATTCGGTTTCATGTTATACAGCTAAACTCAAGGCGAGACAATACAAATAAATGTGTTTAACTTTTTAAAAAACACAAATACACAACGAATTATTTGTAGCTAATATAACTTACACAAGGAGTGGGGCTTATCCTTCGTGTTACTTCTGAGAATCCCCCATAGTTATTCACATTTTCAGTAACTGATTTGATCTACGTAGCTTTAGTTAGGAAGTAAAACCCATCGAGTGTCTCAGTTTTGATAATTACGATTTGTTTATTATTTTAAATTAAAGCATTTAGATCTGTTTTCTTTTTGCGCCAGTTGTATTCGTTAATGTGATGTTTACTTCAAGTAACTTGCTAAATGATGACAATGAAAATCTGGGCAGCACAATTTTTAAGTGAAAAAAAAAATTTTATGAAAAAAATGTAATAACGTTGGATTTAGACAATGATACTATTCCTAAATTTTAAAAACTTTTTTGTCAACATTTAATAGAAAATATATCGCAGGAAAGTATTTTAAATTGTAAACTTTTATTTGTATAAATTATTTTTTTTAATTAAAGCAACATTAATATCGATAACTGTACACATTTAAATTGATGAACACCCCATTTTCTTAACAGTAGTGCATGCTGTTTTTGTTTCATTTAAAGAATTTGAGTTGAACTTTTCAACAAGTTAACCTGATGTGTTCAGCTGTGTCTAACCATGCAATGTTTGAATGATTCTTGTTAACCCACTCGTCTGGCTCGACCATTGGACATTCCTCTTACACAGGAGACGTACTACAACCAATGAAAAAAATTCACTCATTTCAAATCTTTTTGTTTCATCCAATCAGGAACCGGAACACCATTGATTGGCTCTAGTCAAGTTGAAAAACTAAGCAAAAATGTACATCTTGTTAATTGCTACAGAGCGTTTATTTTTTTTTAAATTGAATAACGATTCAAACGGATATTTGAAACATGCTCAAGTCATTTCTGTCCAATCAAAAAAAAAAGTTTGTTCTGCTGACGTGGCACTAAATAAATATCAAAAAGTCTCTGGTTCAAGGCCGTGGTAACTAGGCGACAACTCCTCAATGGTGTTCCGTTTGACCTGACCCCATCTTGAAACCATCACTGACCTAACGCCATATTTAAAACATCACTGACCTAACGCCATCTTTAAAACATCACTGACCTAACGCCATCTTTAAACCATCACTGACCTGACGCCATCTTGAAACCATCACTGACCTAACGCCATCTTGAAACCATCACTGACCTGACGCCATCTTGAAACTATCACTGACCTTATCTTAAAACCATCACTAAACTGACGCCATCTTGAAACTATCACTGACGCCATCTTGAAACTATCACTGACCTTATCTTAAAACCATCACTAAACTGACGCCATCTTGAAACCATCACTGACCCCATCTTGAAACCATCACTAAACTGACGCCATCTTTAAACCATCACTGACCCCATATTGAAACCATCACTGACCCCATATTGAAACCATCACTGACCCCATCTTGAAACCATCACTAAACTGACGCCATCTTTAAACCATCACTAAACTGACGCCATCTTGAAACCATCACTAAACTGACGCCATCTTTAAACCATCACTGACCCCATATTGAAACCATCACTGACCCCATCTTGAAACCATCACTAAACTGACGCCATCTTTAAACCATCACTAAACTGACGCCATCTTGAAACCATCACCATTGTTTATTTCAGCATGAGCAGCTTTACCATAGGTGCCTTTGTTTTATTGTGCGAAGCGACTGGCACTTGTTCTAGAAAGATTAATTCTTTTTTCAACTCTTCTTCTTCTGTTTTGTAAAAAAGAAGCAGATATAAATACTTTTTTTCTTTTTAGCTTGATTAGGATCCGATTATTTTGTGTGTACAAAACCCTGTAAACCCACGAAACACACAAAAATGTTTTTTTTTTTTAAATCATTTCTTCTGTCAGTCGAATATCTTACAGCCTTATAATCGGTGTCATTAATTTAACAATATGGGGCACTATATGTTATAAATTACTTTATTAAGGTATTATTCTTTGGTGTTACTGTAATTGTTTCACTAAAAGTGCCCCAGCTAGTAGTTTTACACCAACCGTTGATCACGTGTTGGTTGGTTGCTCATGTCGTCATCCATTTCCTCCCAGATTTTTCCCTTTCCGCAAACCAGCTAAAGACGAGGATAGACACAATGTTTGCCAACAAATGCAGCAATTTTTTTACTTTTTATATTTTAATGCCTTTTGTAATACGCAAGTTTTGTTTCGTATATTTTTTAAAAATATTTAACTCTACAAATACACATTGCTATTGTGTAGGTTGTATTTTTGACCAGACTTTTGTACTATAATTAGTTTGAGAACTATGAACCCCATGATACTGTACTTACTTTGTCCAACTTTTGTCCAGTATTTTAGTGAGTAAAATTTTAGAAGCTTTTCAACTAATTTTGTCTTGTGTTGTATTTCTTTGCGGTTTTTTTTTTACTCCATCTGAATTTAGAGATACTGGGGGTGGGTTCCCATCCCTCCACCAACTGAAGTGGGTTCCCGTCCCTCCACCAACTGAAGTGGGCTCCCGTCCCTCCACCAACTGAAGTGGGTGCCCGTCCCTCCACCAACTGAAGTGGATTCGCGTCCCTCCACCAACTGAAGTGGGTTCCCGTCCCTCCACCAACTGAAGTGGGTGCCCGTCCCTCCACCAACTGAAGTGGGTGCCCGTCCCTCCACCAACTGAAGTGGGCTCCCGTCCCTCCACCAACTGAAGTGGGCTCCCGTCCCTCCACCAACTGAAGTGGGTGCCCGTCCCTCCACCAACTGAAGTGGGTGCCCGTCCCTCCACCAACTGAAGTGGGCTCCCGTCCCTCCACCAACTGAAGTGGGTTCCCGTCCCTCCACCAACTGAAGTGGGCTCCGGTCCCTCCACCAACTGAAGTGGGTGCCCGTCCCTCCACCAACTGAAGTGGATTCGCGTCCCTCCACCAACTGAAGTGTGTTCCCATCCCTCCACCAACTGAAGTGGGTGCCCGTCCCTCCACCAACTGAAGTGGGCTCCCGTCCCTCCACCAACTGAAGTGGGTGCCCGTCCCTCCACCAACTGAAGTGGATTCGCGTCCCTCCACCAACTGAAGTGGGTTCCCGTCCCTCCACCAACTGAAGTGGGTGCCCGTCCCTCCACCAACTGAAGTGGGCTCCCGTCCCTCCACCAACTGAAGTGGGCTCCCGTCCCTCCACCAACTGAAGTGGGTTCACGTCCCTCCATCAACTGAAGTGGGTGCCCGACCCTCCATCAAATGAAGTGGGTGCCCGTCCCTCCACCAACTGAAGTGGGCTCCCGTCCCTCCACCAACTGAGGTGGGTTCCCGTCCCTCCACCAACTGAGGTGGGTTCCCGTCCATCCATCAACTGAAGTGGGTTCCCGTCCCTCCACCAACTGAAGTGGGTTCCCGTCCCTCCACCAACTGAGGTGGGTTCCCGTCCATCCATCAACTGAAGTGGGTTCCCGTCCCTCCACCAACTGAGGTGGGTTCCCGTCCCTCCACCAACTGAAGTGGGTTCCCGTCCCTCCGCCAACTGAGGTGGGTTCCCGTCCCTCCACCAACTGAAGTGGGTTCCCGTCCCTCCACCAACTGAAGTGGGTTCCCGTCCCTCCACCAACTGAAGTGGGTTCACGTCCCTCCATCAACTGAAGTGGGTGCCCGACCCTCCATCAACTGAAATGGGTTCCCGTCCCTCCACCAACTGAAGTGGGTGCCCGTCCCTCCATCAACTGAAGTGGGTTCCCGTCCCTTCACCAACTGAAGTGGGTTCCCGTCCCTCCATCAACTGAAATGGGTACCCGTCCCTCTACCAATTGAAGCAGGTTCCCGTCCCTCCACCAACTGAAGTGGGTTCCCGTCCCTCCATCAACTGAAGTGGGTGCCCGTCCCTCCATCAAATGAAGTGGGTGCATATATCTAACTGATGTATACCATGTGAATGAACTGTAGGAAATAACACACCCACAAAGAGTATCTCAGCTCAAGCATAGCAGGGTATTTGTGCTGGTACAGCTTTACTCTCTGCTTTTTTTATAACTTGTTTCGCACCTTGGTGCGTAAAATTATCCTCGCACTGGGAAAAAGTTGAACGCTGACTCCAAACTGCGACTGTTGTAATCCGTGGCCATTTTGAAACACCAATAGCAAGTTAGTCTTGGTGTATTTACAAACACACACCACCAAGATGCTGTTTTCGTTATTTGGCAAGGATATTGCTATTAACTTTCCACGCAATAGTAAGTAGTAAGGTTTGGTTTATTGTCGTAGATGTACAATGAGAGATATATACCGCGTAATGGACGCCAGCGAGAAAAGTCTCAAAGGTATTTGAGAGGTCCATAAATTAATTTAAAAATCATGCACGGCGTAGTTACAATTAATATGGTTATAAAATCCTGCATGTCTGATTTTTTTTGGACTTTACTAAAGATTGGATGTATCTGATGCTTTTAATATTTTCGGTAACTAAATAAAAAAAATTTAAAAAGCAAAAACAATTTGGTTTTGACGTGTAATGGCGACATAAACAATCAATGACATCCTGCTATTCGATAGGCCGCCCTAAATTTTATTGTACACATTGTAAGCTAAAAATAGAAAAACTAGGTCATGGGGTTTAAATTTGCATTGTTATTTAAAAACTTGATCTGCAAAGTTTTGTAAACAAATAGTTATCGATCACTAAGTTACTGTACAACCAATCAATATTTGTCTTACGAAAGTGAAACATCCGGTTAAAACTTAGGCTTGATGAAAATAAATAGAAATGTAGCCTTAAACTCAACAAACTATTTTCAAGTTCTCTGGATTTGCAACTTTTATAGCATTTATTCTAAAAATATAAAATTTCTAAATAAATTTTAGGCTTAAGTTTTTATTTTTTATTTTTACGGTCTAAATCTAAAAAGCACGTTTTTATTCCATGTCAACAACATTATGGAAGGAATCTCGTCAACTCGCTGGTGTCCATTCTAGATCTAGATCTAGTAGATTTCAAAGTCATTAGGTTTTTTAAATGTTTAAAATTAAAGACATATTGTAATTAATTGTAAGGTATCTCAAGAATCATACAAGTGGGATACAGATTATGGGGGTCGTTAGGGGATCAGGAAATAATTATTTTCACTGGTGTATTCGGTTGTCCTTTTTAGCGCAATTTCCATACTGGCAATTGCGTTTAATAATTCGTCATTTCTGGATGGATGGATGGATGGATGGATGGATGGATGTGTGTCCGCAGCTTTAAGTCGTATCTCCTCCTCAAAGAAGCAATATCGAGGACTAGTCCCAAAGCAAATATGTTAAGCAAGTTCCGAGGATGATTGTGGGCCAAAAAAATTCCGGGAATTCCTTCCTGGATTTCCCGGAAAAGCCAAAAAACCTCGAAAAAATGCAGTTCTTGGCCCATATCTCGGCAACCAGACCACTTAGCGACTTGAAACATTTACCAATCAATTCCTGCCATAATTTAGAACAATATTGCCGAAGAAAGTTTTCAAAAATATCCTTTCGTTTGGTCACAAAAAAATTTTTAAAATTACATAAAAACCTACAAACCGATCGTTCTCCTAGCTTGCACGCACCCCAGCATTATACGTCTTTGTGATCACTATCTATTTTTAGATAACATAAGGAAATTGCGCTTAAATTGTCACTAGACTTTTTATTAACTTGTTTTTAATTTTGTTTATCACTTTTTAAACTTATTAAATATAGATATAGATCTATGTTGATCTACATGTATATCAATCATTCGATATGGATGGATTGTAATGCAGAATCATTACTTTGAATACTCTGAAATCACTGTGTAGTAAGACAAGGCGGTCCAAGTTGTGTTTTTAGCTGCTAGAACTATTTACACCCCCCACACACATACAGACACACATTTGATCAACATCCTGAGCGGCTTTTTGTTTAGACCTGGGTTAAGTCTGAGAATAAATGTTTCATAGAGTCTGTAGAAGAATTTTTTTTTTATTTTACCCTTTTGTGTGATTCCATTCTATGCTCAATTAAAAAATGTCAGTATTCCCTCTTTCCCCCCCCCCCCCCCCCCACCCCTCTACTCGCCTAGCGTCCCCACTGGAGAACGGCCGAGGCGTGGTCTGGGAGAATGCCGTGGTGACCAGCTACCCGGCCAGCTCGTTCACCCTCAGGTCCATCCTCTCGTCCTGCCAGACGGCGCTCTTCAATGGCGGGAAAACCATCTTTAGGTAGGTCAGAGTCGCGCTGCTACACGCCACACCATATATCATTTACAGCAACCAGCAGTTTAAAATATCCGTTAGTGACAGCCCAGATTTTCGGCTAATGGTATAGAGCAGATCGTGGGGGACGGGTAGGCCGACCATTAAGGCTTGAAAAGCTGGTTCCAAATGGTTCACAAATGGTTGGTGCCAGCAGCGTTTCTTCCAGACTTTTTTCTCCCGGGGGGGGGGGGAGGCGGGGGGAATGCCTGGAAGAAACTCTGGTTGCCAGAGAGCATGTTTTTCAACCTAAATTGAATATTTTATAACGCTTGAGCTTTGGCTAGAAATATTCAAACCAATTTTTTCTAAACCAACAAACCAATTTTTTCTAAACCAACAGACCAATTTTTTCTAAACCTCCAGACCAATTTTTTCTAAACCTCCAGACCAATTTTTTCTAAACCTCCAAACCAATTTTTTCTAAACCAACAGACCAATTTTTTCTAAACCAACAAACCAATTTTTTCTAAACCAACAGACCATTTTTTTCTAAACCAACAAACCATTTTTTTCTAAACCAACAGATCAATTTTTTCTAAACCAACAAACCAATTTTTTCTAAACCAACAGACCAATTTTTTCTAAACCAACAGACCAATTTTTTCTAAACCAACATACCAATTTTTTCTAAACCAACAGACCAATTTTTTCTAAACCAACAAACCAATTTTTTCTAAACCAACAGACCATTTTTTTCTAAACCAACAAACCATTTTTTTCTAAACCAACAGACCAATTTTTTCTAAACCAACAAACCAATTTTTTCTAAACCAACAGACCAATTTTTTCTAAACCAACAGACCAACTTTTTCTAAACCAACATACCAATTTTTTCTAAACCAACAGACCAATTTTTTCTAAACCAACAGACCAATTTTTTCTAAACCAACAGACCAATTTTTTCTAAACCTCCAGACCAATTTTTTCTAAACCTCTAAACCAATTTTTTCTAAACCAACAGACCAATTTTTTCTAAACCAACAAACCAATTTTTTCTAAACCAACAGACCATTGTTTTCTAAACCAACAAACCAATTTTTTCTAAACCAACAGACCATTTTTTTCTAAACCTCCAAACCAATTTTTTCTAAACCAACAGACCATTTTTTTCTAAACCAACAAACCAATTTTTTCTAAACCAACAAACCAATTTTTTCTAAACCAACAGACCAATTTTTTCTAAACCAACAGACCAATTTTTTCTAAACCAACAGACCAATTTTTTCTAAACCAACAAACCAATTTTTTCTAAACCAACAGACCAATTTTTTCTAAACCAACAAACCAATTTTTTCTAAACCAACAGACCAATTTTTTCTAAACCAACAGACCAATTTTTTCTAAACCAACAAACCAATTTTTTCTAACCAACAGACCAATTTTTTTCTAACCACCAGACCTAATATACATAAAGTGGCAGAAAGAACTATCGTACTGGAGAGGACGGAAGCGGATGAAAAGTTTGTTGTAGAGCCGGGATTTAAGGATGAAAGTGAAATGCCGTCATCAAATATTTTCCCCGAAATAGAGTTGGAAGCTTTGAAGCCCGTTGGTCGGGGCGATGGAGACTTCGGTGAGGACAACATCAGGTGAGATTATTTACTGGTAAATCGTTAATCCTGCTTTCATAAAACGTTAATCCTGCTTTCATAAATCGTTAATCCTGCTTTCATAAATCGTTAATCCTGCTTTCATAAATCGTTAATCCTGCTTTCATAAGTCGTTAATCTTGCTTTCATAAATCGTTAATCCTGCTTTCATAAATCGTTAATCCTGCTTTCATAAATCGTTAATCCTGCTTTCATAAATCGTTAATCCGGCTTTCATAAATCGTTAATCCTGCTTGCCTGTTAATCCTGCTTTCATAAATAGTTAATCCTACTTTCATAAATCGGTAATCCTGCTTTCATAAATCGTTAATCATGCTTGCCTGTTAATCCTGCTTTCATAAATCGTTAATCCTGCTTGCCTGTTAATCCTGCTTTCATAAATAGTTAATCCTACTTTCATAAATCGGTAATCCTGCTTTCATAAATAGTTAATCCTTCTTTCATCGTGGTGCCAGATACCGGCCTCGGTTTCCATGGCAATCAGTGCAGTGGGTAAACTCTGCTGCCTCTGTCGTGTTCAAACAAATCTTTGAGATAGGTGCAAATCTTTAAAATGGCATTGCTCACTGAAATAATTCATGGTGACTAGAAATAGCCTTAAAGTTTGCATCACATCTAGTGACTTGATAAGATTATAGATTATACTTAGGGGAGCCAGGGCTACGCCGAAATTGACTGCACGAATTAAAAGATTTAATTAGAGCTAAGTGTGGTCTGGGACAGCTGACAGATACAACCCTTCACGTACTGGACTCTGGGACAGCTGACAGATACAACCCTTCATGTACTGGACTCTGTGACAGCTGACAGATACAACCCTTCATGTACTGGACTCTGTGACAGCTGACAGATACAACCCTTCATGTACTGGACTCTGTGACAGCTGACAGATACAGCCCTTCATGTACTGGACTCTGTGACAGCTGACAGATACAGCCCTTCATGTACTGGACTCTGTGACAGCTGACAGATACAACCACGTACTGGACTCTGGGACAGCTGACAGATACAACCCTTCATGTACTGGACTCTGTGACAGCTGACAGATACAGCCCTTCATGTACTGGACTCTGTGACAGCTGACAGATACAACCCTTCACATACTGGACTCTGTGACAGCTGACAGATACAACCCTTCACATACTGGACTCTGTGACAGCTGACAGATACAACCCTTCACATACTGGACTCTGGGACAGCTGACAGATACAACCCTTCACGTACTGGACTCTGGGACAGCTGACAGATACAACCACGTACTGGACTCTGGGACAGCTGACAGATACAACCACGTACTGGACTCTGGGACAGCTGACAGATACAACCCTTCACGTACTGGACTCTGTGACAGCTGACAGATACAACCCTTCACATACTGGACTCTGGGACAGCTGACAGATACAACCCTTCACGTACTGGACTCTGTGACAGCTGACAGATACAACCCTTCACATACTGGACTCTGGGACAGCTGACAGATACAACCACATACTGGACTCTGTGACAGCTGACAGATACAACACTTCATGTACTGGACTCTGTGACAGCTGACAGATACAACCCTTCATGTACTGGACTCTGTGACAGCTGACAGATACAACCCTTCATGTACTGGACTCTGGGACAGCTGACAGATACAACCCTTCATGTACTGGACTCTGTGACAGCTGACAGATACAACCCTTCACATACTGGACTCTGGGACAGCTGACAGATACAACCCTTCATGTACTGGACTCTGTGACAGCTGACAGATACAGCCCTTCACATACTGGACTCTGGGACAGCTGACAGATACAACCCTTCACATACTGGACTCTGGGACAGCTGACAGATACAACCACGTACTGGACTCTGGGACAGCTGACAGATACAGCCCTTCACATACTGGACTCTGGGACAGCTGACAGATACAACCCTTCACATACTGGACTCTGGGACAGCTGACAGATACAACCCTTCACATACTGGACTCTGGGACAGCTGACAGATACAACCCTTCACATACTGGACTCTGGGACAGCTGACAGATACAACCACATACTGGACTCTGTGACAGCTGACAGATACAACACTTCATGTACTGGACTCTGTGACAGCTGACAGATACAACCCTTCATGTACTGGACTCTGTGACAGCTGACAGATACAACCCTTCATGTACTGGACTCTGGGACAGCTGACAGATACAACCCTTCATGTACTGGACTCTGTGACAGCTGACAGATACAACCCTTCACATACTGGACTCTGGGACAGCTGACAGATACAACCCTTCATGTACTGGACTCTGTGACAGCTGACAGATACAGCCCTTCACATACTGGACTCTGGGACAGCTGACAGATACAACCCTTCATGTACTGGACTCTGGGACAGCTGACAGATACAACCACGTACTGGACTCTGGGACAGCTGACAGATACAGCCCTTCATGTACTGGACTCTGTGACAGCTGACAGATACAGCCCTTCATGTACTGGACTCTGTGACAGCTGACAGATACAACCACGTACTGGACTCTGGGACAGCTGACAGATACAACCCTTCATGTACTGGACTCTGGGACAGCTGACAGATACAGCCCTTCACATACTGGACTCTGGGACAGCTGACAGATACAACCCTTCACGTACTGGACTCTGTGACAGCTGACAGATACAGCCCTTCATGTACTGGACTCTGGGACAGCTGACAGATACAACCACGTACTGGACTCTGGGACAGCTGACAGATACAACCACGTACTGGACTCTGGGACAGCTGACAGATACAACCCTTCACATACTGGACTCTGGGACAGCTGACAGATACAACCCTTCACGTACTGGACTCTGGGACAGCTGACAGATACAACCACGTACTGGACTCTGGGACAGCTGACAGATACAACCCTTCACATACTGGACTCTGGGACAGCTGACAGATACAACCACGTACTGGACTCTGTGACAGCTGACAGATACAACCCTTCACATACTGGACTCTGGGACAGCTGACAGATACAACCCTTCATGTACTGGACTCTGGGACAGCTGACAGATACAACCCTTCACGTACTGGACTCTGGGACAGCTGACAGATACAACCCTTCACATACTGGACTCTGGGACAGCTGACAGATACAACCCTTCATGTACTGGACTCTGGGACAACTGACAGATACAACCCTTCATGTACTGGACTCTGGGACAGCTGACAGATACAACCACGTACTGGACTCTGTGACAGCTGACAGATACAACCCTTCACATACTGGACTCTGGGACAGCTGACAGATACAACCCTTCACATACTGGACTCTGGGACAACTGACAGATACAACCACGTACTGGACTCTGGGACAGCTGACAGATACAACCACGTACTGGACTCTGGGAAGCTGACAGATACAACCACGTACTGGACTCTGGGACAGCTGACAGATACAACCACGTACTGGACTCTGTGACAGCTGACAGATACAACCCTTCACATACTGGACTCTGGGACAGTTGACAGATACAACCCTTCACATACTGGACTCTGGGACAGCTGACAGATACAACCCTTCACATACTGGACTCTGGGACAGTTGACAGATACAACCCTTCACATACTGGACTCTGTGACAGCTGACAGATACAACCCTTCACATACTGGACTCTGGGACAGTTGACAGATACAACCCTTCACATACTGGACTCTGGGACAGCTGACAGATACAACCACGTACTGGACTCTGGGACAGCTGACAGATACAACCCTTCACATACTGGACTCTGTGACAGCTGACAGATACAACCCTTCACATACTGGACTCTGGGACAGTTGACAGATACAACCCTTCACATACTGGACTCTGGGACAGCTGACAGATACAACCACGTACTGGACTCTGGGACAGCTGACAGATACAACCACGTACTGGACTCTGGGACAGCTGACAGATACAACCCTTCATGTACTGGACTCTGGGACAGCTGACAGATACAACCCTTCACATACTGGACTCTGGGACAGCTGACAGATACAACCACGTACTGGACTCTGTGACAGCTGACAGATACAACCCTTCACGTACTGGACTCTGGGACAGCTGACAGATACAACCCTTCACGTACTGGACTCTGTGACAGCTGACAGATACAACCCTTCATGTACTGGACTCTGGGACAGCTGACAGATACAACCCTTCACATACTGGACTCTGGGACAGCTGACAGATACAGCCCTTCATGTACTGGACTCTGTGACAGCTGACAGATACAACCCTTCATGTACTGGACTCTGTGACAGCTGACAGATACAGCCCTTCATGTACTGGACTCTGGGACAGCTGACAGATACAGCCCTTCACATACTGGACTCTGGGACAGCTGACAGATACAACCATATACTGGACTCTGGGACAGCTGACGGATACAACCCTTCATGTACTGGACTCTGGGACAGCTGACAGATACAACCACATACTGGACTCTGGGACAGCTGACAGATACAACCCTTCACGTACTGGACTCTGGGACAGCTGACAGATACAACCACATACTGGACTCTGGGACAGCTGACAGATACAGCCCTTCACGTACTGGACTCTGGGACAGCTGACAGATACAGCCCTTCATGTACTGGACTCTGGGACAGCTGACAGATACAGCCCTTCACGTACTGGACTCTGGGACAGCTGACAGATACAGCCCTTCATGTACTGGACTCTGTGACAGCTGACAGATACAACCCTTCACATACTGGACTCTGGGACAGCTGACAGATACAACCACGTACTGGACTCTGGGACAGCTGACAGATACAACCACGTACTGGACTCTGGGACAGCTGACAGATACAACCACGTACTGGACTCTGTGACAGCTGACAGATACAACACTTCATGTACTGGACACGTAAAATTAATATTGAAAACTGTTTCTTTTCAGTGCACAGTCAGTATAAGGTGACCAAACATCAGAGTACAGTTATAAGGTAGGAGGCCAACTATTTGGGTACAGTTATAAGGTACAGTCAAAGTAGGAGGCCAACTATTTGGGTACAGTTATAAGGTACAGTCAAAGTACGAGGCCAACTATTTGGGTACAGTTATAAGGTACAGTCAAAGTACGAGGCCAACTATTTGGGTACAGTTATAAGGTACAGTCAAAGTAGGAGGCCAAAGATTAGGGTACAGTTATAAGGTACAGTCAAAGTAGGAGGCCAACTATTTGGGTACAGTTATAAGGTACAGTCAGTGTAAGGAGAACAAACATTAGGGTATTCATATTGTCAGGTGTTTTTTACCAACCTCTTTTACACTTTCTTATCATGTGTATATATATATATATATATATATATATATATATATATATATATATATATATATATATATATATATATATATATATATATATATATATGCTTGTCATAATTTTTTTCCACAAGCAGGCCCCTAGTGAAAATCCAGTCCATCTACTCATCAACTGTTTAAAGAACCCACTTTATGAAAATCCAGTCCATCTGCTCATCAACTGTTTAAAGAACCCACTTTATGAAAATCCAGTCCATCTGCTCATCAACTGTTTAAAGAACCCAATTTATGAAAATCCAGTCCATCTGCTCATCAACTGTTTAAAGAGCCCACTTTATGAAAATCCAGTCCATCTGCTCATCAACTGTTTAAAGAACCCACTTTATGAAAATCCAGTCCATCTGCTCATCAACTGTTTAAAGAACCCACTTTATGAAAATCCAGTCCATCTGCTCATCAACTGTTTAAAGAACCCAATTTATGAAAATCCAGTCCATCTACTCATCCACTGTTTAAAGAACCCACTTTATGAAAATTCAGTCCATCTGCTCATCAACTGTTTAAAGAACCCACTTTATGAAAATCCAGTCCATCTGCTCATCAACTGTTTAAAGAACCCACTTTATGAAAATCCAGTCCATCTGCTCATCAACTGTTTAAAGAACCCACTTTATGAAAATCCAGTCCATCTGCTCATCAACTGTTTAAAGAACCCACTTTATGAAAATCCAGTCCATCTGCTCATCAACTGTTTAAAGAACCCACTTTATGAAAATCCAGTCCATCTGCTCATCAACTGTTTAAAGAACCCAATTTATGAAAATCCAGTCCATCTGCTCATCAACTGTTTAAAGAACCCACTTTATGAAAATCCAGTCCATCTGCTCATCAACTGTTTAAAGAACCCAATTTATGAAAATCCAGTCCATCTGCTCATCAACTGTTTAAAGAACCAACTTTATGAAAATCCAGTCCATCTGCTCATCAACTGTTTAAAGAACCCACTTTATGAAAATTCAGTCCATCTGCTCATCAACTGTTTAAAGAACCCACTTTATGAAAATCCAGTCCATCTGCTCATCAACTGTTTAAAGAACCCAATTTATGAAAATCCAGTCCATCTGCTCATCAACTGTTTAAAGAACCCACTTTATGAAAATCCAGTCCATCTGCTCATCAACTGTTTAAAGAACCCACTTTATGAAAATCCAGTCCATCTGTTCATCAACTGTTTAAAGAACCCAATTTATGAAAATCCAGTCCATCTGCTCATCAACTGTTTAAAGAACCCAATTTATGAAAATCCAGTCCATCTGCTCATCAACTGTTTAAAGAACCCACTTTATGAAAATCCAGTCCATCTGCTCATCAACTGTTTAAAGAACCCACTTTATGAAAATCCAGTCCATCTGCCCAACAACTGTTTAAAGAACCCACTTTATGAAAATCCAGTCCATCTGCTTATCAACTGTTTAAAGAACCCAATTTATGAAAATCAAGTTCATCTGCTCATCAACTGTTTAAAGAACCCACTTTATGAAAATCAAGTTCATCTGCTCATCAACTGTTTAAAGAACCCACTTTATGAAAATCAAGTTCATCTGCTCATCAACTGTTTAAAGAACCCACTTTATGAAAATCCAGTCCATCTGCTCATCAACTGTTTAAAGAACCCAAGGAGTGAAAATCCCATCTTGTGTTAACTAGTTAATGAAGCCAAATGTGAAAATCCTCTCTATTTTCCCTTCTACTAATTTAAAAAAGACAAATTTTAATGTGAAACTCCATCTTCAACATTTTTTAAAGAACCCAAATGTGAAAGTGTGTCCATTTTCCATTCATCCGTCAACATCTATGCAGCAATATGGTCCATCAATCCTCTAGCAATCTTATGGCAAAAAATGAATGAAAACAATCATTGAATTTTTAAAAATTGTGGCTCGATAATAATTAAGAACACCATTAAAGCAACTTTTGACATTTCATGTTAATCTGCATTTTGTGTTGTTTTATCAATAAATCAATGTTTAGAGTTTGGGAAAACTTAATTCGTGAAAATATCAAATTCTTTTCTTTACAACCATATTCGTGAATAGACATGCCACACCTAAGGATTTCAGCTGGTGTATGTATGTGTATTTGTATATATATATATATATATATATATATATATATATATATATATATATATATATATATATATATATATATATACACATATACATAAATATACATATATACATAGGCCTATATGCCTATTTACAGATGTGCGTCTGTAAATTGTCACTCCCGGGTGAAAGCAAACGAACAAAATATTGTCAGCATTTGTCTAATACCATAAGGCCTCGTATGTTGTCTCTTTGTAAATTATGTTCTTTAAATGTTCAATACGATCTAACTATTTTCGACATCTTCAATTACTTTGTTTTTAGCTTATCTCTAAATAAATGAAGGTCAAAGGTAACTAACAGATTTTATGTTTTTAAAAAATCGGTAGCCTCCCTTTTATAGCTATATTTATTTGAAATTATTAGCGTTGGGGAGAGAAGGGGGTATATAAATATTTATCATTACATGTACACGCTTAAAGACTTCATATATATATACATATATATATATATATATATATATATATATATATATATATATATATATATATATATATATATATGTGTATGTATATGCCAGTAGCTTACGTTTGTGTGTGTGTAACAGAGGTGTGACATTCTTGTAGGGTTGTGTTCAACCCCTTCTCGCAGCACCAAAAGCGACAGAGGACAGAGCTTGTGTTACCACTTGTGTGTGTGTGTCCATAAAATAAAAACTCTAGTCACGCCAACAAACGATTTTTTAACAGGCACAATTTACAAATCCGTGTTATCTAATCTTTTGGAACATGTTAGCTATCTGTAGGGATTGAGGAATGATTTTAAGCTTAAGAAATATCTTCTTTCTTGCCTTAATGACAGGTGATCCAATGACAAGTGATCCAATGACAGGTGATCCAATGACAAGTGATCCAATGGCAGGTGATCCAATGACAAGTGATCCAATGGCAGGTGATCCAATGACAGGTGATCCAATGGCAGGTGATCCAATGACAGGTGATCCAATGACAAGTGATCCAATGACAGGTGATCCAATGGCAGGTGATCCAATGACAGGTGATCCAATGGCAGGTGATCCAATGAGAAGTGATCCAATGACAAGTGATCCAATGACAAGTGATCCAATGACAGGTGATCCAATGACAAGTGATCCAATGGCAGGTGATCCAATGACAAGTGATCCAATGGCAGGTGATCCAATGACAGGTGATCCAATGGCAGGTGATCCAATGACAGGTGATCCAATGACAAGTGATCCAATGACAGGTGATCCAATGACAGGTGATCCAATGACAGGTGATCCAATGGCAGGTGATCCAATGAGAAGTGATCCAATGACAGGTGATCCAATGGCAGGTGATCCAATGACAAGTGATCCAATGACAAGTGATCCAATGGCAGGTGATCCAATGAGAAGTGATCCAATGACAAGTGATCCAATGGCAGGTGATCGAATGGCAGGTGATCCAATGACAGGTGATCCAATGAGAAGTGATCCAATGACAAGTGATCCAATGGCAGGTGATCCAATGACAGGTGATCCAATGAGAAGTGATCCAATGACAGGTGATCCAATGACAGGTGATCCAACCATCCGAATGTGCCTGTCTGACTCTCATGCTGCACTGAACTTTAACCTTGACCGTGTATTACATTATTACATTAATAAAAATTCTTGGTTACAAGATTTGCCATGAATGATGAACAGTCTGAAACAAAAGGACAGACGGGCAAATAATGTGAACTAAATGTAAGATTAGGATAACAAAATATCCCATTAAGTATGATATAGTTTTAAGACAATACACACCAACTACAAATATAATTTATACGGCCTCTCTACGATAAACAAAGTTATACGCGTATGTATGGCTATAGCCCACCCCGCCCTCTTTAAAAACTATAAAATTAAACTTAAAATATTTGCGTAAGTGTAATTAATAAATTTTCGAATTATGGAGAAAAGCGTAAATGGGGATGAACTGGACACACCTTGCCTAAACCAACTAGCAACATCACCCGACAGGTACTAGGTTGGGATCCCCTTAGCAAAATAATTAGGCCAAAACAAACTTGAAATAGATCTGTTTTTAGCGCAGCAAAGTCAGCTGGAATGTCGTGGCCCAACTTGGGGAGGGGGGGGGGGATTGCCACGTTGGAGAGATACGGCTGCAGTAGCGTTGCGAGGGGGGGGGGGGGCGGGGGGGGACATATGTCCCCGGGCGCCGACCTTAGGGGGGCGCCAAATTGAAAGTTTGAGGGGGGTGCAAATGAAAAGTTCGAGGGGGGGGGGGGTGCAAATCGAAAGTTTGAGGGGGGGTGCAAATCGAAAGTTTGAGGGGGGGTGCAAATGAAAAGTTCGAGGGGGGGGGGTGCAAATCGAAAATTTGCTCCCAAGGGGGCGCCAAATTGAAAGTATGTCCCCGGGCGCTGGGAAGGGTCGCTACGCCTCTGTACGGCTGCGTCCATATTCTCCACAGGAAAAGAGATGCTGACGTTTTATCTTACTTTATTATTAGGCTACAATTTGGAGAAAAAGCTTGAGAATGTTAGGCATGTAATACTGACATCTAATAAATCAATAGCATGTAAAAGGTATAGCTCCCTATGCATAACATTCACCACTTACGCCGTTATATATATATATATATATATATATATATATATATATATATATATATATATATATATATATATATATATATATATATATATATATATATATACATATGATATTGCTTGGATAAAGAAAGCAAGTTCGTTTACATTTATTTTATGTTTAGTGCAATTTAAAAAATATTATTATTTAGATCTAGGTTTTTCTGTTGTTTTTTTTTTTTTTTTGTTTTTTTTTTCATGGTTATTTTCACTAAAACAAATTATCAGTTAAGGCGCCTGTGCTGATTTCTTACACAGAGACTAAAAACTAATAAATCTACTATTTTATTTAAATAATTTCGTACTTTATACAGGGGGGGGGGGGGGCTAAAAGAAATACTACTTTTTAAATAATTCAGCGAACTTAGACCGTGACCCCCAAGGGCCAAGAGGACATTTCTGTATCAAGGTCATTGCTAGACTACTGGCTGCGTAAGTCAGACGAGCTTTACCAGAGATCTGCAAACCAGTAAAAACCTGTAGAGTTAACTTTGGTGTTCGCTGATAGGCATACGTGAGTATTCTTAAAATTATTGAATAATAAATTTGCAACTCAGCTTTATGCACTTTTTTTACTAGATCTAGATCCATTAAAGTATAAGCACATTGTCATTTGTGTGCTCTTTAAAAAAAAAAAAAATAACCGGTTTGCGTTGCTTTGCTTCCATTCAATTTATTTTACAAGTTCTAGATTTCTAGAGTTTTATATAGATCTAGAATCTAGATCTACTATTGTTTAATCTAGGTCTGTTTTATTTTATCATTATAAACTGCTCGTTGTGCAGAAAAATAGCTTATTATATTATTTGCAAATAATATAAATCGTGTGTTGAGTTGTCATTTTGTTATTGTTGTCGGTTTACTGGGTGGGTTGAAGGTGAAGGCCGTTTCAGGTACTGCTTGTTTTTTGACCTTGTTTCACATTTGGCAAATGGGAAAGGAGGAACCTTCTCTATTTTTATATTTGAACCTTTCAAATGTAACTAATCTGCTTCTATGAATACAGTTATTATACAACCGCATTCGTTATTTAATTACTGCCTCTGTCAAATTACTTGTCATATTATTTTATGCGCACTAAAATATTTATTTCGATCCATTAACATTTTCCAACAAGCACGTAGGCAGTTGTTTTTTTGTATAAAGAACTTTTTGGGTTGGTCTAATTTTAGGACAAATGATAAACTAGATCTATTTATTTATAAACACAGATATTAAGAATAATTTTACTTTAAATTTTTTGAGAAATAAGAACCGCTTTTAAAGAGAAAAAAGACTAGGCCTACTCATCTATTTCTTATTTTGCCTTTATGCAGTATTCCATATTCATCCACCCATCATGCCCTTGAGATTTACAGACTAAGAGTACTTTTATAATATTGAAGGAAGGTGACCTCTGACCCAAGAGGGTGTTTTGAATTTCTTCTACAGTTTATAAATTTTATTGCTCTGCTTACACATCTAGTCAGGTTTTAAATTAGTGCAGTTTTAAATTCATTTTTAATACTTTCTCTCACTTCATTCTTAGCAGTTATTTAAAAGCATCTGCAAAGTATAGCTTGATCAAGATCAAACAACTTTCCATCTTCCTTGGGACTCTGTCTGATGGGTGCAATAATTACTATCAGATCTATCCCTTCATGTTCAGCACACTCTTGTTGTATCTTTTGTACAGTTGTATTCAAGTAATACTTATCAAAATCACTTCTCTTTTAGCACCATGTCTGAGGATGATCTAGTATACGAGGTCCATGAGATTGTTGTGCAAAAGGTTGGCCACATCCCAGTAGCCAAAGGAGATTTCACACATTTGCCAAAAAAAGTTAAGACCTTTGTGGCTCATTGTGTAAGTATTTTAAAAATTCTTGATTTTTTTTTAAGTTACCCATTTTATAACTTTTCTCATTATGTTTGATTGGAATAATTCACACACCTTTCACTTGATGAGCTCTTGTAAATGCTTTACACATTTGTTTGAAACCCTGATTTTAACTACTTTCACCCTTTTAACAGCTATCCTCTTTATTTACATTGACACCCATAAAACTTGTCTACTCTGAGAAAATGTTTACATTTTGTAAGCTAATTCTACTAATATAATGTAGATAGTTAATAGTAAAAGCCACTTGTTGTAAGTAATGAATGCAGAATGAGTTTTATAAGTATGTTGGTTGTTTTTTTTTCAGGTCCAGCTCTGCTCTCCTAGAGGCATTTACATTTGTGATGGCAGTGAAGAAGAAGCAGATGAGATTATTCACAAACTGCTTGAAAGAGGCACACTAACCAGGCTCACCAAATATAAAAACAAGTAAGAAAAATGTTTTTACCATATTATAAAATCTTTTGAGCTGTTGTAGGAGCATGCAGTGCATGTTGTCCATTTTTATCAGCGCTTTAACATTTTTACTACTAGGCCAGTGCACAACTTATTGACCCAATCCTAAGGGAAACGGCACAGTTTATAACTTTATATTAGGGCGGGCCATTCAAAAATTTGACTATAAATAAATGTACCAACATATTTTTAAAAACAATAAAATGGACAACAAATTTATAATAAAAAATGAGGTCTTTATTCCTTTTAATGTAGCAAATTTATAAATGATTTATGATTGTTTAAAATTCTCATAAAACTAACCTTTTTTGCATTTTTGTAGCTACAAATAGCATTTTTGTTGCTAAAATTTGCATTTTGATAGTTAAAAATACCATTCTCATTTTTAATAAAATGAAATATTTACAGCAATAGTGTAATGACTCGATATTAAAACCAAGTTTAGCAACATGCGTTTTTGAGTTACATTTTTTGTCAAGAACAAAATAGCAAGTAAAAACCTTTGTGGCTCACTGTGTAAGAATTTTTAAAATTCTTTTTTAATTTTGTTTCCCAAAAGCTACCTCTGCCGTACTGATCCTGATGATGTTGCCAGAGTTGAGTCTAAGACATTTATTACTACAAAAAACAAGTATGATGCTATTCCCCATTGCCGTGAAGGTGTCAAATCTGCACTTGGCTGCTGGATGAGCCCTGAAGACATGAAAAATGAGCTGGATCATCGTTTCCCTGGCTGCATGGCAGGTTTGTTGGCTGTTTACCTTCTCCCAATTTTTGTGAATCAAGTTTAACATTAGGTATTTTTCTGTAGAACATTTGTAATTCATAAATGTTTTGTGCACATGGCAGTTTTTCTTCATCTTTTCCTCCAGGTCGCATGATGTATGTGATTCCATTCTGCATGGGTCCTCTTGGTTCTCCACTGAGCAAGATTGGTGTGCAGGTAACAGATTCAAACTACGTGCTGCTGTGTATGAGAATCATGACCCGTGTCTGCCCCAGGGTGTGGGAGCTGTTGGGGGATGATGACTTTGTCAAGTGTATTCATTCAATGGGTTGTCCCAGACCTGTGGCAAGTAAGTCAACTTTACATTTTCTTAGGCAAGTCAGTTCTTTTAGATTTCATGTCACTTGGACATTTTTGTAGTGATGGAATTACTTTCTCTTAGGACGTGTGAAGAACCATTGGCCATGCAACCCAGAAAAAGTTATCATTGCCCACTTTCCTGAAGAAAGAAAAATTAAGTCCTTTGGCAGTGGCTATGGAGGAAATTCTTTGCTCGGCAAAAAATGCTTTGCATTGCGTATTGCTAGCGTGATTGCCAGAGATGAGGGCTGGATGGCTGAGCACATGTTGGTGGGTACACTAATTACTAAGATGATTGATGTTAAGTAATATAAATTAAAAAGTTAAAATACTTTGAAAATGTTTAATGGGAATTATAGTGAACTAAGGTTTATAAACATCATTAGACTAAGCTACCTTCAAGCAATCCTGTGGAAATTGTTTCTCATTTTATCAAATCACAAGAAAATATACTGCTCTAAAGTTACATAATATTACCTGCTTGATATGTTCTAAATGTTCAAAAATGCTAATGGACTAAACCAAATACTTGTCAGATTATGAGTGTCACTACTCCAAAAGGTGTTGAGAAATTCCTGGCTGCAGCTTTCCCCAGTGCTTGTGGCAAAACAAATCTGGCTATGTTGAACCCCAGCCTTCCTGGCTTCAGGATTCAGTGCATTGGTAAGTATTAAAGTCTAATTTTTTTTAGTGTTGTCCATTTTATAAACTGTTATAATACTTCTGAATGCCATGTGTTTTCAGGTGATGACATTGCATGGATGAGGTTTGACGAGGAAGGTGTGCTGTATGGTATCAACCCAGAAGCTGGTTTCTTTGGTGTTGCTCCTGGAACAAACATGAAGACAAATCCAAATGCTGTCCTCTCCTTCCAGGAAAACAGCATTTTCACCAACGTTGCTGAGACTACAGATGGAGGATACTTCTGGGAAGGCATGGAAGAAGATATGGAGAACAAGGTTGGTAGATTTTTTAATGATGGGTTAGGTTAGCTTCTTTGGTTAAAGTTAGAAGTTTAAAATTTTCTAACTTTAATAACAGAATGTGGGTATTACAAACTGGTTGGGCCAGCCCTGGCACATTGGTTGTGGAGGCAAAGCTGCTCATCCCAACTCTAGATTTACTGCCCCAGCCAAGCAGTGTCCCATCATGCACCCTAAATGGGAGGATCCTAAAGGTGTACCCATAAGTGCAATCATCTTTGGTGGTCGTCGACCAACTGGTAAGTTGTAAAAAAAAAGTTTGTTCCATTAGCAAAGTGTTTCCAATGTAGAAACTTGATTGAAAAATTAAGCCAAATGTCCACTACCTGTTCAGGTGTGCCACTTGTGTTTGAGTCTAAGAGCTGGGCTCATGGTGTTATGCTTGGTGCTTGTGTCAAGTCTGAGGCTACTGCTGCTGCTGAGTTCCAAGGTATTGTTTCTTCTATTGTTTTGGTGAACATCTCAATCTCTCATTTTAATCATTCCATTTTAGAGTTTAAATATTTTTTTATTCTATTTACCATTTTAGTAGTTGAACACTAAGTTTTTTCACACATTGCCCAAATTATGCATGACTATATATTTTAGGAAAAACTATCATGCATGATCCAATGGCCATGAGGCCTTTCATGGGCTATAACTTTGGACATTATTTGCAACATTGGTTGGATCTTGAAAAGCCAGGCCGCAAGGTTAGTTGTGTTTGTTGTTTAATTAGTAACAACAGATAACTTATTATATTTAAATCTCAACCCATCCTACCTATAAACTCTATAGATGCCAAAGATCTTCCATGTGAACTGGTTCCGTTTGGATGAGCATGGCAAATTTTTGTGGCCAGGATTTGGTGAAAATATTCGTGTCCTAGACTGGATCATTAAAAGGTGTGATGGTGATCAGTCCATTGCTGTTCCATCACCCATTGGCTGGCTTCCCAAAAAAGGTAACCAATTTGTATCATTTTAAATAATCTGTCATAATTGCTTTTTCTTCTGGTCATGGTATGTTGCTCTACTTAATAATCACTATTAAAAAGTAAAAAAAAACTTCCAAGAAAAATGTGATGCTTGTACCTTGAATGTTTCTGGATAATCCATGTTTCCACTTTTTAGTTCATTATCAGAAATCATGAATCTTTCATTGCAGGTTCTATTGACATGTCTGGTCTGGGTGCTGTCAATGAGGACGAACTTTTCAGTCTTCCAAGTCATTACTGGCTTGATGATACTCGTGAGAGCAAACGTTTCCTTGAAGATCAGGTACATATTGCTATTTTATTTTAGGGAATTCTTTATTAGCTGAAGTAGCTTTTGAAACTAAAGAATTAAAGTTGCAAATGATTTCAAGTGTCAGAATTAACTTTTTATGCATATTTATCAGTCACTAAAAAAAATTTTTAAATTACACAATCCCTTGCCCGTGGCCGCTATTACAAAGTTGATTTTGTTTTCCTGTTTCCAGGTTGGCTCGGACTGTCCACCAATCATTCACAAGCTGCTGGAAGAACAGGAAGTTGAGTTTAGCAAAATTCAGTAGGAGAATGTCACATGTGAACCTTGTCCTTGTACAGTGAAAGATCGCTGCTACATTTGTCTTGCCCCTGCACGAAGAATCAGGCAGCTTTAAGCTTATGAGATGTTTAGGAAATTTTCATTATCAAGGAAAGAGACAAGAATTTGCAAGCAGTTGACTTTTTTTAAGGAAAATATTAGCTAGCATTGATTAGGTGCACAGAGAAGGCATGAGCAAAGTGGTTTTTTTGTTATGTTCTCTTACTGCCATTCTTGGAACAATAATTCACTTGGGTTGTTGCTAATGATTGGCCAAGGAAATCTTGCCACTTGATATGCAATAGCCTCCACTTTAGTTTAAAAAGTACCATGTGTGCAACCAAATTGTCAGATCTGTTGTACTGCAGTATTTTTTATCAGTATAGTTTTTTTTATTTCTTTACATTTATTTACATGTTTCTGGGAAGGCTCAGTCTTATAAGTATGTACACATAAAGTCTAGCATGCTTTATCACTGTAAGTTAAGCTAGCTATTAGTATGCTGGTGGTTTTTTTGTTCAATTTATGTCAAGTAGTGTTAATAATCCTAGTTTAAATTTAAGATTTTCACTAACTTGTTGAAATTGATTTTTTGTTTTTTCATTTGCTAAACTTGGCCTTAAAGAGTCCAATAGAACAAATCATTTTTAATGTGAGAAAGAAATTTCATTAGGTCTGATCATTCCATCTGTTTTCAGGTATATTTCATTTTATGCAGAAACAATTATAATTTTGCTCAATTTTGATTTTTAGGCAATATTTTACATTTCTTTGTAACACTTTTTGTAATACATAGTTTGGTAATGTTATTCCTGATATATTTGTGTGAAGTAGTGTATGGAAAATAAATGTACTGAAACTTGTATACAAGCTATTTTGTCATCATTTAACAAATACAAATCATGTTATTAGGAAGTTTTATTTAGCTTATTACAGTACAAACACAAAATCTCCATTAGCAGGATTAAATTCAGTTTGTATATGTACAGATGAATCTTTATTTACAGCTCTTTCATGCCGATAAAGTTTGACAGCTTGTCTAGAAAACTTGTCCCACCTGAAATAATTAAACCTTGTGTCAATATGCAAAGTATAGACTCAAGATAAGAAAACTGATATTTAAAAAAAAAAACACACCTGATCTTTTTGCCTTCCCAATCATTGTTCAGTAGACCTGTGCTTGTAACAAGGTTTTCACCAAAGTCGTATTCTGTCCAAAGGGCTATTCCATTTAGAGTTTCATCTCTGTTGAGTAATTTCTTAATTATCTATGGGTATTGTAACTCGTGAAACAGCTGATAATGCAGGGGACAAATTGAATAAAACAATACACCAATTGGCTTACCGACAGCACTGCAAATCTGTGTTGTTGAGAACAGTTTCCATATTACAAGGGTTGGAAGAAAATTGTATAGAGAAAATTGTTTTGGGGGATGATACAGCCATTGCTGGGTATTCCCACAAAGGTTGGGGTTCTATATCTTCATCTGCTGATTCTGAGGATTTCTAAAGGATGCAAACAAATATAGATTTGATGCTTTTTCTAAGCTAGAATTTATTTAGAAACAGCAGGTAGACTAATGCAAAATTATAATAAATCATTTAGAAATTTACCCCACCTGTATTGACATTTTAAATTTATAGTAAATTTTGTAACACAATTTAAATTTTATTTTTACAGTTTATTGCTTTCTTTTTTTTCTTCACATATCCCAGTGGTGGTTGCTTCAAATGATAAGTAACCCAGCAGTGTAAATTGTTATGGTATCACTTGTGGAAATAATAACACACCTCAATAAGCTTGTCAAATTCTGTGATGTTAAATCCTTCACAATACCCAACAGGCGACCTTATTTTCTGTAGGTTTTCAAAATGGACTGCAATAGCTTGAATTGTCATGGACTTGGGGAGAATGACAACTGATTCACTGAGGTGAGCTTGTACATGATGTAAGGCATACCAGAAGTACAGGTGCTCCCATGGCAAACTGGCTGACTGGAAGAAGGGCTCAGCCACAACAACATCTATCTGAAATGTTCATTGGTGAAAAACAAAATTATTCCTATTTTATAATGGTAAAATGCTTACACATTATAACACCTTTATATTATAAAGTAGTGTAAAACTAGAAACACTAGCAGGGGCGGAACTACAGTGCCGCCAGACCCCGCAATGGGGGGGGGGGGGGGGGCAGCCCGTTTAGGGGCCCACAGCCGACCATAATCAATTTTTTTTTTAATAGATAAAAAAATAATTTTCTTGTAAAAAAACAAACAGGTCTACTACAGTAGTGATGTTCTACAGTAGGTAAAGGGAAAAAAATTATAGGCTACATGAGTTGTAGTGTGAAAGATAGGCAAACGTTCAAACCACTTCCATGACTTATAATAGTCAAATATATGTGCTCTTAAGAAACTTTTAACAGATTTGCACTAAACAAATTAAAAAGCAATTACTTCTCTTAATTATTATTTTTAAAAATAATACATAATAAAGAATGAGATAGTATAAAAAGGAAATGATTAAAAACTAATAATATAAATTTAAAAAATAAACACAAGGCGAAAAACCATTACACATACAAAGCTTTCATGCTTCATATTCTTTTGACCTACTTGTAATTTAGGAAGCATTATGTCAGACATTGAAACAGAATTTCAAAACAGACTAATAGCACTCACACAAATGATGAATGATGTGTTGTTGTAACATGTTTAAGTTAAAAATAAAAACTAAGTATTTTTAATTTTTTCAAATTTCAAACAAGCCCGTATTGAGGTATTGAGTATTCTATGTTCGTATTTTGTTTATATATATATATCTATATATATAAAAATAAAAATATATATATATATATTTATATATATATATATATATATATATATATGGGCCCGAAATATTTTTTATGGGGGTGGCCCTTTTTTTCTAGTTCCGCCACTGAACACGAGTATGTATGCATCAGGTTGGTGATGGAGCAGGGCAGTTAACTTTCTGTTAAATATCTAAAGTGTAGAATAAAATATGTAAAATTTTGATCAAAGGAGGGCTGTAAGTACACCAAAAAAAAGCAACCTTTAGTTGTTCCAAATCTTCTGCTGTAATATCCTCTACATTTTTCTCCAACACACAAACTTTATCTCCCAACTGGTTGAAATTCACCATTTCTTTGATCACTTTACGACAAGACCAACTACTATCCAGGTAGAAAACCTTAAATTTGTTAAGTATTATACCATTAGTACAGTAGAAAATTATGGGCAAAAAACTTGAAATAAATTTTAACATTAAAACAAATTGTTCTATAGTAATATCATATTGTGTAAGAGCTATTTGTAGCCCAAGCTTATTTATTTGCTGCTAAGAAATGAGAAAAAGTGGGACCAACCTTTTTAGCACCCAGGCATGCAGCCATAAGGGGCAACATACTTCCATCAGAGATCACAAGACAGACTGTATCACTGGTTATATGCTGAGGGAAAAGTTTGACACAACTATTTGAAGTTGGTTACTTGCTATAACAGAGTTTAAAAAATCTTTCAACAATTGACAGAGGTGTACTAGCAAAAGCTGGCTGTTTTTATTTTTTGGTTAAAAACATCTCTATTTACCTATCATCAAATATAAATATACCTGGTCTTTCAGTAGCAAAGTTAGGGATATTTTTTTGTACTGTTTAACAATAAAAACTTGGTATTTAAACTTGAAAACTGCTATAAATGTATAGATTATATTTTTTCTATTACAACAGTGTACACAGATAGTGTTTGTACAAATACTTAGCAGACCTTATAAAAATTTTCATAGAACAAAAAATAATGTTTAAAAGATTATTTTATAAGAATGGTAACATACTGTCTGTAAGACTTTGGTATAAAAAACATTTCTTTCAGAATCATTGATCTGTCCAAGCCTACTGCGACTAAAGGCTACATGGAGTCCACATGTGCAGCTGGGGGGATGACTGCTGGGAATATATGAAAGTCTGATATTTAACCATGCAACTGTATCTTGAAAGATAATTAGTGCTTCTGGATGCTATTTGTTTTCTGTTCTAGATACAAGTCACCCTGAACTATATCACAGCTCCATTAAACACATTGCTCATTTAATACACTTATGGATATACAAAGTTCCTCCAATATATACCAATCTGTTTTTCTATATAGCTCAGAAACATGGAAGGCGCTCCAGGCATTGATAAAAAAGCTTAATTGCTTAATTTACAAAAAATGAAGACAGCATCTTAAAATTGGGGAGCCACAAGTTTGAAACATTAACTATGAGATGTGTAGACAGCCATGAGTCTAAACCACCACCACAAGGTGAGGAAGTGGCCAGGAAATCTTTTGAAATGGAGATTAGTGACACTAGACTGACATGTTAGAGGTGAAGTGTTGTCTCAACCCAATGCAATGCCAACCTTACCTATCTGTAACAGCAGTATCAAACCAAAGGCTGTATTCATCATGATAGCAGTTAATTTCAAAACTTTCTCCTTTTTTCACACTTTTAGACACCGAAGGATAATACAGGGCCTGCATCCAATGGTCCCTCCACTTAAAATATACAGATGTTTGTTATGTGCAAAAGAATACAGAGTTTATCAAAATCCTACATCAAACTTAAAAGGAAAAATATACTGTATGTTACATTGAAAGTTGCTTTTATAAACAAAGAAAATAACTTATTAAATAATAAATATTATGTTTTTGATATTGCTGTAAAAATAGTTAAATAAGGTAGAGCCTATGTGGTCTCCCGAGAATTTTTGTGTGTGGTATAGTCTGGTGCTCCAGCTGTCACTTAACTTTGTATAGTGCTTTTACTTAGAAGAAGTAGCAGAAGTCTCTTTGGTAATGAGATTTTGAAGTTACGGGTGCAAGCGGGCAATAATAAGTTTTATTTACATTGTTTTCTTGTTGTTATATCACTAGTGGTTTATTTTCTAAAAAATTTTCTTAAGTTAAAAACTTTTTTTTTAAATTATGGGTAATATAATTAGTGAAATAAAATCTAATTAATATGCCTCTGCCATTGAAAGGGACTTTATTAATAATGTAACTATTGAACAAGAAAGTAGATCCAGTGTCTACTTGAAATTTTTTTAAACATTTAAAATCAAAATTGTATAGAAAAAATATTAAAAGTTATGTTTGTTTACATTTTTCTGGAATTAGTGTTATTTTTTATTTATAAACTAACATGCTAGTTACCTCATACATAATAAACATAAACCACTTTTGTGTACAATGCTTTTTATTTTATTCGTTTAACACAAGTGGTTAATTTTTTTTAAAATGCCATGGTTGAAATTACATTGTTTTATTGCTCGTCCGTAAGGGAAGTAAAAAGTTTTGATGCCCTGGTTGGTAAATGGTTTGAAGATATTGTAAAAATAAAACTTAGTTTCAAAATAAAATCTCCCAACTTGACTTTACTTATTATATCTCAGTTAAATGCTATTATATTTTTGTACTAGGATCAGACTTACAGGGACTGGAACATCTGCCTTTCTATTCCAGCATGGAGCACAGCTGAGGATAATTTCCCCTTGGGGATCCATGACCAGTTCCCACCACATAACAAATCCATTAACTGAACCGTCTAGTTGAGCCTCTGTAACTAGCTTTTTACTCTCAGTTTTAGGTAATGCATTTCGATGACTAAAGTCAAACCTAGCAGTTTCAAGAGAAAAAAAAAATCATGCATTGCTATATGAGTCAAAATTAGGCAAAGCTATTAAAGAATGCATAATTATTTACTACAATTTTTTTATTTTACTCTATAATTTTTAAATTATACTCTAAAATTTTAAAAATTATATTCTAAAATTCAAAATTATATTTTGATGTTGAATAAATAAATTAAAAGCCAACATAATGTGTTATTTTTTAATATCACTATTTCTAAACTTGAACTTTCAAAACATGTATTTGAAATATTGTTATTCTTGTCAATATTACAGTTTGATTTCTTCTAATTAAAACAAAATGTATTCAAACCTCTACTGACCTAAATACCTCTACTGGTGTAGAAACAAAAGTCAAATCCTCCTGTAATTCATCTACCTGCAGATCATGCAGCAGTGGAGCACCGCCACACCTGGCAAAATGGGCAGGGACTGATATGACTGACCCATTGGGCAAACTAATAGACTGTAGGTTGTTCCAATTGGTCAGGAGCGGGCTCTGCACAGCTTGGACGTACATGATTCCTGTGCTTGGGACAGCTACACAGTCTGACTACATTTGATGGAACAATGCAAGTTTTAATATTTATGATCCTGTAAACCTTGTAAAGCAAGCTTAAGTTAACAATGAACAAATAAATAGTAAATAATGAACACTAAGTTTAATTGTGATAAAATAAAGTCTTTTAATTTAATACAAAACTGTAACGGTAACTGGTAATATTTAATTCCTTATTATGCTTTACTTGCATATATATTTGTGTGTTGAATAGAAGTATTAGTAAAAAATGAACTACTTTTTTTACTATGCAAATAATTAAACTTTTTAAAATTAATTATTTATTGCTCAAAATGCATGTTAAAAGATAACCTGTTTACAATAACTAGAATATAAAAACCCATACTTCCATTAGTCGATCATGAGCATCAGAATAAGCACCAATAGCTCCTTCACCAATTAACTCTGTATCAAACAGCTCAGTTATTAGCAAATTAGCTCGATCTCCAATGTCATCTGTTGATAACAAAGAGTACAAATTCATTGCATTATTTTTTGTATTATAACTTTAATCAGCAGCAAATGTAGAAGGGTGGTTTGGTTATAACATATAATGTGTGAACGCTACCCCCAATAGGTCTTGCTACTAGAATAAGCCATATCAGAATTAACATATTAGGACAACTTGATAATGATACCACAAAGAGATACCTGGTTTTATGTGAAAACAGCATATTATGCTAGACTTGCATAACTTTCTAATGAATGTGTAAATTGACTTTATAAAATTTTTCTTGTTTAATAATCTAAGAATTTTTTAAGTTTTACTGTAAAAATTAATTTTAAAGTATTATACCCTCCAGGGAATAAAAGTTTGTACAACACTATAAGTGACATTTGATTAGAAAGACTAAAAGAGCTACTCATATTTTTCAATAAGTTGACTTTTGCCAGAGGAACTCCTCACATACAGCTAGCTGCATCATGCCATTAATAGGAATTATTTTATGAAAGGGTATTTTTAGGTAAATGTGTAAGTAATAATCATTCAATAAAAACACATCTTCTACAGTGTGATCCCTTTTTCAAAGAATGCAAGATTTTAAAAATGTATTATATAAGAAAGCATTAATATAAAGAAAAATAACTATTTACCTAATAAAACCTCGTTTGATCTCTTTGGAATAAGTTTAATTTTGTCTTTAAAGCCATTTATTTTCAGCACTGCATCTGCACATGCAGCCATTGGAGGAAATGCCTAAAAACACACATGCACAGTGAATGAAGAAAGTAATTAATTAATAAAACCTATACAATAAAGCCTGTGTACTTTTCATGGAGGGTTACCAAAATAAATACAGACAGGCTACAGTTGTTCACAAACTGATGCTTATGACAGATCCTCAAGGTAAGATGACCAGACAAAATATCCAAAAAAGACCCATGGCAAAACACTACAAATAAGAGAGCCACTCAAACCCGAGTCTGGTGGAAAAAGGTGTGGCTGCAGCCCTTTGCTCCATAAAGAACACGAAGGAAAAGTCAAGTACCTCACACGCACTGATGGTGTCCGCCCCTGCTTCTGCTGCCATCATGGACAGAAGACCAGTGCCTGTCCCAATGTCTAAGGCTTTGACTTTCTTGCCTTGATCCTTCAACAATTTGACAGCTTGTTTAATTGCCAGGTAGTATTTTTTATTCTATTAAAAATGGTAGAAATGACAATAGATTAATCATGAGGTTACATGTTTTTTTAAATGTTTTTGTCGCACATAATACCTTGAGCATGTATAGCTATAACTGAGGTAATTGATAAATTTTAATGCTGACGATATAATTAATAACTTAAACAAAAACATAAAACTATGAGCGTATAGTAGGGATTATACTATTAAAATAATAAAAATGTAGGCCTATGTATTTTGTATTAGTGTTAATACAATTAAAATGTTTTCTTACCCTGTCTGTGTCATGTAGCATATCACCATATCCTGACCTAAGAAAGGGTTGTTTTTTTTGTTTATTATTTAGAATAAGATTTCAATTGTTTATTCTTTTTTAATCTGGGGTAAATTTTCTATACAGTTAGTAATTACTCTTCAACTCTTACAAAATCTATGATTTTTTTCTCTGAACATATGCTGTTGAGACCGGGCAACCCAGTCTCAGCACAGTTTGTTCCCCTCCAGTGAGTTGCACTCATCTTGAATTTTGCATCTATGCTGACTTTTTAATTTAGTTATATTTTAGCTTTTTAATCTTTCATCAATAAAATGTGATTTTATATACCTATAACTCACTTCTCCCCACTAACAATCCACCCAGACCCTTCTTCCAGCAATTTTCATCATTACAGTTACCTAGTGGGGCTCTTAACTATATGTAGCACACTTACAATAAATGGTAGTAGTAGGTCTAGCCTATTAATTACTGTGATAGTTAATACTAGGTTGCATAGTACTAGGCCCATCTTAATCTGTCTAAAATCCTGAAGTGACAATATTATGTAGACATGTTATTCTCTATGGATAAAAAATGAAAGCATGTCCCTTATGCATCAATACACTGTTCAGCCATCACCATGAAACTATGGAAAGTTGTTGAGACTACTACTGGGAAGGTCTCTATTGAAAATAATGGTGTTGCCCTTGCAAAATGTGATTTCTCGAAAATTCTTATATAACACTACAGTCTACAGGGGATGGCAACCTGGGATATAGACATGATTTTTAATCAATTTTTAAATACTTAAACTTTTTAAAATAGCATAGAATCTCGTAGAAATAAGATGTGTGCACAAAGTGAACAACAAACAATGTGTGTATAATAGTGCAGAACATTAATACATTGTAAAATCATATGCATTTTTTTGAGAAAGTACAAATTACTCATAATATGACAGAAAACAAAGAATTAGATATTTTACTTATATGTGAAATTTATTTCATCTATCTATCAGAAACAGTTCTGAAAAAACCAAAAGTAGAATGAATTCCACTTCCGGTTACCGGAAATTGCTGAAAAGATACCGAACTACAAATTTGATGTGATACTAAATTACTTAGATATGAAATTTCATCAACCTAGCTGTAACAGTACTCAAGTTATCATGTTCACCGACACATATACACACACAGACTAAATTGCAAAGCCCAGTTTTTCCGACTCAATGACGCATAAACTGCCAAGATTTTGATAAATCTGGATTTAGAATTTTTGCCAGATTAAAATAAGTCCCCTACGCTCCATATATATAGGATGAAGTACTCTATGTGTAAAACTGTGGTAACTGTCAAAATTTAATGTGATTTTTGTGCACGATTACAATACTTCCTCTATACTCTATGACTCTATACTATACTCTATACTCAGTGAGAGAGCAAAAAATGGTAGAATCTAGAAATCTAGACTTAGCAGCGACTTAGCTAGATCTAGAATCTAGACCTATAAAAAATGGCATGTGTTTAACTGTTTTTTATTTATTTGGCTCACCTAGCAATTTCTTGAACATAGTCATAATGTTCATCCTGAACAACCCAATCCATTTTCCCAGTAAGTGGATTCACTCTTGAAACGAAAGTCAACTTCGGACTGTCCAACTCTTCTGCTATTCTTTTGTTTTTTATTAAAAACTCATCAAAATTTAAAAGGCTAACACTACTACTACTATTATTACTAGATCTATTATTAACATTGTTATTTGTAGTATTAAAAGCTCTAGAAATGTTAATATTGCCACAGTTTTTCTGAATGTTTAGGTTATCGCTTGTTAATGTTGTAGTAGGTAGATCTAGATCGTGTGACATTTTGATTTTACTGTAACTGTGACACCGAGAGTGATTGATGCTAGATCTAGTTTTTGTATTTATTTGCAATTTGGATAGAAAAAAGATTTTAAAATATATTAACGTTGATAATGATTGTTTTTGGCTAAAAACAAGTTGTTTATTGGGTATTAAAATGAAATGCAAATAACTTAATCTAGATCTACCAAATTTAAACAAAGTTCTAGATCTAGATCTAGTTTTATTTAACAACATCAGACTCATAACATTAACAAAGTGTAAAAAGCACATGGGAAATAGGACCGGAAGTTGTTGATTCTATATTTAGATTTATAGCTGGTAAACTGGGGTCACTCAGGCATGACATCGTCTAGAGTCTAGCCTAAGGGGTCATCTACTTATGACGTCCACAAACATTTTGGATTTTAGACCCCCTCCCCATTCCCCTACCACCGTCCAAATGCGTCTACTTTCTACGACCCCCCCCTCTCCATTGTGGACATCCACAAAAATTAAGTGAATATCTTTAAATAAAAATGTTTTATTTGAACAACATGTATTTTTTTCACTTTTTCACAAACAGGAATAACTATATATAGATATGGGAGGGCGGGGTTCAGAGATTCTTCCAGGCATCTCTTCGGGGCGGGGGAGGGCGGTGCCCCCCTCCCCCCGAAGAAAGTCTACCGCTCTCCTCCCCCCCCCCCCCCCCCCCGAATGAAATGGAATTTATATAGAATATATATACTTTTGACAGTGTCCGCCCACCCCCCCCCCCCCCCCGGATATTGTTGTCTGCCGCTCCGCCCCCCCCCCCCCCCCGAAAATTTCAAGTGCACCCCCGAAGAAAAAAGTCTGGAAGAAACGCTGGCAAGGTTGGAAATTGATAGTCCACTTCGGACTAGGTCGGTACGCCTGACCCCTGCTCCTCCCCCTATCAATTTGTACTTAAATTACTAATTAACTTATATCAGTCATTAAAAGCATTTTTCTTATGTGCAATTGGCAATTTTTTTGCCTTGGTGTCACCTCCCCCCATTTGTAAGAGATTTTATATGTGATCAATGCTTTTAATACTTTTGTTAAAGTAAATAAGTTTGTTTCATTTTAATTGCATATAAATGTAATAAACTTTTTAGCGCAATTTCCTTATTAGCGCAATTTCCTTACAGGAATTGCGATTATTAACTCGTCATTTCTGGATGGATGGATGTGTGTCCGCAATGGATGGATGTGTGTCCGCAGCTTTAAGTCGTATCTCCCCCTCAACGAAGCAATATCGAGGACTAGTTCCAAAGCAAATATGTTAAGCAAAATCCGAGGATGATTGTGGGCCAAAAAAAATTCCCGGAATTCCTTCCTGGATTTCCCGGAAAAAGCCAAAAAAACTAAAAAAAAAATGCAGTTTTTGGCCCATATCTCGGCAACCAGACCACTTAGCGACTTGAAACATTTACCAATCGATTCCTGCCATAATTTAGAACAATATTGCCGAAGAAAGTTTTCAAAAATATCCTTTCGTTCGGTCACAAAAAATTAATTAAGGAAATTGCGCTTAAATTGTCACTAGACTTTTTATTAACTTGTTTTTTGTTTTATTATCAACTTATTACTCACTCTTTCTTATTAAGTCAACAATACCCATACGACTAAAATATGTGCTTCAAAACATTAAACCCAAACAGTTTGTTGCAGTGTTTCTTCTAGACTTTATTCACCGGGGCAGGGGGGGGGGGGGCGGACGGACACTGTTAAAAGTATATATTTTCTATATAAATTCCATTTAAGAGATGCATGGAAGAAACTCTGGTTTGTTGCTATCTCAATAAAAAAATAATAAAAGACAATATTTGTTTTATCTGTCCCTTCTTAGGCCGTGGTCATTCGCAGGCATGAATCCAAGCATCCTTGTCCAACAGGATCCGTTATCTGATAGCTGACTGAGCAAAACGCTAGTACTTGATCTTGTTTTCTCCCCTTCTTTCATTTAATTTAATATGTAAATAATATGTAATTAGATAAAAACCTGTGATAGTCTAACATTGTCATCGGTGCATTACAAGTGGGTCAAAACTGAGTTTCAAAATTTGCATTGACATTCATTGTATTGTAAACTAAATGGTTTTAAAAAGCTAAATTCGGTAGATACCCAGCATGCTTAATAACTAACTAAAACGCTCGAGAAAGACTTCCCAAGATTTCTTTTTCTTAGATGTATGTGATGAAAGTTTAATAGGTCTATATAAATGTAATAATATTGGATTATTGAGTTTTATTAATGATGTTAATTCCCACTTCACAGGTGTTAAGTATTAACACTATTAACAGTGTTTGTATACGGTTTGATTTTGCATATGAGCCATTAAGTTGGTATCTGGTCTGTAGTTTTTCTTACACGTCTGTAAGTTAGTGTAAGAAACGCTTTCCAGAAATGATTCACAATCCAAAGTTAATAAAAAGCTTTAGTGAAAGAAGTTTTTAATGCAGGGGGAGGCAATGATAATGCTTTTCAGAAAAAAGTAGTAAAAAATATTTTTTTTTAAAGTTTATTAATTTTATTACTCAGATTCACATAACAAGTCACATAACCTTTTCCTTTTACCCAAAATTGCAGTCGGTAGCTACAAGCTAGTAAGCAGATTGGTGGGTTCTCAACACTCAGCTATGGATCCAATTATGGCACAAATTTTCTTATCCTGCTGGTTGGTAAATACTTCAGTTTTAAAGCAATGTGGAAATTATCTAAACAACTAAAAAAATAGTATTGTAATAAGGACAAGTTTTAGTCTGGGTTGATATAAAAAGAGAGTCAAGACAAAACACACTTTAAAAAAAAACACTAAAAGCATTCACATCAGAAAATACTTGACTAATTTGTTTTAGATAGGTATACTCTTGTAATATTGCTGGCATAGCAAAGTTGTGGCTGACTTAGCAATATGCATTCAATCCTAAAAGAAAACCTATAAAATACATGGCACACAACCATTTTTATTCATAATGCTTGATTGTTTACAATGTCAAACTTGTCCAATACTTGCTTTAATTTCAGCACATTCATTACAAAGCAAAACCCATGTGTTATACTAACATTAGTTAACATAATAAAACCCGCGTTGCTAACAAAAATGGATATTTCTATTAAAAACTATTAATAGTACCATACATGATTAGTTTGATCGAGACCAAGAGCATTTCCTACAACTTTATACATTTGCATTTGATGAAACACTGGGCAGGTAAACAAGCACATAAATCTGATGTGACAACACATGACATAACATTCTTTCTCTCAGCTGCCAATATTAAGTTGCAACCTGAATGGATTAATACAAAATAAATTACAACTAACCAATTGGAACAAGTGTACCAACTCCTATACTTGCCATGTGATACAACAGAAGGACACACCAAAATTGCTTCTGTTTAAAATTTGCCCATACTGCTCCTTAACTATATGTACATTCCTAAAAAAAAAACTCGTAGACACATTACTGTACATGGAACATCTGAAACAATGATCACTATTTTGGATTTTTTACTCTAATTTAGGCTGAATCATAAAAAGAGTTTTTAAAAATCAAATGACATTAATGCAAACTCTAATCTATACTGTATAGCTAAGTTTAAATATCTACCATCCATCAGAAACTTTATAAGAAACAAGTTATGGTCAAATACTTTATTTAAATTGCAACAGTAGATAAAAATAATGAAAAGTGAATAGCATTAATGACTGACAGAAGTTTATACAAGTTTATTCCTAAAATCAATAAAATAATAAACATTTTAATCTGATGGATAGATAAACAAGAAACACTTTAAATGTAACAGCCACTCTTCATTCACATAACCAGTGTACACTTTTATAAACCCCAAGGTCTAGTGAAATCTAAATGTGGTAAAGTAATTTTTACTAACATTTTAGTATTTTGATTTACCATCAGGATCAGTTATCCCGAAAACACAAAACCAGTGTATCTGACACTATCTTTCAAGAAATAATCTACATGTGATCTGGAATAATAGAGCATTCCTAGATGTTTAAAGCATCATACTAGCTTTAAGTGTGAAGAAAACTTAGTTCTAAAAACAGTTCTAGAAATTAAAAGAAATCTAGCAGCAAGAATATATTTAAAATAGTACACCATATACTTTAACATTCTTTTCACTGAATTCCAAAAGCAAAAGTACTAGTATACAGTATGGACTAAAGTTGACATTCACTATTGCAAAATGTGGACATAAAAAAAGAATTACTTTAGTTATCAAATACATTCTTCAATCAACCAAAGTTCCTGCTTTAAATTAACATGATAATGGTGATAATTTATGGATGGCAGGTGACCTAAGATGACATTCACCAGACAACAACTCAATGCAATGAAGAAAAAGACATCACTCCCCTTGAAATCTATATTTAATAAAATGAATATACAACAGTAGAGTTGAAGAGAAGGGCAAAACAGCCAAAGACTTGAAGACATCATAAATGATGGCTTTCAGCTTAAATAATTTGCAATAGTTTAGCTCTGAGCAGTGGCTGCATTGTTGGGCAGGGTGGCCATATTGGAGGACATAACAGGGGAGCTGGACGAACCTACTGTGCTGGTAATGGATGAACCTATAAGAAAAATAGATAGGATTTAACACAGTGCATTAAATTAAGAAATATTTTAAGACACCACCTTTTAAGTCAAAATTTCGTAAAATAGTAATTTTAACAAATATTAATTTAAAGCAAATGAACAAATTCAAACTACTTTTAACGAGAACTTATAAAATACACAATCTGCTTTATTTAAAGATTAAATGACTTTGATAGTAAAAGCAAAGACTATGAGCACTTCATAATACAAGAACCAGGCGCATATTCAACAAAGTCCATTAAGAATGAAAAACCTAAGTTAGAGCTAGTTGTTTTAGAGGATTGCTTATCAGATCTATACAATATAAATTAAGTTGCTCTATAGGATTGCTTATCTATACAATAAAAATTACGCCTCTCATATTTGTTAGGATTTTATTAAAACACCAAAAAAAATAATAACAAAAGAGCTTTTAAAATGTGATTTTAATATGATGAACTTGCATTTAAAATTTGATGTTGACCTTGTTAAATTTTGTACAAAGGTAAATTTGAAACTAATTAAAAACCCTAAACTAATTAGCAGCAATTATTCAAACCTTAAATGTATTATAACACACCAGAACTAGGATTTAAATGTATTAACAATATCAGCAAGCAATGCAACAAAAATTAGAAATCCTCAACAAAACATGCTTACATAATAATATGCTAATTTGAATAACAGAAAAGTTTGTGTAAATTTATTTTCCAAAGCTGAAGTAGCAACATAAGTGATGGGAGTTGCCAACAAAATTCAATGTTGTAGTGATAGCTATCCAAGAGATTTTTTTATCATTAAATAGTTCTGGATAATTAAGCTGATCATAATCACCATTTATAATAGAAAGCAATCACCAGCGGATGCAACAAAGTTAGAACTTTAAAAAAAAAAAAAAAGAAAACATCTTAACCTGTATTCCTCAGGCTTTCTGTTGTACTTCCCAATTCACATCTGAAAAATGAAATACCAAGGTGTTTTTTCTAAACTAAACAATAGAGTTTGACACTGTGAAGGTTTAAATTTTATTGTCTACATAAAAATAAATAAAAATCTAGCCTGCATTAAAAAGAAAGAAAACAAAACAGCATTATAAAAAAAAATCTTTGAGAGGGCTGAGAAAAAAAAAGTGACAAATCTTAAACGATGTTTAATGACACTAGACCAAGCAAGACTCTGATTTCCACAGTATAGTGCAACACTCAGTAAATGGCTCATGCTATGCAACTTGATGTAGCAAGTTGAAAAACTAAAAACTTACAAGAGCTAAAATAAACATGTACTTGCTGAATAGATGTTAAATCTAAAACTATTTTTCCTACATAGACTACTCTCTCTTAATAGCTTTTATTATTAGTGTTGTAGTATAGATTTTCATTATGCATCATGCTATTATAATTTAAGTTCAAATGTTGAGGGGGGGGGGGGGGGGGGGGGAAGAGAGAGAGAGAGAGAAGAACACATTTAGCTTTATTCTGTAAAACTAGCTTAAATTATCTGTTATACTTATTCAATGGGGTATTTTAGGCAAGCATATCAATTTTTAAAATGAGTCAGTTTTATGGCATGTACCTAACAAAAGGTAGATAATTAACAAAACATTTCAAATATTGCAGAATTAAATAATTTTAAATTCATTCTTATTCTGTGGAACTTATACATTTTAACATCTAATGCACAAAAATGGCATTGCTTGTTTTAAAAAGAGTGAATCAGTTAATGATACCCACAGCATATATAAATCAATATATCAATTATACAATGCATACAGTGCAAACTAGAGCTAGGGATAAAGCTAGGTAGCATCCTCAAGCTATAAACCCATTGAATGTGGTTTTTAGTCAACTCTGGACCATTAAACCAACCTCTATTTTCCTCCAGCTCTTCTATTCCCTCCTTCCCTATTGCATCCCTAAGAACACCATCTAAGACTGGCAAAATAAAGCAAATACTAATTATATTCCAGCTTCCATTTAACAGATCAAACTGATCTTCTTTGAAAGTGCATCAATAAATATGTACCGCAGCATTTCCCAAATCAGTGCACATTTGCAAGCCTCTGACAACAAGAATAACATGACAATATAACAGTTAAGCATATCTACACCAAATTACTTGACTAAAAATATGTGTAATCCCATACAGCACATAATGTATGAAAATGAGTGAAGCAGTTTAAGGTAGAAGCTGCTATTCATTAGGGATGCAGAATATCCATTAATAATATATTAAATTTATAAACAAACTCCATTAGACAATGATGATACTATTACGAGATATCTGTTACTTAAGCTAGAGAAAGCCTCAAAAAGTTGCATATTCCAAGAGTTAACAGAGCTTTTATCAGCTGCAATTTACTGGAATTATCAGCTGGAATTTATTTCCAACACAAAAAACAAACAGTAAACTACTGTGTCCTGTTGGATTCTAGTTCAATACATCGTTGCTAAATTTACTTTTTCTATACCATGGGAAGAAAAAAAATGCACATCAATTATATATAACAGCACCACCATAGAAAATGTGGGAAATGCTGATGTACAGTACTAAAATAAACACTGATCGAATACTGACCAGAGCCAATTTGTGGAGAAATGGGTTAGAAACAAATAATGCATAGCATCTTCTTGATGCATTAATATTAATGTGTGCAAAGGTCATAAACAAAAAAAAATCTAACAAATATTACTGAAAATAACAAGTGTTATATATAAAAAAGCATCAACAAAAGCTTACTGAAACTTGTTAATTAGCTATTATATTATTAAAAGCTAAGTATTTCAAAAACCTAACTTACTTTAGTTTTCACTGATGCTAACACTATGTAAGTTTAAAGAACAAAAATAAATTTAAGCACTATAAATTGTCAAAATTAACCACAAAAGGAAAATTTATAAGACTAGACTTTAAAATGTAACATTATTACAACAGCTAGGGTGATAATGGAAAAACAACATGAGAGTTTGTATTAAAAGTATACTGCATTGTAAAAGAAGTGCTGCAAACTACATTTCAGACTAAGAAAAAAAAATTACATTTAACTTGCCTCCAATCTGACCAGCAGCAGTTACAGGAGTTGGTGATGTGTGCCCTGAAATGTTGGACAATCGCCCTTGCTCTTTCACAATAGGGTCTGAAAAGTAAAAACAAAAGCAATGGTTTGCTTATTCTATTCATCAGCAACAATAAATACACTAGCCTGTAGCATAAAATCAATAATCTTACAGAAATAAGGATGGTCCATTGCATCTCTTGCTGTTAAACGATCATTATGGTCATAACGTAGAAGTTTATCTAGAAAATCCAGTGCCTCAGGACTGACAAGATGTTGATTTTCACTGTGTACAAATCTCTCCCATCGCTTTCTTGAGTGCCTATAAAAAAGTTAGAGAGGCTATAAAAACTTTATACAAAAGTTGTATTATTAGTGTGTAGTACTCATGATGACATTCAATGTTCTGACATAACCCAGCAGCAACTGACAAATTGTAGTTGACACATGTATTAATATAAAAAACTAACCTTCCTAAAATGTCATTAAATCTTGGGTCCAAATCAATTTGATACTTTTCAATATAACCATAGAGATCATCTGTTCCCAAAACTTTGGCAATCCTCACCAGCTGTAAAAACAAAATTTAAATGAAATATCTACACTATGCACTTACTAGAGTTAGTAAAATATATGTACTGTATTACAAAAGAAAAATAGCATTATTAAAAAAAAAAGTACCTGGTCATAGTTGTCATGACCATGAAAGAATGGTTCTTTCCTAAATATCATGCTGGCAAACATGCAGCCCAAGCTCCACATATCTAATGAATAGTCATACATCTGTAAAAAAAAAATATATATAGATTTTGATCATATTATAGTTTCCTGGATATACAATTTTAGCTTACATCCCTACACACACAAAAATGATTGTGCTCACCTGATAGTCTAACAAGAGTTCTGGTCCTTTAAAATATCTAGAAGCTACTCGAACATTATACTCCATGCCAGGATGATAGAACTCAGCCAATCCCCAGTCAATCAGACGAAGCTAGAAATTTAAAAATACATTACAACAATTAAAACAAAGCTAAAAAAAAATACATTAACACAACATAAATAAGACACAACAAAGTTTTAGAAATATTCAAATTGGCTGAAGTTTGCAGAAAACCTTCTAACCTTTCTGTTTTCATGATCAATCATCACATTGTGAGGTTTGACATCCCTGTGCATTATACCCATACTGTGACAATAGTCCAATGCCTGTAAAGAAATAAGAAAATAAATTAATATTCAAGTCTACTCCTCTGAAAATAAAGTAAGCTATGAAAGTTTAAAAAATTTGCATTTTTTAAAAAGTTACATAATTATACATTTTAAATAAGTTATTACAAATTAACTAAAATATTTTACCTTTAATAATTCATACAGGTAGAAACGTATATCAAAATCTATGAATGTCTGGTAGAGTTGCTACAAGAAAAAACAAATATTTTAGAAATAGGTCTAAGGATGCTGTTTGATGTAGCTTAAATTTCTTTGCTTTTTAATATTTATCAATGCCATACATATGTAATGTTGTGCCTGTGATTTTGACCAAACAAATAATGTTAGTGTTTTAAAAAGGAGGACACTTGATTCTCTTTCATCTACAGTAATAAGAGATTTAAATTGTAATTTACCTTGAAATCTGTATTATTGACATGCTCAAATATGAGGGCTGGTGTACGTGACTGAAAAAATAATTGAAAAGTAATGGCTGATCAAAATAAATTTTCATAATAAAATAATAATTCAAAAAAATAATAATACCCTAATAAAAACAACAAAAAAATGATTAAGTTTTTATTATAAGCTGGCATACTAACCACTGGATCTTTTACTATTGCCAATAATGTTATGACATTTGTGCCACCCCTGAGATTTTCTAATATCTTTATTTCCCGTTTGATTTTCTTTTTCTTTACAGGCTGAAAAGAGATAGTATTAAAAGCTGTTTATATCTGAAACATTAAACCAAATATGTTTCTCTTTTAAAACTAATAAGTCAGAAACAATTTTTTACCTTTAGTATCTTTATAACACATTTTTCATTGTTTGTGACATTCACTGCTTCAAAAACCTCGCTGTACTTTCCTCTTCCTAATTTTCTGACAACCTGATAATCATCCTGATTTCTGAAATGCATGCAACAATTTGTTAAAATAAGGTTCAATGCCTTCCCTATTAAGATTTAAGAAATAATTTGGATGGTTGTATTATGGTTCTAATATGCATTGATTTTAGTGCTAAAATTGTTTTCAAATAAAAGTAATAAAAATTATTACAAACCCCCAATCAACAACATGTGATTCATAATCCCAGTATTCTCTTGGTTTATGAGTGTTTATGTCAGCATAAACGCGAGCTCTGCTTGGAAGAGGCATTCTTTTGCCAACAAATAGTTGTGGGACAACTTTGCCCCCTTCTGTATGAAAACTTTTAAAAAGTTTTCTTCCAAAATGTTCAAACAAAGAAAATTTGAAATGCCGAAGAATATCTATGACTGATCTTGTTGAGCTCTGAAAATAATAATTATAACCATATTGCCAAAATTTTAATACATTTATAATACATTAACTATTGCTCTTCAATTCTACATGTAAAATGTGTTAGCTTGGTCTAAACTTGGAACCAACAACTAGTGATGGGGATAAAATAATTATACTCTGGCCCATCTATAGGCTTCTAGGGGTCTAACTAAACTAACTTATTTCAAAACAAGAATAATTTGGTTTTTAGCCTATACTAACCATCACCAAATACCCTTAATAAAAAAATATAGCATTGGTTTCATTTTCAAATAAATCAGACAACACAAGTCAATATTTAATTTATTTATTATATTTAAATCCTAACAAGCATGGGGCATTATAGCATGTAGATAGGTTTACTGGTTGTCTATTTTTTATATCTAAAACTAAACTTAAGGTCTATTAAAATCAACCATATTATTCAATTTAAATGATATAGGCAAGTATAACACCATCAGATATTACATGTGATTGTGTTTTGTTAATGTAATGTTAGTGAAAAGAGACAAGTTTAGGGGCCAAATGATTAGGCCTAACCTATTCCTTGAATGTTAGTTCATGGCATTATTGTTATATATTCCTACAGGCCTAGATTCTAGATCTAGAGTAGATAAAAAGTAAAAACTTATGGCAGTGGTTTGGTTATGTAGAGCTAGAATCTAGATTATAAAATTCCCACAAATGCTCTGTTACTTAATGATCTAATGATGAATCTAATCTAGATATCTATAGGCCTATAAAAGTATAAACTTATAAAATCTAGATCTAGATTAGATCTTTTTATTTAAAACCAAACAAAAAATGCACAGTTAACCTAGATCTAGATTCTAGTCTATACCTTAACACTCTGTGATAAACCAAAACTTAAAAGTGATAAAGAAAATCTTATTCATAATAAAGTATCAATCTAGCTAGGCAGTGCTAGAAAGCTAGGCCTAAAATGTCCACTAAATGAAAATAAATTAAATCACCCTAAATGTGTACAGCAGATATAGATCTGCATGCAGTGTTAAAACTATATGTATAATATATCTAGATAGATCTATATCTAGATCTAGTAAATTGAGACCAGTTAAGCAATTTTTTTATACAAAGACGCTTCACAAGGTCGGTAGACTCAGAATTTCACTAAAAAAATGAACCCACGCGGGATGTTAGCCAGCTAAAAAGATAACCTTACATTCTCTATCCAATTGTTAAATGATCCCAAAGATAAAAAAATTCAAAATAAGTGTTGCTATACTGGATTATAAAGATTAAACGTTAACAACTAGGCTTGTGACCAGACAAACGAAAAAGACTCGAGACAGACCACACTACGGAACGATCTCATTCTGTGCACAGTACAGACAGCAGATCACGACATGCATGATTAAAAAAACGCACCTCTACAACAGGCCTTTATCTGATCTAAGGAAATTAAGAGACGAAAATGTTATTCTTTACGTCACATTTCATGTTCGTGTTAAACACAAACATGATTCGTAGGAAAAAATAATAAGAGTATCGTTTGAATGTGTCAGGTTTATCTACATTTTAGAGGAATTTATAACAAGATGGCTACCGTCGTAGTTCTCAGACAAAACGAGGCTGTAAAACTTTCAACTTCCGGTAGATAATTAACCATTTATTCCCCTTGTTATAAATTTGAAAAAAAAAATTGAGTCATGGCTCAGGTGTATTAGATCATATACAGGACGATCCGTTGCTGTAGGTTTAAATATTCCAATCCTAGTTAATTTCCCATTAAACTTATTACTTGCAGACGATGACTAGACATGTTAGAGATGCTAAAATGAACTCCGGACGCTAAAGACCAGTGACAGTAAAAACCGTTCCTTCGCCACTGTCTATCGCCCAAGAGGGGGAGGGGTTGCTAAAGACGCTGAATGACTTATACTGGATCGGAAGGTTGAGAGGAGGAAGAGCTTACGTTCGATCAGTGTTTCTTTCAGACATTTTTCTCCGGGGGAGGTACTAGAAACTTGCCGTTTTTTTTTCTATTTGGCGTTGGGGGGGGGGGGGGGGGGGGGAAGGGGCAGTGGCATAGCTAGGAATTTTGGGCCATTAGCAAAAATGATCAGTGGGTCCCTTTATCAGCAGTTAAGGAGTTAAACATAGGAAACTAAGAAATCGACAGCTACTTACGGGGTAGGGATTTCAAATAATAGAAATAATCAGTACATTTTGTATTGCATACGTCCTGATTGTGTATTTATACTGTATACATATTATCCTGTAACGTAAAATATATTTTATTTTATGTCACTTTTCAGTAAAAAATAAATAAATTCACTGTAAATTCAATATAACTTATATAATGTAAGCATACACCGTAGCGTTACAAGGCGGGGAACGAGCGCATCTGATGACACGATAGGCACGACACCATGACAAAAAACATTATAAAATTAACTTTCCAAAGTATGGGGTCATCTATAGATGACGTCACGCATTTTTGACGATTTTTACCTCCCCCTCCCCTCCTTCATACATTGTCACAAAAAAGCCAGACCCCCCCCCCCCCTTCCCCCTAAAATGACGTTACACCTCAGCTTACAACCCCCCCCCCCCTCTCAAGATTGCAGTTGAATTTTTCTTAAAACATCGATATTTTTTTCAAAATCATGTCTGATCTCTGTCAACATAATTTTAATAAATTCTTATTACAAGTTATTAAAACTGTTTTCTAAAACACGAAATAACGGCTAAAACTAGTTTTCTAACATTGCTTTTTATAACCCCCCCCCCCCCCTCATCACACACCGTCACAAAATTACGCCCCCCCCCCCCTACGACCTACGACTGTGACTTCATTTATGGACGACCCCTATGTTTTATCCAGTTAAAATAAAAGGGAGATAAAAAAAGGGGGGGGGGGGGCACCTTTTGTAAAAGCACAGGGAGACACATGACCTTGTGACGCAACGAACCAAACACAATATATTTCTTTTAATTGCTTATGATTTTTAAAAAAGTTTTTAAGTTTGCAAGATGCTTAGTAAGTTTCTTGATATCTATTTTAGCTGCTTTCTGTATGTTAGATACTTAGGATGGCCTAATATCTGACAAAAACGGCATATCTACAATCAGTGGCGTAGCGAGGTCGGGTGTCACCCGGTGCGGCACTTAATGGTGTCACCCCCCCCCCAGAGGCGTTGCGACCCTTCCCGGGGACAAACTTTCATGTTTTCGATTTGCACCCCCCCTCAAACTTTCGATTTCCACCCCCCTCAAGTTTTTGATTTGCACCCCCCCCCCCTCAAACTTTCGATTTGCACCCCCCTCAAGTTTTTCTGTATATATTTTGCTATTTTTTGCCTTGGTGTCACCCCCCTAAATGGTGTCACCCGGTGCGGTCCGCACCCCCCCCTCGCTACGCCCCTGTCTACAGTGTATTTCCTAACATCATCATGATGAGCGAATCATGAGATAAACAAGTAATTAAAAAAAGTCTAGTGACAATTTTAGCGCAATTTCCTTGTGTTATCTAAAAATAGCTCTGTCGTAGCGTAAATCAAGAACAGGGTTAGTAAAACCATTGGTTAGTTATTAAAACGTTTTTTATTAAAAAAAAATTCAGTATTTTACATGTTTTATTTACAATAGAGTAGTAACATGACTAAAAACCATTGCGCGCCCAGCTACCGAACGTGACGTCGCAGCCATTGAACGTGATGGCGCAGCTATTGAACGTGATGACGCGTGTGGTATGGTTGCATAAAATGCCTACTAATTCGGTCCAAATTTTAATTAATTCAAAAATTTTTTTGTGACCAAACGAAAGGATATTTTTGAAAACTTTCTTCGGCAATATTGTTCTAAATTATGGCAGAAATCGATTGGTACATGTTTTAAGTCGCTAAGTGGTCTGGTTGCCGAGATATGGGCCAAAAACTGCATTTTTTTCGAGTTTTTTTTACTTTTTCGGGAAATCCATGAAAGAAACCCGGAATTTTTATGGCCTATGTTCATCCTCGTAACTTGCTTAACATAATTGCTTTTGGAACTAGTCCTCGATATTGCTTCGTTGAGGAGGAGATACGACTTAAAGCTGCGGACACACATCCATCCATCCATTCATCCATCCATTCATTCCCAGAAAAGACGAGTTAATAAACGCAATTCTCCAGAATGGAAATTGCGCTAAAAATTCCATCATATACATCAAAATCTCCTTCCCGAATTTTTGTACGGAACTAGCGTACCCGTCAGCGTTGCTGCGATCTAGCCTACATACCAGGGTAACACAACATTTTGATTTAATTGAGTAATCAATTTTAGTAGCCCTCCGTATACCAAGTGTATGGTGCTCATTAAAATGAATATAGGTGCCGTTGTGCTCATGGGTGAGCCCGAGCCGCACATGGTCATACCGTGACCGCCAGGGTGCCGACTGATGCGCCTGTGCAGTTTGACCGTTGAATCCATTTGTAACACTGAGCGCTGTGCAGGACGCACAATCACCGTGCCCATATGCTAAGATAGCCGCTGGGAAACAATGGGTGGCAAACGCACCACTCTACTGCCGGGCGCTGCCTTCCGATATTAAAAAAAAATAATTGCAGAAACCTTCCAATGAGTTAGATATTCTTGTAGGGGGGCGGTGGGGGAGGACCCGAGGAGGCGGCCGCCCGGGCGCCGACCCTAGGGGGCGCCTAAAGGGATAGCAATTTTTTTGAAAGCTCATTTTAAGCTTCAGTTTTGAATTATAAACAGTCAAAGTTAAGAAATTTAATGGCTTCTAGCCTCCAAATACTGATTTAACTAACCCTAATCCTGAGTGTGTAGCTGTAAAACATATACCCTTAAGAAACAGTGACCGGCAAAAAAAAGCTTTCCAGTTTTTTCTAAGGGGCTTGGGGTAGAAAACGACGACTGCTACTGCGTTGTTACTTTGTTCAACCTAACTGATAATTTAAAACTGTAGTATACTTTTATCGAAATTGTTCTAAAGACACGGTTAAAAGTAGACGAAATAAGCTTTCACCTTCTACAAACTACACTCTAAAGCAGTGGTTCTTAACCTTTTTGGAGGTGCCGAGCCCCACCAGTTTTATATGCGCATTCGCCAAACCCTTCTTAATAGTTTTATCGTCGACCATGACCAAATCGTGAACCCAGATTAAGAACCACTGCTCTAAAGGCTAAACTCTTTTGATTTTTTTTCTTTTTATATATTTTTGTCTTCCAAAGGAGCATATGCGTGGGCAACACTTCGTCAACTCAATTGATTTTTTTTTTGAAGATCGAACCCTGATAATCCAGCCTCCCACATCATTCTCTATTTCAAACAATTTTCTTCATGACTTTTTTGTCTCCATCTCTTCCTCTTTCCACGTGGACTTTACATCAGCACTTGTTATTTACTGTTTTTCTGATATTGTGCCCTAACCACCACTTTTTCGTTGCTCTTATTTCATTCTCCACTGTATGTAACCTAGCTCTCTGAGTCATACAGTAAAAGAGTTTCTTTGCATTTAGCTGCAGATCCTGATTGAATTTTAGTGAAAATGCATTTGACTTCTACTTGGTTTAGAATGTTAAAACGCGTTTCATCGCTGCTGATTCTAATCTGAACGTCATGGGCGGTGCCACTATAATTGAACCGATTATTAATGCTTCTTCAACCAGTACAATTTGTTGTTGACTATGCGCAAGCAGACAGCGCAGATCTGCGAAATCCAAGACTTCAAGCTCCTGTGTTTCCGTTGGATTCCAGTTTGAATGCTCTAGATTATTCATTATACAATTACCAGTCAGCGAAATACCCATGTCATATTCAAATGTGTATAATAAATGTTTATGATAATTTGCTATCGTGTGTCGCTTGTATTACCATATTCTAACAAGCTTATAATCCAACTATGTAACATATCAATATCATAACAGAGATTGTTCCAAAGATAGAACATAATAGACTGGCCTAAACGAATTAGCGCCCACTACAAACTTCCCTCGAAATTCAGACGAGGCTTATTTTTAAAAGGATAACGCATCTTAAGGGGGATTTTAAAAAAAAAAAAAAAAAAAAAAAAAAAAAAATATATATATATATATATATATATATATATATATATATATATATATATATATATATATATCTATATATATATATATATATATCTATATATATATATATATGCAGCCTATATATATATATGTATAAATGGGTGGGGGGAGTGGGGGGGGGGGGGCGCCAAATTGAAAGTTCTCCCAGGGAGGGGTCGCTACGCCTCTGGCTGTAAACGCCATCAAATATAAAAATTTAGTCTGCACGAGGATTCGTTGTTTTTATTTTATTTATTTCTTCTTTCCCTCGCGCATTTGACAAGCTTTTATTTAATTTTAACTTGCTTTTGTCGTCATGGATCGAAACTAGCGAGCGAAATTTTCACAACTTCTAACGAGCCAGTTCCCAAATCTTAGTAAAAGTATCCAATACACAATATTGCGACCCTCGCTATTCTTTACAGTTAAAATAATAAAATAGTGGTGGATTGTTTTATATTGCTTGAAAAAAATTTATTTGAAAATAATTATATAAAAGCTTGTTATTAAAACGTTTTTACAAGCTTATTTTTAACTTGCTTCCTCTGACTGTCTGTCTTTCTGTCGTCATGGATTGAAACTGTCGAGAGAAATTTCGATCAAACTGACCGATTCGTTTCAAACTTGGCACGTGGGTAAAGACCAGATGATAATCTATCAAGATTTGATAGAATCAAGAAAATAGGATTTTATACATTTGAATAACATTTCCGCCACCAAAACGAAATGGTACTTATGTTATCGATATTTTAGAAACCGGAAATAGAGTAAAGTACCACTTCCGGATATCGAAGGTTACTCAAATCTTGAGAGTAATCAAAATATAAGATCTTGTAAGTAGGCTATGTATGAAATGCTGTCTATTTATTAACTGAAACAGTTCTCAAGTTATCTTATACCAACGGAATTAAAGTACCACTTCCGGGCACCGGTTGTCTGATAAAATGTAATAAATGCTTTCATATTATTTTTTTTCTCCTTCGTTTTTTTTTTCGCCTCAGATATGTAATTTACAGCGTCAGTTTGCCTTGTATGTTCGCTTTAGTATTACAGTTTTCATCATCGGCTTGTGAGGACTGATACAGATTTACAACAAAAATACTTCTTACTTTCATTTTAGTGTTACAGGTTAAAGGGTAATAATAGAATGCAACATTTTGTTAAAACTGGTGATATAAACTCTTATATTAATAAGGTTTCTACATCAACATTATATATAGTCCCGTCCCCACCCCCTCACCATAACACCATCCCCGGAGAAAATGTAAGTGCTGTAAGTTTAAGTTTTTAAATAACCCGACCATTAAAACATGTGTTTAATTGAAACAGGATTGAATCCAACCAGATGTCAAGCACAGTTGTCTCTTGTCCCCTTGGATCCACCCCTGACATGGCCGCTACTGTCAGACAGGCGAGAGTTATGTCCCCTGACGACATAATCCCCCAAGTATTTCCACCGCCTGCTCGACCGTGTAGTTACAAAATTCTGGCCAGTCAGTTTTTCTCTGGTTAGGCGACGTGCAACATTCTAGGTAAGAAGAATATAGGGCTGTGTGTTGACTTATTGCAGAAATACGTTGTTGATATTCCATTCTATTACAGCTGGGGTATTGTTTTCAAACATGAGGCAGCAACGTTTATCAAAAAAAAATTTTTTTTGAAATTTCATAAGTGAATTTGAGCGTCTATGTTCTTGTTAGTTGTGGGTACTGTCAGATCAGTGCACCGTGCGATTAGATCACGTTAAGTGTAGGCTATTCTTTGATTAGATCACGTAAGGTGTATTCTTTAATTAGATCACGTTAGGTGTAGGCTATTCTTTGATTAGATCACGTTAGGTGTATTCTTTGATTGGATCACGTTAGGTGTATTCTTTGATTCGATCACGTTAGGTGTATTCTTTGATTGGATCACGTTAGGTGTATTCTTTGATTGGATCACGTTAGGTGTATGCTATTCTTTGATTGGATCACGTTAGGTGTATTCTTTGATTAGATCACGTTAGGTGTATTCTTTGATTGGATCACGTTAGGTGTATTCTTTGATTGGATCACGTTATGTGTATTCTTTGATTGGATCACGTTAGTTGTATTCTTTGATTGGATCACGTTAGGTGTATTCTTTGATTAGATCACGTTAGGTGTACTCTTTGATTAGATCACGTTAGGTATATTCTTTGATTAGATCACGTTTGGTGTAGGCTATTCTTTGATTGGATCATGTTAAGTGTATTCTTTGATTAGTGAACATGACTAAAATCTGCCTTAAATCAGAACCCGTGTAAGAAAATGTGTGTGCTGTAAAACTACGGTCACTAGCCCCCACCCGGTTCGTGTCGCCAGCACTAAGGTTGACCAGGGGCGGCTCGCCACAACACAACCTGAAGGGGACCACTGGCCAGCAACCATTGATTGATGTAGAACACGTGACCTATACATTGTGCACATGATATTTAATGTTAAGACATTTTGAAACAACCGACAACTTCGTACACCAACACATATTTTATTATATAACATCACGTGGTACAACAACCCTCTTTTAACCCCATCCCTCTTTCACCCCGCCCCACCTGTATAACCCGCATAGCTACAAACACCTGTATAACCCGCATAGCTACAAACACCTGTATAACCCACATAGCTACAAACACCTGTATAACCCACATAGCTACAAACACCTGTATAACCCACATAGCTACAAACACGTGTATAAGTCACATAGTTACAACACCTGTATAACATAGCTACAAACACCTGTATAACCCACATAGCTACAAACACCTGTATAACCCACATAGCTACAAACACGTGTATAAGTCACATAGTTACAACACCTGTATAACATAGCTACAAACACCTTTATAACCCACATAGCTACAAACACCTGTATAACCCACATAGCTACAAACACGTGTATAAGTCACATAGTTACAACAACTGTATAACATAGCTACAAATACCTGTATAACCCACATAGCTACAAACACCTGTATAACTCACACAGCAAAAAACACCAGTATAACCCACATAGCTACAAATACCTGTATAACTTAAGAGCTACAAACATCTGTAGCGAATGCCGTCCATTAAATGAACCTCTTCTCTTGTTACCCCTAGTCTTGTTCGGCCTTCCACAGTCCAACCTCTCAGTGTTAATCCAGTCCTTTTTTTAGACGGCCGTCCAAAGGTTTAACATCCCAGCAGTTTCCACAAGGGTGTTGTCTACAGACTCGTGTTTGATTGGTCGAATCATTTTAGATACCAAAAAATTACAGTAGGATTTAACAATGTTTTTGTCTTCTGTCATCTTTAAAATGTTGTCATGCAAAGTGGTTTACAAAATGCTGACATCTAGACTAAAGTGGTTTACACAATGCTGACATCAAGACTAAAGTGGTTTACAAATAGCTGACATCAAAAGTGGTTTACACATAGCTGACATCTAGACTAAAGTGGTTTACACAATGCTGACATCTAGACTAAAGTGGTTTACACATAGCTGACATCAAAAGTGGTTTACACATAGCTGACATCTAGACTAAAGTGGTTTACACAATGCTGACATCTAGACTAAAGTGGTTTACACATAGCTGACATCTAGACTAAAGTGGTTTACACAATGCTGACATCTAGACTAGAGTGGTTTACACCATGCTGACAACTAGACTAAAGTGGTTTACACATAGCTGACATCAAAAGTGGTTTACACATAGCTGACATCTAGACTAAAGTGGTTTACACAATGCTGACATCTAGACTAAAGTGGTTTACACATAGCTGACATCTAGACTAAAGTGGTTTACACAATGCTGACATCTAGACTAAAGTGGTTTACACATAGCTGACATCAAAAGTGGTTTACACATAGCTGACATCTAGACTAAAGTGGTTTACACAATGCTGACATCTAGACTAAAGTGGTTTACACATAGCTGACATCTAGACTAAAGTGGTTTACACAATGCTGACATCTAGACTAGAGTGGTTTACACCATGCTGACATCTAGATTAAAGTGGTTTACACAATGCTGACATCTAGACTAAAGTGGTTTACACAATGCTGACATCTAGACTAAAGTGGTTTACACAATGCTGACATCTAGACTAAAGTGGTTTACACAATGCTGACATCTAGACTAAAGTGGCTTACACAATGCTGACATCTAGACTAAAGTGGTTTACACAATGCTGACATCTAGACTAAAGTGGTTTACACAATGCTGACATCTAGACTAAAGTGGTTTACACAATGCTGACATCTAGACTAAAGTGGCTTACACAATGCTGACATCTAGACTAAAGTGGTTTACACAATGCTGACATCTAGACTAAAGTGGTTTACAAATAGCTGACATCTAGACTAAAGTGGTTTACACATAGCTGACATCTAGACTAAAGTGATTTACACAATGCTGACGTCTAGACTAAAGTGGTTTACACAATGCTGACATCTAGACTAAAGTGGTTTACACAATGCTGACATCTAGACTAAAGTGGTTTACATAATGCTGACATCAAAAGTGGTTTACACATAGCTGACATCTAGACTAAAGTGGTGTACACTTAGCTGACATCTATACGGCCTGTGAGTGTCTATTTTAAGGTGGCCCTTACGTTCGAGCGTAAAGCTAATGAATATTTTATGGAAATGGAGACATGACAGGAGGCGGGGAATGGCTGGTTGACATCGTGTTTGGAGGTGTTTAAATTTATCCTGGCCTGGGCTTTTGATCAGAGTTGTCGCTCACAGGTCCCAGCATCGATGTGGTTGTGTACACTGACCAATCCCATTCGATGTGTACAGTTCACTGGCCAATCACATCTCTGGTTACATCGGCAGTCGTTTACAGATTTTTCCTGATGATGGGATCCTACATTCTATGTTTGTTTTTTCACTTAACTTTTGAAGACAATTATTAATCAACAAAGGTACGTGCGATTAAGGAACTCTTTTAAATTGGTTTAAACTGAGTAGCCAAAAATACCACAAAGACGAGTGGGTTAGGCCATTTGCCAAAACAATAAACCGGGAGTGATCTCTCCTAAACTTTCTCGAATATTCTTATATAAAATAACCGGGGATGGGAACTCGGGCTATAGACATAATTTTTAATCCATTTTAAATACTTAAAGTTTTAAAAATAGAATAAAATCTCGTAGATAAATTAATTGCACACCAAGTGAACGCCAAATAAAAAAGCGCATTATAGTGCGCAATATTATTAGTACTTTTAAAATTTACTTTAGTTTTTTGAGAAATCGGAAGTAGCGTAAAGTACTACTTCCAGTCAACGGAAATTACTCAAAATTTTGCAGAAGGTAGAGAATTAGATCTTTTACTTACATGTCAAATTTCATTTATCTATCTGGAATAGTACTCACGTTATAGGCTTTTGAAAAATTCAAAGTAGGAAAAGTACCACTTCCGGTTATCGGAAATCGCTCAAAAGTTGATACGGATCTACGATTTTGATAAAATACTTATATATGAAATTTCATTAACCTAGCTGTAACGGTACTCAAGTTATCGTGTTTACACACGGACAGACAGACACACAGACACACAGACAAGATTGCAAAATTATGTTTTTCCGTATCAGTGAGGTGTAAAACGTCGACATTTGTAAAAATCTCGATTTTTTTTTTTGCACGATTACAAGACTTTCTCTATACTTCGTATATACGAGAAAGTAAAAATGTAAAAAAAGAAATGTAACCCCCCCCCCCCCCCCCCGTACATATCGCAATTCTCTAACAACGCCACTTACCATCTCGTGAAGTAAACCACAGCTCCCCACCCTGTTGGCGGTCATCAGCAAAGATTGATGACGTACACCGCACGGCCTAGCGCCTTGCTGTCAACAACAGCCATTTTTTGATGCGGCGACAACAAGCATGGAATCTTCGAGAGAATTTTAACTCGGGGTTGAATGCTAATTTTCGCGCCAAAAAAAAATCTGCAACCACCAGAAGACAGATTTGGAGGAAGTAAATAGTAAACATGCGTGATAAGGCGTGTCTGGTTTAATAATTAAATTTCACAAGGATCGGCTAGCGAGCACGTTACAGGATCAGCTAGCGAGCTCGCTGCGTCCCACATACTTGGACTACAAGCAATCTGGTTGTTGCTCTAATGTCAGGGCAATTGGTGAATCCTACGTGCTCAGTCACGTGACGCTGTTAGGACGTCATACTTGTGTCACATAGGACGACATACTTGTGTCACATAGGACGTCATACTTGTGTCACATAGGACGACATACTTGTGTCACATAGGACGTCATACGTGTGTCACATAGGACGACATACTTGTGTCACATAGGACGACATACTTGTGTCACATAGGACGACATACTTGTGTCACAAGGACGACATACTTGTGTCACATAGGACGACATACGTGTGTCACATAGGACGACATACTTGTGTCACATAGGACGTCATACGTGTGTCACATAGGACGACATACGTGTGTCACATATGACGTCATACTTGTGTCACATAGGACGTCATACTTGTGTCACATAGGACGACATACTTGTGTCACATAGGACGACATACTTGTGTCACATAGGACGACATACTTGTGTCACATAAGACGACATACTTGTGTCACATAGGACGACATACTTGTGTCACATAAGACGACATACTTCTGTCACATAGGACGACATACGTGTGTCACATAGGACGACATACTTGTGTCACATAGGACGACATACTTGTGTCACATAGGACGTCATACTTGTGTCACATAGGACGACATACGTGTGTCACATATGACGACATACTTGTGTCACATAGGACGTCATACTTGTGTCACATAGGACGACATACTTGTGTCACATAGGACGTCATACGTGTGTCACATAGGACGACATACTTGTGTCACATAGGACGACATACTTGTGTCACATAGGACGACATACTTGTGTCACAAGGACGACATACTTGTGTCACATAGGACGACATACGTGTGTCACATAGGACGACATACTTGTGTCACATAGGACGTCATACGTGTGTCACATAGGACGACATACGTGTGTCACATATGACGTCATACTTGTGTCACATAGGACGTCATACTTGTGTCACATAGGACGACATACTTGTGTCACATAGGACGACATACTTGTGTCACATAGGACGACATACTTGTGTCACATAAGACGACATACTTGTGTCACATAGGACGACATACTTGTGTCACATAAGACGACATACTTCTGTCACATAGGACGACATACGTGTGTCACATAGGACGACATACTTGTGTCACATAGGACGACATACTTGTGTCACATAGGACGTCATACTTGTGTCACATAGGACGTCATACTTGTGTCACACCTGCGTATCTTTTCCCCCAGACTACAATGCCCAGCCTGCTACAGGACATGTGGCCACGGATGGCGGGAAGTTTTAGACTGCTGGTGACTGTGTTGCTGGTGCAGGCTGTTGTCCCTTCTGCCAGTGGCGTAGAAATAGATGCAGCATCTTTTCAGTAAGTAGTAGAAATCTTCTTGTTTCTTTTTGTGATTGTTTTCGTCATAAATATTTAATAATGGCGGTCTAAATATGCAGGTGTTGCAATACGTCACCAACGTGAAAGAAGAGGTTAAAGGTTGAGGCCATTTGTGTTTGTACCCGATTTATGTATAACTCTACTGACACTTGCTATGTACGACTGTGTAAAATGTCCATTGTTTGTATCTGTCAGATATTGTGGTAAAATGTCCATTGTTTGGATCTGTCAGATATTGTGGTATAATGTCCATTGTTTGGGTCTGTCAGATATTGTGGTAAAATGTCTATTGCTTGGATCTGAAATGAAGCAAAATGCAAGATAAAAAGTAGTCTATACTTGTATGAACCTTTTTCAGACTTCCTCCCCCTCCTTATCTGACTGGAAGTCTAGAAACAAACAGCCTGCTGGTAGATGCCGAGAGGGTGCATGAAGGAGTTATTGGTGCGCCTCACAGTTATGTGGTTCATGGCGGTAAGTGGCCGAACCAACAGCTAGGTGAAAAGGGGAAGTAAGAGTGTACAGGGAGATAATACTGTTGAGCAACCCGGAAACAATACTCGACAGCCAGCAAGGTAAATAATGTGACTAAAATAAATTACAGACCAAGGCTGGACAACTTCCTGTTTGATGTTCGGCCTTGAACTCATTTACCACAACGATAGACTAGAGGCCTACACGAAACTAGCTTGGCTCCTAAAATAACGGAATGTGGGGAAAACCTGTAAGAAGTAGTAGTGACTATCACGTTAATTCTTACTTGGAGCTGACGACTATTTGCTATCTGTTATCTTGTCACAATCTTGTGCGTCTTAAGTCCATTCACAAGCTGGCTATTGTGAAGGCTTTGGTGGTATTTGTAAAATGTAATAGTCGAGGTCTAGAGGTTTAGGGAAATAAAACATTTTAATTTTATTTATTGTTTCCATGTCAACCGTTCTGGGATAGGTGGATACGTCTTGTCCCCCCCCCCCCCCTCCCCCCTCCAACTTTATGGCGGTATATTACATTTTAAATGTCTTTCTAGAATAATACTGTCGTCTCTGAATAAGCGTCCACATCAGCTAAGCAAATCAGGAACGTCTTGTGGGGTTTGTCCTTGTGTGTCCGACACTGTGGGCTGTGTCCTTGTGTGTCCGACACTGTGGGCTGTGTCCTTGTGTGTCCGACACTGTGGGCTGTGTCCTTGTGTGTCCGACATTGTGGGCTGTGTCCTTGTGTGTGTCCGACACTGGGCTGTGGCCTTGTGTGTGTCCGACACTGTGGGCTGTGGCCTTGTGTGTCCGACACTGTGGGCTGTGTCCTTGTGTGTCCGACACTGTGGGCTGTGTCCTTGTGTGTGTCCGACACTGGGCTGTGGCCTTGTGTGTGTCCGACACTGTGGGCTGTGGCCTTGTGTGTGTCCGGCATTGTGAGCTGTGTCCTTGTGTGTCCGACACTGTGGGCTGTGTCCTTGTGTGTCCGACACTGTGGGCTGTGTCCTTGTGTGTCCGACATTGTGGGCTGTGGCCTTGTGTGTGTCCGACACTGTGGGCTTTGGCCTTGTGTGTGTCCGACACTGTGGGCTGTGGCCTTGTGTGTGTCCGACACTGTGGGCTGTGTCCTTGTGTGTCCGACACTGTGGGCTGTGTCCTTGTGTGTCCGACATTGTGGGCTGTGTCCTTGTGTGTGTCCGACACTGGGCTGTGGCCTTGTGTGTGTCCGACACTGTGGGCTGTGGCCTTGTGTGTGTCCGACATTGTGAGCTGTGTCCTTGTGTGTCCGACACTGTGGGCTGTGTCCTTGTGTGTCCGACACTGTGGGCTGTGTCCTTGTGTGTCCGACACTGTGGGCTGTGTCCTTGTGTGTCCGACATTGTGGGCTGTGGCCTTGTGTGTGTCCGACACTGTGGGCTGTGGCCTTGTGTGTGTCCGACACTGTGGGCTGTGGCCTTGTGTGTGTCCGACACTGTGGGCTGAGTCGGTGTGTGTCCGAGATTGTGGGCTGAGTCGGTGTGTGTCCGACATTGTGGGCTGTGTCCGTGTGTGTCGGACGTTGTGGGCTGTGTCCGACATTGTGGGCTGTGTCCTTGTGTGTGTCCGACATTGTGGGCTGTGTCCTTGTGTGTGTCCGACATTGTGGGCTGTGTCCTTGTGTGTGTCCGACATTGTGGGCTGTGTCCTTGTGTGTGTCCGACACTGTGGGCTGTGTCCTTGTGTGTGTCCGACATTGTGGGCTGTGTCCTTGTGTGTGTCCGACATTGTGGGCTGTGTCCTTGTGTGTGTCCGACATTGTGGGCTGTGTCCTTGTGTGTGTCCGACACTGTGGGCTGTGTCCTTGTGTGTGTCCGACACTGTGGGTTGTGTCTGTGTTGGTGTGTATGTGTGTGTATCCTCAACACAATGTATGTCAGACACTAATGCCGCTCGAACGTTTCTTGAATACACCAAGATCTTTGATGAGTACATTTATATTGTAGAAACATCTTTTAAACATGCTATCTCCGGTAAATTTACAGCATTTTTCTTAAACGATAAATTAGCCGTATGCTAATTAGACAAATGGTTGAAATATAACTACATTAACATGTACCGACGCCAACGTTTTAGACATTGTGTTCCGTTTTAACACCCTGTTTTGAAATGTTTTTGTACAAAGCCCACAAGCCTAATATGATGTGCAGCTTAACATAACACAAACTATCCCTTCTTTTCCTTTTAGAAATCTTTTTCATTGTACAATAAATCCTTTTACGGCTCTTGAATTATACAGACGAACACTGAATATGGCAGTAAACCATGGCTCAGCATTGCAGGGCGTGTCCTGACTCCAAGGAAAACTTTTGTCTTCATAACGATTTGACCGGGAAAGTGTTTCACCGGTCAGCTTTCTCCGAAATGTGCGTGATACGATATTTCCAGCAGCAGCAGTATAAAACTTGTTGTCATTTGTAAACTCCAGCGACTTCCGGTCCTGAGCTCGTGTGCCAGTGACTCCAATGGCCGAGACGGCGTTAAATAATAAAAAATAAACAAAGCCAGTGACAGTTGTAAACATGCTTCATCAGACGACATCCTTACCCCTCATGTGACGTTAGGGATTATGATGTCACTTAGGATCACAGTCCGTGTTAATTGTTTGAAACCCCCATTTACAAAATGAAAGCATTGTTGTTGTTTTTTTAATTTCAAATAAATTTAAAAATAGCAAATGTTTATTTTTGTTTACTGAAACAAAACTTTTTAATGGCGTCATGTAATATATAATATTTCCATCAAAGTTTAGCTAGAGTTATGGCACAAAATTTGTGGTGTGTACAAATGTCAATGCAGCGATCTAAAACGTTTACACACGCATACACATGTATTAGACACATATTGTAGATCTATCAAAATACAAGGCTGGACCAGTGTTGTATGGTAGTGGTGGTGGAGGGGTTAACCGGAGCACCACACAAAATGGTCAAAAACAGATTCATTAGGAAACAAACTTGTATTTGCGACAATAAAACAAATATCAAATAACCATTATAGTAATACGCTTTCAAATACTCTGAAAATTAGAAAATTAATGAACTTGTTTTTCTTTACTGAAAGCATTGGTCGCAATCCGCAAAGGTGTTTTAAGAGATTTCACGAGCATTAATACCTTTACTAAAGAAAGCAAGTTTAAAAAAAATGTTTTGAGTGCTTTGTGTGAAGACAAAGGCCTAATTATTTCAGACAATGTTTATATTTTGTTTTATTTTGTTTTGAGTGCTTTGTGTGAAGGCAAAGACCTAACTGTTTCAGACAAAGACCTAATTATGTGTGAAGACAAGACCTAATTATTTCAGACAATATTTACACGGTCACATCCAGCGGTTTGGTGGTCAACGTTGCACCGTGTCGACCCCTGACCATCGCCTCCCTCGCGCCAAGAGGATGCCGTAAGTTGACCAACTCTGTCATTGATTTTTTTTTTAAAATCGATTTTAGAATGTCTTCTACATTCCAGAAACCATAGTGTAGTATAGTGTTCATCTTTGTGTATATTGATCCTAGGGTTAGACAATACATTGATCTGATATATTATGATATTGATACATTCATCAGTTAGACAATACAATAATCTGATATATTATGATATAGATACATTCATCCTGCTGTAATTCTGATCATTTGACCAGGCGTTAATTCTATTTACCAGAGACATTTTATTATTAGTGTAATGTTGTCAGTGTAATTGCCTGTCGTGTCAGTGTAATTGCCTGTCGTGTAACTGTAATTGCCTGTCGCGTAAGTCCAATTGCCTGTCGTGTCAGTGTAATTGCCTGTCGTGTAAGTGCAATTGCCTGTCATGTCAGTGTAATTGCCTGTCGTGTAAGTGTAATTGCCTGTCGTGTGTTATTGCCTGTCGTGTAAGTGTAATAGCCTGTCGTGTACGTGTAATTGCCTGTCGTGTAAGTGTAATAGCCTGTCGTGTAAGTGTAATTGCCTGTCGTGTTGGCGTCAGTGTAATTGCCTGTCGTGTAAGTGTAATAGCCTGTCGTGTAAGTGTAATTGCCTGTCGTGTAAGTGTAATTGCCTGTCGTGTAAGTGTAATTGCCTGTCGTGTAAGTGTTATTGCCTGTCGTGTAAGTGTAATAGCCTGTCGTGTAAGTGTAATTGCCTGTCGTGTAAGTGTAATAGTCTGTCGTGTAAGTGTAATTGCCTGTCGTGTTGGCGTCAGTGTAATTGCCTGTCGTGTTGGCGTCAGTGTAATTGCCTGTCGTGTAAGTGTAATTGCCTGTCGTGTCAGTGTAATTGCCTGTCGTGTCAGTGTAATTGCCTGTCGTGTAAGTGTAAATGCCTGTCGTGTAAGTGTAATTGCCTGTCGTGTCATTGTAATTGCCTGTCGTGTAAGTGTAATTGCCTGTCGTGTAAGTGTAATTGCCTGTCGTGTAAGTGTAATTGCCTGTCGTGTAAGTGTAATTGCCTGTCGTGTAAGTGTAATTGCCTGTCGTGTAAGTGCAATTGCCTGTCATGTCAGTGTAATTGCCTGTCGTGTAAGTGTAATTGCCTGTCGTGTAAGTGTAATAGCCTGTCGTGTAAGTGTAATTGCCTGTCGTGTAAGTGTAATAGCCTGTCGTGTAAGTGTAATTGCCTGTCGTGTTGGCGTCAGTGTAATTGCCTGTCGTGTAAGTGTAATAGCCTGTCGTGTAAGTGTAATTGCCTGTCGTGTAAGTGTAATTGCCTGTCGTGTAAGTGTAATAGCCTGTCGTGTAAGTGTAATTGCCTGTCGTGTTGGCGTCAGTGTAATTGCCTGTCGTGTAAGTGTAATAGCCTGTCGTGTAAGTGTAATTGCCTGTCGTGTCAGTGTAATTGCCTGTCGTGTAAGTGTAATTGCCTGTCGTGTAAGTATAATTGCCTGTCGTGTAAGTGTAATTGCCTGTCGTAATGTTGCAGGGACGCCAAAAGAATGCGGCCATCTCATCAGTATTCGACTCAGTCCGGACAAATTACTGCTGGTCTTGGATGCTTACCGCGGACTTTTCGAAGTCAATCCAATAACAGGTAAACAAAATAACAGGTAAACAAAATGACAGGTAAACATAATAACAGGTAAACAAAATAACAGGTAAACAAAATAACAGGTAAACAAAATAACAGGTAAACATAATAACAGGTAAACAAAATAACAGGTAAACAAAATAACAGGTAAACAAAATAACAGGTAAACAAAATAACAGGTAAACAAAATAACAGGTAAACAAAATATCAGGTAAAGAAAATATCAGATAAACAAATTAACAGGTAAACAAAAAACAGGCAAAAAAGTAAAAGGTAAATATTAAACCGTTTGAATAAACTTGGTAATGAAAACCCTTAAACAAGCAAAGAAAAAACGCAACCAAAGAAAAAGAAAAAGAAGACGAGTACTCAAGACACCACGTCACCATTAGCGTACTGTATGTGGCCATATCATGAGCGTACTGTATGTGGCCATATCATGAGCGTACTGTATGTGGCCATATCATGAGCGTAGTGTATGTGGCCATATCATGAGCGTAGTGTATGTGGCCATATCATGAGCGTACTGTATGTGGCCATATCATGAGCGTACTGTATGTGGCCATATCATGAGCGTACTGTATGTGGCCATATCATGAGCGTAGTGTATGTGGCCATATCATGAGCGTAGTGTATGTGGCCATATCATGAGCGTACTGTATGTGGCCATATCATGAGCGTACTGTATGTGGCCATATCATGAGCGTAGTGTATGTGGCCATATCATGAGCGTAGTGTATGTGGCCATATCATGAGCGTAGTGTATGTGGCCATATCATGAGCGTAGTGTATGTGGCCATATCATGAGCGTAGTGTATGTGGCTATATCATGAGCGTAGTGTATGTGGCCGCGTCATCATTAGCTTAATGCAGGGGTCTCCAAACTTTTCAGTCCGAGGGCCGCAGTTTCTTCCTTGCATGTCTTTAATTTTTCTGTGCAAAGTTCCTCAGCCATCACCAACAAACGTTTTTTTCCGTGGTCAAAAAGATCTCCGCGGGCCGGATGAAAGGACCTCGCGGGCCGTAGTTTGGAGACCCCTGGCTTAATGTATGTGGCCGCGTCATCATATAGGGGGAGAGTGTGGCTTGATCAAGTAGAACAGCGTTTGATTACTAATCCGAAGTTCTAGTTTAGATCTAGGATTACGTCATTTTAGAAGAAGACGAGTGAGTGATTGATTTGTAATAAGTGTGACGTCATCTATAAATGACCGCCCTCCCATGACCGCCGGTCAGCCCGGTCTAAATGACACTGGTGATCCACGCTTTTCTCCTAACTTTTTAAATAGTGTTGCACTGCTGTATATTTGAAGATAATTATTTCTTTTCTTTTTTTTTAGCGCATACATACATGCTTGTCGTTTAAAAACGCTTTTTGTTTAAAACTCTTTAAAAATTTCATTGAATCCAATCACTTAAAACATTAGCGCATAAAATTGAATAAATGTCAAATGATTACGAAATTTGAGTTACATTGCATTGTCATCGGGTTCTGACCTACGTGTTAAGTTAAAAAAAATAGGTTCTCTAGAAATGTTTGAAATTCCGCTCGTAAGTTTGAACCCACAATGAAGCAAGTAAAACTACAACAGCACGGATGAAGAATCAAGTAAAATAAAAACTTATAAAAAGAAACATTCCACTTGCTAGCAGAAAACTGCACATTGTGCTACGATGTCTGTTTTAAATGCCGTGTTTACCTGCCCCAGGCGTGGTCCGGCAAATGTTCGACTCAGGCACGTTCGTGAGTGGCCGAGCCAGCATCTACCTGCACGACATGGTCAGCCTACAGGACGGCACCATCATCATCAGCGACTCCAGCCCCACCTACGACTACCTCAACGATTTCTGGATTCGCTTTGAAGGACGGCCGGACGGAAGGCAATCATTTTCTCGTATTTTACGTAAATCTTCATTTCATTTAGCTACGGTGTTCTGTTGTTACTGTTTTCTCGTATTTTACGTAAATCTTCATTTCATTTAGCTACGGTGTTCTGTTGTTACTGTTTTCTCGTATTTTACGTAAATCTTCATTTCATTTAGCTACGGTGTTCTGTTGTTACTGTTTTCTCGTATGTTACGTAAATCTTCATTTCATTTAGTTACGGTGTTCTGTTGTTACTGTTTTCTCGTATTTTACGTAAATCTTCATTTCATTTAGCTACGGTGTTCTGTTGTTACTGTTTTCTCGTATTTTACGTAAATCTTCATTTCATTTAGCGACGGTGTTCTGTTGTTACTGTTTTCTCGTATTTTACGTAAATCTTCATTTCATTTAGCTACGGTGTTCTGTTGTTACTGTTTTCTCGTATTTTACGTAAATCTTCATTTCATTTAGCTACGGTGTTCTGTTGTTACTGTTTTCTCGTATTTTACGTAAATCTTCATTTCATTTAGCTACGGTGTTCTGTTGTTACTGCACATAGATCTACTCTTGACTTATTCAGACAAATATAAAATAACGTTATTTAAATGTTTGATGTTTAATTTTGTATGTATATGTAACTGTTTCTTTTAATTAGTTACAGGAGTTTATATGTAACTTAAATGTTATTTTACTTAGCTACGGGCGTGTGTGCTGTCTAAATGTGGTTTATGTCACTTAGCTACGTGAGTGTGTGTAGAAGTTTATCGAACTGTAATTGTGTCCGTAGCTATCGTTCACACTAAAGCAGCATCTGTGTTGACCAGCTTGTGGTGGGGGCGGGGATTAATTGATATGACCAGTCAGACTGGTACTAACTGGCTGAGATGGAGAGCGCTAGCAAGGGTTAACACCAATAATGAAATGATTTCCTTGTTGTAGACTGCTAGGATTTAATCCCAGCAACGGTCAAGCTAAGGAGATTTTGTCTGGTCTCGCGTACCCCACGGGACTCGAACTCACGTCTGACAAACAGGCGCTGCTGGTGGCCGAGGCAGGGAGAGCCAGGATCCTCAGGTGGGTGTGGCATGTGGTCAGATTAAAATCTGGATGCTCGACATTCTAATTTTAAGTGAAGAAACATGACCAACTGATGATTAACATTCGTTACACTCAACTGTGATTACTGGTCAAGTCATATCTTTTTAAAACTAATCCTTCAGGATAGAACTCAGCAAAGATAAATTTTTCCAGAAGTCCAATTTCAACGGAAACCTTCCCGGCATGCCCGAGCACATCCGGAGATCAAACCGAGGCACGTACTGGGTGGGGCTGACGTACGCCAGGTTTCATGGCGAGACGTCGGTCATGGACCAGTACTCCAACATGGCGTCGTCCAGAAATTTTCTTGCAAGGGTTAGTCAATGTTTTTTTTCCCCGCTGATCACGGCGTGTGTGTTGATCCAACTGTGTGTGTGTTTGTTAATTCTAACCCAGCCGTTAACTCAGTATAGAAAGTAGGTGTAGACCACGTGACCCACGTTTGCTCATGTCGCCAGCGCAGGACCATGGAGCAGCTGCGGATGATGTACAACCAGCGAGGGCTGGCCGTGGAGATGGACGAGGCGGGGCGAGTGCTGGCCAGCATGCACGACTCTATCGGCCTCAAGGTCAAGGACGTCCTGGAGGTCATGGAACATGAAGGTGTGGCTTATGTGGGTACCCGAGGCCAGAATGCCGTTATTCGGGTCATCAAGTCACAGAATGACCTCACGATCACATCGGTTGTCCAGGTAAACTATTTCATGTCACTGGTAGACATTGTTGTCACATCAGTGTCTTGTGTCTGTGTCTGTCATATTTTGTCACACCAGTGTCTTATGTCTGTGTCTGTCATATTTTGTCACATCAGTGTTTTATGTCTGTGTCTGTCATAATTTGTCACATCAGTGTCTTATGTCTGTGTCTGTCATATTTTGTCACATCAGTGTCTTATGTCTGTCACAGGTAGACCTTTTTGTCACATCAGTGTCTTATGTCTGTGTCTGTCATATTTTGTCACATCAGTGTCTTATGTCTGTGTTTGTCACTATGACTTGTTTCACGTGCCCACTAGAAGTGAGAGATTTAGAGCAGTGATCGGGTCAGATTGTCTATAGCACTAACACTGAATGACGCAGCTGAATAGATTTTCTTCCATGTAATTTAGTTTTACTTTTATTTCCCCAGGTCCTGAGGGGCAGGTGTAAAATACAAGAGGACAAAGTCAGCCTAGCTAAATCAAACTTGGAGCAGCAAATTTTAACGCGGAGAGGAGCGACAAGAGGGACGTTGGGAAACTTCCTGACTGCACCCACTCTAGATCTCACAGTACAATCATACCAGACCCCTAATATTGCCACTGGACAATCATACCAGACCCCTAATATTGGCGCTGGACAATCATACCCGACCCCCAATGTAGCGACTGGATACGGATTCGCTCAGCCTCAGAGACCTGCCGCTAATGCCCAACCCCAGACTACGCCGAATAGGCGACTGGACACGATTCGCCAGGGTCTGGCCAAGCTTCACAGCACACTGTCTGCCGGACTGTCTATCCCGCGACCCACGCAAATGCCGACCGGACCCGGCAACTTACCACGGGTACTTCCCCAGCAATACAACCAGTACAACTCAGGGTTTCCCAACCTACTTTCCAGGAACCAATCAGTGCTCTTTGCCCATTCAGAGGATCCCTTTCTTCCAGCTGGCTTCCCGCCCATTAAGTTCCCACTGGACGGCAATATCCCACAGAGTGACACGGGCAAGCGGCCGCCTGTCAACGCCGCATCCCAGTCGTCTCCTCTGGTCGTGCACAAAATGGAGAACGGAGAACTGGTCACCCACATCCTTATCGGCAATGACTTTAAGCCACAGACACCCAAACCTACCCCGTCCTCGACCACCCCAGCCACGCATACGACGCCGATGAATCTGGTAGAGGCGGCGCAAGTGGAGGCGAAGATTGCTGGCGTGCACCACATGGGGCAAAACGGGATTCAACATTTGACGCCACATGAACCTCAGCACCTTCCCCACGACCCCAACTCTTCCTTTGGTCATCCTCCCCCGGTGACCCACGACCCCCATTCTTCCGTTGGTCACCCTCCCCCGGCGACCCGCGACCTCAACGCTTCCTTTGGTGGGTTTTTTGAGTTTTTGCAGGGAGCAGCCTCCAAAAAGAATGAAGCACTAGCCACCACCCCAGGCGCCCCCTTGCCAGACCACGGCCCCCTCCTGGCTGACAGCCCCTACCTGCCCGTGGCAAACCCCAACGAGATCTACAACAAAACACCGGACTTTGATTCCAGTTTTGGATTACATAATCTCGGTGCCATCTCCGGGCACCAGCAACCAGTGACCGATGCAGGTCACGGACCTTCTCAGAAAAGACCAGAGAGCAGCCTACAAGATATTTCTAACAAAACCCCAATGGACCTCCAGCAGATGCAGATGTTTCACCCTTCAGATCGTCCCGACGCTTCAGTACTCAACCAAGCCCGCACAAAGGCCCAAAGTCCATTGGACCCGACCAAAACCTCTTTTCTAAAGCAAGGACTTCGAATGTTGCAGCAGTACTTTAAACAGAACAAACCAACCAATGGCGCCGCACAGTCGCCTGCACAGCATACCAATCAAGCAGCTGACATTGGAGTTACTAATTCCACAAAAACCCCAAATAACACACACACCACAGAGCCTGTGCCCCCGGTAACCACGGTAACCCCGACTTCCACGAGTCGTCCTGAAAGCACGACTCTAGCGCTGCCGCAAGAGAAAGACATGTTCTCCCAGATGGAAGAGATAAGTCAGGTGTCCGCTAATGATGTCATCAAATCTCAACAGCTTGCATCGTTTTCTGGGGCCGCCACCATCCACCCCAACCAGCCCCTCAATGAGGTGGCCAACACGTATGAACATCCCCATTTTAAAACCTCCAACCCGGCTGCTGCAAGTGATCCATCTTTGGCATCTGGTAGTACAGCGGCCCAACCAATGCTGGATGCTGGTCCTAGTGGAGCCACGGATGAGAGCAACTTCATCAAGATCGTCCAAGGTCCGGGGAAATACATTCTCATCCCTCTAACACGGAGCACCCTACTGCAGGCGCTCAGCGGCTTGCCTCTAGGCTCGTTAGACACAACTCTATCTGGCCAAACACAGGGCCAACCGACACAGGGCCAACCGACACAGGGCCAACCGACACAGGGCCAACCGACACAGGGCCAACCGACACAGGGCCAACCGACACAGGGCCAGCCGACACAGGGCCAGCCGACACAGGGCCAACCGACACAGGGCCAACCGACACAGGGCCAACCGACACAGGGCCAACCGACACAGGGCCAACCGACACAGGGCCAACCGACACAGGGCCAACCGACACAGGGCCAACCGACACAGGGCCAACCGACACAGGGCCAGCCGACACAGGGCCAACCGATACAGTCACAGGCTTATTATAGCCCCATGCAGCAACAGTGGCAACCCCAAGGACCAACACAGAACTATTTCCCGCAAACTTCTCAACAAAGCTGGAACAACCCACAAACACGGGCACCTTACAGTGGTGGGCCGCAGCCTTACAGTAGTGGGCCGCAGCCTTACAGTGGTGGGCCGCAGCCTTACAGTGGTGGGCCGCAGACCAACTGGGGCCCCCCTCAACCTACTTCCCCTTCATCCACAGCTGGGTGGACCGGTGGTAACGAGCTACAGGGCTGGGCCACGCGTTCCTCCCCAGCAGTTCAGTCAAACTGGCCAACACAGCCCACACAACCAGGCAGTAGCCAGTCTTCAGCTTACCGCGCACCTGAACCGACTGGTGTTCCAAACCAAACTTGGATGCAAACATCAGCACTAAGTCAACCATGGCCGACAAACAGCCCACTTCAACAAATGTGGCCGACAAACATTCCACCCCAGCAAACATGGCCGACGCCCGGAAACAACTGGCCCCCTGGCTATGCTCCGACTTGGCAAGGAAGCAACCCACCTCCTCAAACCTGGCCACCAGCTAGCACCTCACAACAAACCTGGCCGTCGCCCAACACACCGCAGGCATACCAACAAACCTGGGGGCCACAAGTAACCCCAACACAGTCGAGTTCTCAGCAAACAATTCAAACAATGGCGCCCACACTCAGTTCCAATTGGAACAGTAACCCGACTCAAGAAACTTGGAACCCGAGCAGAACCCCACCTCAACCCTGGCCCACCAGCTCAGGCCAACAGTCGGCTGCTGGCTCACATGCTAATGGAACCACTGCAGCCGATGTGGGTTCTGCTCAGTCTAAAAACGCCACCGCAATTGAGACATCAGCGAACAATCAGGACACAGCTTACGTCACTGAATGGCAGAGCACGGTGTAGGTTGATGACTGGGGCTGAGAAAATTGTACATACACAATCTTTTTCATGTTTAACATATGTGTGAGCTCTTTGTGAATAAAAGCATTTGAACCATTACTTTTTTAAACTGTTTTTATTAAGAGTCTTTATGTTATGCGTGCTCTAGATCCTGTTTGAAACTATGGATCTAAATATGTTACGCAAAGTAAGTTATGTGCACAAATTTAAATTTAGCTCTAAGGCAGCGTGACAATGTAATTTTTTTTTTTACTAGGCCAAGTACATTTACTTTAAAAAAAAATAATAATACACACTACGCCTCACACTTTAATGTACCACCAAGTTGTTTTGTTAAAACCCTCCACTGTGAGAGTTTCTTTCCATTTTTCTCAGAAGAGCGGGCTCGAAGGCTGAGCGGGGGCGTTTGATGTGCTCGATTGGGGGGGGGGGGCAGTGCCCACCGAAGAGATGCCAGACAGGAATTCTGGCTACATGGTAGCTAGTAGACAATATTGACGCAGTAGGGTGGGACCGGGTTTAATGAAGTAAAATTGAAGAATTGAATAGTGAAATATTATAGAAAACGGTATTAGAATTTAGAAGAAATCAAACTTGGCACCACACACTGTTCCACTTTTCCCCTGTGTGGGGCGAGGCATTTATTTTAGCGTTTGTAAAAATAAATGTGTTCATAATACACGTTTATTCATTGCTGCGATTATTTCTTCCTCTGGGAAGGTAACAAAAGTACTGAGGCCGTAAAGTCAGACTGCCATACAATGACTCTCAATGAGTACAGTTATGAGCCTCATTATTATCAAATAGTTGAGCTACCATGTGAGATTTTCAAATGAAAATAACTACGATGAGAAAACATTTCAATGCGATGACGTTATAACTCAGTTCTTGGACTTTCAAATGCTGCTGAGTTTTCAAAACAAGCCACTTGTTGAGTGTTCAGAAATTTTCAAATCGATATCACTGATGGATAATATCAGCTCAACTCTGTGTGCGAAGACATTGCCTTGGTTAAATCTTTGCTCAATCATTCGTATTAGTTATCAAAAAATGTATGACGCCCTTTTATGAACTCTCCTTGCCCAGAAAACACCCATACGCCTCTGACAGCAAGAAAAGGCACATTAAAAAGATATTTGGGTTTTGACATTCGTTAAGGTGAAAATGTGTAGTTATGAAATTTCAAGGTAAACAAAACAAAGATATCAATAGTTGAAGGATAAGAAACTAATGTATGGTCAACATCGTAGACAAAGATACATTTCTAACTTATGTTTTAATTTTGCTATAATATATTTTATATAGAATCTAATACAACCTAGTCAGTGGCGTAGCCAGGATCGTCTCAAGGGGGGGGGGGGGGGGGTTCCAATTTTTACCCGGGGACAAACTTTCGATTTGCACCCCCCCCCCCTCAAACTTTCTATTTGCACCCCCCCCCCTCAAACTTTCGATTTGCACCCCCCTCAAACTTTCGATTTGCACCCCCCCCTCATACTTTTTATATATACCGAGGGGTCTATGGGGGGGGGGGGGGTTATGACCCCCCCCCCTAACCCCCCCCCCCTGCCTACGCCACTGAACCTAGTTCTATATATCAAAGCTATTAAATAAAGTACGCTTATGTGTTGTAAAAATGTGTTTTTTTTTTTAAAAAAAGAAAACGGTTGTGGGGCTCTATATTATATTTCATTAAAACAACTAGACATCTTTATGTTTTCCTTCCTAATTTGTCAATGTCACTCTTTCCACTACAGTTGTATCTGATGGTACTCAAGTACTCAAGGTCCCTTTGCATATGCCCAGTTTGCCTTTTCAGTAGAGCGGAACCAGGGAAAAAAAATATTTTTAGTGGGCCCAAAGGGCATCTACTCTAATATTTTTAAAATGCTGCTTAGCTTGCAGCCGCTTGTTCCTGACGTCATGTTTGGTTGATGTTTAGTCAGAGTAGCCATAAATAGCTTCTTATTTTTGTACACACTTCTAAAACATTTATTTATTTACATTCATAGACTAGATCTAACTCTGACTGGAGTTCGATAGGATAAGTTCTGGATCTTAAGAACTCAATTAATAGATCTAGAGAGAGCTAGCTTCTAGATCTAGATCTAGATTAGGCCTACATTTTTTAAAATAAAAATTAATTTTAAAAAACCATTTGGACTTTTTATAAAATCACCAGATTCAAGATTCTGAAGCAAAAAACGTAAAATAGTATAGTCTTTAAAAGTAAAACTATCTAATATCTCAAGTCTTAACCTTTTTAAAAAAATGGATGGTAAGTACAAAGTTGTATTTTTAAAAAGTTCTAGTCTAGTTCTAGAATCTAGATTTAACTTTAAGTAAGTAGATTTAGTAATAGTAATAAGTAGTACTTTATAAGTTTATTTGGTAATCTATCGTTTTAGGTACGTAAAATCGCCCGCGACTAGTAATGTGAAAAACAGGTGACTCCTTACATTTTAATAATTATTTCACATTTTGAGAAGGATTTATGTTTTAAAAAATACAAAAATGTTTCCTTGTTTCATTTATGTACCTGTTTTTAAACAATTGAATTAAAACTTTTTAGTAATAAAAGAACACCAGCGATGTTTCCAACAGATGCAAGTTGCATTGCAACCATGCTCATTTAGTACATTTACTATAGCAGCCATCTTGTTAAAGTTTTATTTTTATAGACTTAAGAGCCGACCCGCGGCATATCATACGCCGCTATTTAGTTGTTGCTTTTTCTACTTTTCAGTTATTCATAATTTGTGCATTCGACACTACCAACGCTGACACTGAAAATGTTTCTTTAACACACTATAAGTAGCTCGTTAAGGACGATAACCTCCCCCCCCCTCCGTTAAAGTAAACTCCACTTAGTTACCCCCCCCCCCCTACGTTTAAAATCGTTTCAAACTAAATTATCTGCCCCTAATAGTCATCACTAAACCCGGCTCTGCTTGTTAGCATTTAGAGTGAACACAGCTCACTAAGACCATGTAGGGGTGGGTGTGGTAGGGAGCGCGTTTACAGCTTGTTTTCTAGCGTCTCTCAGAAGAGAATTATATATATTGGGCTTGTAAGTTTATCGTTCTCTCTCGCGTTAATTCATGTCTGGTTAGCCAGGGAGAGATAAAAGTTTTGGAACTAAATCAATTGTTGTGAACGGGATTCCCATTGATAACAAAAAACATGTGTATTCTAGATCTATCTATATAAAATATAATATATTTGTGTGTGTGTTATTTTAAAATTAATTTACATAAAACAACTCATCGTCTATCGATTCCAAAAGCGAAAGTAGATTTCATAACTTAAAAAAAATATTCACATTTGGTTTGAAAAAAAAAACGCTAGCTGGCAACTACCGGAGCGAGAACTTGGTAAGCTACTTTAACAACTTACAAGCCCAATAGAAGATAGCACGAGATTCAGGCGGAAGTCACTCTATTTTACAAATGGCTGCTGTTTATATAGCAAATGCAGACACTGCTGTTTAAAGTTAATTTCTGGCCTATATTGATATATTTAGCCATTGATTTAGGTTTATTATTCATTTATCTATAATATTTGACACAAACATATCACAATATACTTCTATTACAGCCTTGACATTGAGGTAATGTTTTCGTACATTAATAGCCGCGGGCCATTTTACGTACCCAAAACGATAGATTACCCTTTATTTTATATAGATCTAGATTCTAATATATATTATAAAAAATATATTATATAATTCTCTTCTTGGAGACGTTAGAAAACAAGCTGTAAGCACGCCTTGCAGTCCCCTCTCTTCCTCTCTAGGCATATCTCAATCACCCCCACCCCACATGGTCTGGTGAGCTGTGGTTCACGCTAAATGTTTACAGTTACAATCTTAGAGCCGGGTTTAGTGACGACTATTAGGGGCAGATAATTTAGTTTGAAACGATTTTAAACTTAGGGGAGGTAACTAAGAGGAGGCTGCTTTCAGGGGGGGGGGGGGGTTGTAGGGTAGGGGTTGGGGGAAAGGAGGGTGGGAGTAGTATTGTCCTTAATGGCCTACTGATAGGGTTTTAAAGCAAATATTTTCAGTGGCAGCATTGGTACTGTCGAATTCACAAATTATGAATTACTGAAAAGTAGAAAATAAAACAACTAAATAGCGGCGTATAATACGCCGCGGGTTGGCTTGTAAGTTAATTAATAAGTAGTTACTTCTTGTACAATCAATCTTTGACTATTTTGTACATTGTATTGTAATGCAATGTGAGAATGTACACAGGTAAAAAAAAATAGTAAATAGGCCTAGGTAGGCTAATCTATCATTAATCATTTTAAGGTATGTAAAATTAGCGGATACTAGTAGTAGTACTAGATCTAGTAATGTCACAGTAATTGAGTAATGTGTGAGAAAGGTGACTCATTAATAACATTAACATGGCTTTAATTAAATTATCTTTAATACTAATAGAATTTTATTGTGATATATTAGGCTTATTAATTATATAACAGGAAATTAACTTTAAACAGCCATGTTAATGAGCAAGTTTTGCTATATAAACAGCGGACATCTGTAAATTAGAGTGGTTTCCCCTGAATCTATCTTTTACCAAAAAACTTAAGCAAGATGGCTGCTAAAGTAAAAGAGCTTAGTTGCATGTAATGAAAACATTGTAAATCGTTATTTATTACTGAGTAACGGTTATTCAAAAACTGGGTGATGAATGAAATTTTGAAACATTTTTTTACCTTTCAAATCATTATTCCTTCTAAAAATGTGAAAAAATTACTAAAATTTTTTGCGTCACGTTTTTTTCACATTACTTGCTTCTGACAATTTTACGCACCTAATTATTACCCAGATCTATACACTATACGATTTGTAGGTAGACTAAATCTATAATTAATATCTAAATACCATCATCATTTCCTGTTCATGCCCAAGACACATTGGGTAGATGAAGTAGAGTTCATCTGCTTTAGAGACCTTGGCATATGAAGGCATAGCGAGGTCAGCACTATGCCCCGCCCCCTTTGTTTCTCTAACTTGAGTTAGGTACCCGTCAGAGCTAGGTGGACACAGGGACGTTCCACTGATTTGAATCCAGATGTGAACTTGAAGACTATCGCTTTAGCAGTCTAGCTCTCTACCGCTAGACCACGCCATCCCCAATAATTAAAATGGTCAGATAGTATTTTTAATGGACACAAACGAAAATAGTCTCAAAATTGTTTGAAAGGCGCATTAAAATAAACATGATTATAAAATCTGACGATTTGATTTTTGTTGGACTTTACTAAAGATTGGTTATAGTTCTAAGGCCTAATTGATGTTTTTAGTGTTTTTGATAACCAGTTACCTAGCAAAAATTTTTAAAGTCTAAAACAATTTTATTATTTTCATTCATTACAGAAATTGAAAAAAAAAATGGCTAAACTTTATGCATTGGCAAAGTTTTGAGTACAAATTTAATTACTATGAGATTTTTATGAAGTGGGATCACAGAGTTCTTGTAGAGCCAATGAGTATTTGTCTTGAAAGTGAAACTTATGATTATAACTTAGGTTGATGAAAATAAATAAAAATGTAGCCTTAAACTAAAAATAATCATTTTAGCTCTTTCTGAATTATTTTCAAAGTTAAGTTTTTATTATTTTTATGGTCGCTTTGATTGCTTTATCTAAAAAAACATGTTTTTATTCATGTCAACAATATTGATAGAAGGATTCTCATCAAGTCGGTTATGTCCATTGAGTTTAACAAATAATACATATTGAGTAGCTTGACATCGTTTCAACAAAACAATTCATGTTTGATTATGAGGGTAATAGATGCAACTAAAAATATTGCTTTAACACCCTTTCTCTAACTTGTGTTCTTTGAAGGACAATAATTATATAGATTAAAAGCTAGATATTATTGCATTGTCTTTGGAGATAAATGTATCTGGAAAGTTTGAATAGCTGCTTTAGAAATTGTTCAAAATTGAGTTACAAGATTTGTAACAGACACTGAGACTGACAGACATGGTGAACTAAATAATATGCTCATAAAAATAGCTATATTTGTGATTACATCACCCTATCAGTATTTATTTTAAAAAATAGAACCTCTGGGTTAAGTGACATTTATAAAATTAATTCTTCTGGGCTAAGTGATGTTTATAAAATTAGTTGTTCTGTGGTAAGGTAATAAAGAAACAAAAATAAAAAATTTCCAGAAAAAATACAACCTTCTAGGCCTATAAATTATAAGTACTGTATATTGCAAGTACATTTTGAGCCAACAATTATATTTTGTGGACAACCACATCAGGCGTAGTGGTTTTATCCAAATGGGTTGCTTGTGGACCAGGAGAGGGGGCTGTCTAAAAACTATATCGACATCATAAATAGATGATCCCTTGGGGAACACCCCAAATGTATGGGAGGGATGGTGCTATTAACTGCTCACTGATCTCTGACTTGGGCTGAACTTACCTTTATTTTGTAACTGTTAAAATCATGATGAAAAATTGTCAGTAAAAACAAACAACTGTTGTACAACTATCACTTCAAGTTAAAATAACATGTTAATGTTCAGTTGAAAATATTGTGTACTTGTTGCATGCTTATTAAATCTAACATGGAAAGCAATAGTTAACATTCTATCACCACGGTTGTAATAGCCTTTACACACAGCCAAAAATCAGGTTAATAAGCCTTACGTGTCTGGTAATTGTAATACTAAAACTGAAAAAAGAAACAATATCCAGTTGTTTCCCCAGGCCTGGTTAATTTTGTGATTTATTGTTACAGTCTCATCCCTTCTTCATTTTGTTGAACCTTTTTATCCCCAGATATGCTGTTTCAACTTAGAGTAAGTTTTGATTTTGTTGGAAGTTTTTACATATTTTGAAATATTTACATATTACGGTTACCTATACTGTAAGAAAACATAGTATTTAAGACAATTTTAAAGCTTTTAGCTCACATTTTACATAAACAATGGATTTATCAATTGTGTTTATTATAGTTTACTGCCAAACAACTTGAAAGGTTGGCAAAAAAAGCAGAGAAGGACCAAAAATTGCAACATGCTAAAGTTAAAAAGGTATTTTTTATGTTGTTTTTTATTTTGTATTTCCAAAAGCTTGTTATGCTGGCTGTGATTGAGATTTATGCCATTTTTATTAGAAGTTTTCAAAGAATCAGATGAGTCTGATAATAAGTTTAACATCTATAAACCTTTAATTGATTACAAAATATTTAGAACCTGAAATAGACAGACCTTGTGCACAGTAGTTAAGTAGTTCTATTAATCTGCCATCGAATCTGGTGCTGACCTTTACTGAAAATTTTGTCAGGGAATAGAAAACTAAAAGTAGTTCAGGTCTGTAAGGGATAAGATAAATATTGTTTTTGTATCTTCTAGTAAACTTTTTATTTCATTTGAATATTTGTAGTTTGTTAAGCATTTTATTTTGAAATCGCTATTTATAGCATCAGGTCAGTAGTTCAGCTAACACATTTTATTAATAATAAAAAAAACACTTTCCTTATTGTGATATGTTTGAATCATGAATTCACAATTTTTCTAGTAGAACTCAATCTTATGTTTTAGGCTTTACAGCAAAAAAATATTGAGGGTGCCCAAATCTATGCAGAGAATGCAATCAGAAAGAAGAATGAGGGCTTAAATTATTTACGGTTTGCTGCTAGAGTTGATGCTGTCTCTGCTAAAGTACAGACAGGCCTTGCTATGAAAAATGTGAGCATTTTCTAAAATTCATAGAATATTTCAGTTAAATTTCTCTCAACAAAACACAACTTTGTTATAAATTGTTTTTAAGTGCAGGAATGAAGAATTTTTAAAAAAATACTCTGTTTTTTTTTAAACTCCACATTTTCAGATAACCAAAGATATATCTGGTGTTTGCAAAGCTCTAGACAAAGCTATGGCTTCGATGAACTTGGAGAAAGTGAGTTTATTTATTCTCATTGTCTATCCTGCTCATATGACCCTCTGAAAGCTGTGCTGATATACAAAAAAATTACTCTCTGCATGTGCACTGTTTTTAGTTTGCTTTTCTTTCATGCAATTTTTACTTTATTTTGTTTAAATCTTGTTTTGAACCAATCAAGTTTAATTGTAGATCATTGGATCATTGAGTAACTTTGTATTAACCTTAAAGCTATGAGGGCAACGATAAAAAAAAATGTTTTTTTAAACAATTTTTTTCAGATATAAAGTACATATCAATAAAAGTACTGATTTAGTTAAAGATTTATATTTTTTTAAATTTATTTTTACTGCTATTTAATTTTTTTCTAATTAAACCTGTGTATGCAATGACAGGTTGAACAAGTGATGGAGAAGTTTGAGAAACAGTTTGAAGATCTGGACGTCAGGACTTCAGTATGTAGTTTTTCTCTTATTTCTACCTCTGTCATTTATCATTCATTTATTTAGATCCACTCTCAGTTTAGTTCATATTTAGAAACAGGTATAATTTTCACATCTTAAACAATGTTTGCTGTAAATTTGAAAAATATCTGAATGACGATACAGGAATTCCATTGTGTGTGTAACTTTCATGATGTTTCTCTTTGAATAGACTTTAGAAAATTCAATGGGGGCAGCAACCACTTTGTCAACTCCACAAGACCAAGTGGAGGCCCTAATACAACAAGTAGCAGATGAAAATGGCTTAGAAATTGTAGATCAGATAAAAGACTTGCATGCACCCTCCACATCCATTCGATCCTCTGCAGCCGGAGAATCTAGTAAAGAGGATGATCTTTCTAGAAGGTCAGTAAACTACACACAGTTTATAAGATATTTTTTTGAAATCATCTATTGGGCTTATTAGTAATACTTGAATAATTGTTGCATTTATTCAAAGCAATAAAAAATTTAAAAATTTTGACATCATTATTATATATTTTAATGTTATATTTTAAACATTATAAATAATTAGCTATTTGTCACTGGTAAAAACGTAATACAAAAATTAAAATATTTTCCTGATACTTTTTGATAAAAGCCTTTTTTCCTTTTTGCCATCTTTAAGTGTACTGAATCCTTATTTATAATATTTTTCAGACTTCAAGCATTACGGAACTGATAGTTTCTATAGCTACCATATGAATGTACTGTTTGTAACCGAATGAATGGGATCTGGTTAAAATAAATTCTTTCTTTTGAGACATTGCACAATACTAGAAAAAATAATATCTTGTATTGTATTTGTGATTAAAATAAATACAAAATGTGAAAATCATTTTAGCAGTGTAAGAAATAGCCTGAGACTTTGCTTTATTCTTTGATTTTGGTAAAATGTGTAGAAATACTAGGTTTTTTGTTTTTCAACTTTTCCTTCTAAAGAAATGAAAATGCTATTTTTTTGTCATGAGAAGGTTGTTTCCAAATATAGCTAACACTGCTAAACGTTATCAGACTACTTTAAGTCAAACCTATTGCCATGCATGTTATTCATCTTTCCAAATTGATTTCAACTACATACTGAAAGCAAATATGTTTAAATTAACTGTTTAAACAGTTGTAAATATTATTTTGCCTTAACAATTTCTTGTTAAAGTGTCACTGTTTTGTTTATCTGCCACCCTAGAATAATTCTGAAAATGACACTAAAAGAAATTGGTAGGCCACATTGTGAATTTTGTTGGCTCATGTAGAGCTCAGACACCAGGAGATATCTGATTGCCAGACCAAATAACACTTTCTGCCATCCTGTTGGTAACTTTCTATTTCAAGAATAAACTATAAATGTCTAATTGAAGATGTTTTCTTCTACATTTCCAATACTATGCCCATTCATTTAATTTCCCCCCTGATTAAGCCTTATAACAGGTGATGTTTTACAAAGTTTTTATGAAATGCTTTAGCAAGAAATATGTATCTATGCTTGTACTTGTCACTATATTAATGTTTTACCAGGAAATGAGTTTTATGCTGTGATGCGTTGTATATATCATCAGTCATTCATTTTTGCCGTCTTGGTTGTATGTGATGAAGATTTGTTCATAAAATTACTCAGTTTGACAAAATGTTTTTATTTTAAGCATTGGAACTTGAATAAGGGTTTAACTACAATCAAAATAAAATTAGCTACTGCATATTATTTGAAAACAGGACATAAATAAATAGTATTCTATTACTTGCTTAAGTTGAATCATCATATTCTTAATTATACTCGGTAAATTTCAATAATTAAACTTTCTTTTTAATTACATTGTGTTGAATTTCTTAACAACGTTGAATATTTAAAGCAATTATTAACTTGGAAAATAAAAACCACAAGGCAAAGCTCTTCATACATATTGTGCACTTTATTTTCAAATGTAACAATACTATAGCTAGGATTCAGTGTTTCCAGTTTAATGTTTCAGTGTGTATCAACTTTACACAATGAGTAACTGATAACTTTGGAAAGATGTTTCTCTATTGTACAATTTTTCACAAAGCTTCTTGTAGTGTCTAATAATGTTATGTACAATTTTGAACAAAATGTCTGTTGATCAAGATCTATACTTCAAATATTACAGCATATTAGGGGTTATTAAAGGAAAGACAAATCATGTTTGTAAAATAACAGAGGAATACAAATTAAGTAATTCCATTCAACATGTTGAGATAATTTTGACATGATAAAAAAGCAATAATATATTATTCAATTAATGGTACTCATGTTGCAGTAATTTACTCTACACAACCAAAACACGTACTGTAATATTTGGCAAGTTGTATTAATTTCACCTATCTTAGTAGACTGCAGCAACTTAAACATTTAAAGCTTCAATGATAATGTTCAGTGGACAAAACATTACTCTGTACTGTAATGTTTTTATTCCTTGAAAGATTTAGTTGTTTAATAAGCAATGCGCGCCTCTTCTAAGTTTTGAAATCCTGTAGGGGCTGGTGCACCACTGTGGTTGCCGAGGGGAGGAGCACCACCAGGATAATTAGTTGTTGCCGTGATGTTAGCGGGGAATCCAGATGTTCCTGGGTAGGATCGCACGTCAGCATAGGCAATATCAGCTGGATACGCATAGGAGGGATGTCCGGTGTAGAGTGAGGGGACCAGCCCTGGATCAGCAGTAGGAAGCACATGAATCTTGCCATGACCCTTGAGGAGGAGCAAACATTCAATCGGTTAAATCGTTTTTAACCCTTTATTTACGGAATTATGTTCTGAATGAGATTTTTACTTAAACAATGTGTTACTATATTGCTTTTGGCACATTCAAAGCATATATCGAAGGAAATTTTGTTTCATAAATTTTTAATGGCCCAAACAGATATTGGTACTTATAAGTACCGTCAGTAAACTAGGACATTTTTTTTCAAAAATTTTTTTTTACAAAACAGGAACAAACGATACAATTTATTAACTAATAACATGGCAATCATTATAACAATCGCTTTTTGTAATTTTCACACATAAATACAGCACAAAAGTATATTTTGAGTATGATTTTTACTGGATTTTCTATCGGAACACATCTTAGACCTCAAACACAGCAAAAGTAGTCGACATGTCATGCTCCTTCAATCTTGTCTATGGTCTTTCTGGTGTAGCAACGGTTGCCGGAATGAACATGCTTTTGCTGGAAGCTTCCAATAGCTAGTACAATGAGCCGCATTAACAAACAAAAGCCTAGTCATTCAGCACGCAACTACAAGCAAGTAATACTAGTATAATTGTAGCCTGCTAGAATGTTATGACAAGTCTAGACTACAGTGCAAAGTTCATAAATAGAAGTGAGCTCAATGTGTTTAGGATTGCTGTAGTGGCCTACTCCTTTCTGTTTACTGATTAAAATTTACCATATAGATCAATACTATATGCAGAAGTATGGACTATTACTAGCCTACATGTATACATTACGTAAATGCTAGTTGTTGTAGGCAAGACAGTTTAGTGCAGTAATTATAACTAACAAATTAAATCTTACAACTAGAACTAGGCTTTGGTATACAAATGAAGTAAACTAAACCTTGTAAACGAGTCTGCAACTGATACCTTTATTCTTGTTAATTTTTTACTTCTAGAAATTAACATATAATTACAATATTTCTTAGGTAAACCATATGATAACCTTCTTATAAATGTGTAAATATCATTTTTTGAGTACATTTCGATAATTAATTATCAAGACAATATTTATGTAACTCCACATAAAAAATCTGCCATTTTCTAAAAATCTTAAAAAAATGACCGTGTGCCCTGACGGTACTTATAAGTCCACTTGTAAACATCGATCTAATACAAAGACAATTTGATTAAAATTGTATAACTAGAAGTTAAATGCGTTTGCCTGACTATTGAAGTTGCCAATAAAAAATATTTGGGGTTGAAAACTTGAAAAATAAGGTAAAACAAAGGGAAATCAAGAACGTATGTGAAAAATGTACAGAAAAATTGTGAACTACCGATATAGCAAGACATTGAAAATGGCGTCACACCAGTAATTTTCAAAAAACAATGATACCTCCGACTACCGGCGACTTGGGGGAGATAATACTATTAATTACTTCAATATTTTTAAAAATTCGTATTAAATTAAAAATAATACAGGCATTTAATTAAAGTGGTACTTATAAGTACCGTCAGTAGATAAAGGGTTAAAACATTAATTGATTTTAAAATTCAAGAAGAATCTCGTATCCCATGCATGATTTAGAGTAGGCTGAGCGAGCTGTCTATTTGATCAACAGACATTCATCACAATTTTAAAAACCTATATATGATCTTTGACTATCCAGTTAAAAAAAAAATCTCCATGACTAATCCTAAGAAATTTGTAAATTCAACAAAAAAGGATTTTATAAAGAAAACACCATTAACAATTAAATACTCACAGGGGCACCCTCTGTTTGTTTTTCAAGATCTCCATACAAGTTGTATAGGAGAGGTCTCGCTTGTGAATATAGAGTGCCAAATGGTGCGTAACCTTGGTGACCACCGGCTGCAATGTGATCAGCTACATCTGATCTCACCTAATATTAGTGGATACAAATGACATTTAATTTGTATGTTGTTAGTAATGAAAAATGTCTAGTTACTAACGAGAAATAAATCCTGGGACTTACTTCACTGTATGTGCTTTTAAAGATTGGCCTTTACTCCAGTACACACTTATTTAAAAATGGTGTTCTTTTGACAAATTCACAAACAATGTTGTACATGGCAAAAAAAAACTTACAGTCTGTTGAATGGCTCTAGCCCTGGACTTATCATTTTCATAGATCATGGTACTGAGAGAATATTCCTCCCCTAAGGTGGTTTGACTGTCAGTCAGGACTCTGGTAATTATAAAAATAAATTTGGTTGTGCTATAGGCCTAAGTATTTTTATTATGGTTGATTACAATGTCATATTTTGTATACATGTTGTGGGGGCCCATCCTGTTATAGTTCTTTAACGGCATAGGCGGGTGATGAAAACAAAATTAGCCAAATGCTTGTTTCTAAACCTAATGCTATAATATTTAGCATATAGTCATAACTCACATAGTTAAGTCTAAAAATAACAAAATGGCCAAAAATTTCCTGCTGTTGCCATGGTGATGGCAGCAATCTTGGATTAACTATAGGTAAGAAATAAAAGAAGCTACTTTAAATTTGAGACAAACAACTTTGTTCTGAGTAGTAATTAAATGGCAAGTTTTAATTTTAAACATATTACAGAAGGAATTTGGTGTTTTTAATTCCAAAATATGTTTTGCCAAATATTAAACTAACCACTATTGTTATGTTCATAATGCTGAATAAAACTTGGCTTTTTTCTATTTATAACCAGGTGACAGATAAAAAGTACCAAAATATTTTAAAATAGTGTTAGCTCTGTATTTCTTAAAGCTACTAAAATATTTTAAAATAGTGTTAGTTCTGTCTTTCCTTCCTTCCTAATCTTTTCCTATCTCTGGGAAGGAGCATCGGGCTGAGACAACACTTCACATATGTACTTGATTACTGGCTATCTGTTTTTTTTTACAGTTCTGTCTCTTAAAAGATCTCCTACATAATTTTTTGTTGCTTCCTGTAAATTCCACTCCTGCACATGTCTAGTAATGTTGATAGCCTTCATTTTGATAATGTTTATACTCATCACCACTTCTTTTCTAAAATTTCCTTCTCAACTGTTTTTTAGATTCTTTAAAATAGAGCAATGATTTTCTTTACCTTTTAACACAATCAAGAGCAATTAGCCTATCATTATGAATGCTTATAGCTTCAATAATTTTGCGAGCCTCTCTGCATGTCATCCGACATAATCTCTGCAAAGTTAAAAACAATCAATTTTTAATGGTATTATAAAATCTCTGCTTTTTTTTTAAATTTTAAATGCTGTATTAAGAAATATTAACTTACAGATTCAAGCATTCGTAGAGCTGCTACTTTATCAGCTGGTCTTGGAAGCTCACTAAGTATTCTTCCAGCCTAAACAGTTAATAAAAATTAATAATCAAATATATCCTATTTATGAAAGAGTGAGAAATTAGGATTAGAAAATAATTGTTTTTTATAATACACATTTCTATTTATACAAACCTGCTCTGCATTAAAATAGCCCCGTGATGAAAATAAAATCTGCAGTTTTTTCACATGTGAATCAGTCTCCTGTGAGAATAATAGTGTAAATACTAGTTAAGCGTCTTCCATAAATAACTTTATTTTTTTATGATTTTTATCTACCCCTCCCCATTGTCTTACATCATCAACAAAAGCTAGACCCACAACCCTAAAATGGTGTCAATCTTCAGCTTGCAACCTCACCAAAATTGCTGCTTTTGTTTTCGATAATATTGATTTCTTTGTAAAATATTTCCTGAACTCTGTCAGCATTGAGTTTATTGATCAATATCTATTACAATATACAAAAATAGCCTTTTAAAAACATGAAAAATTAAAATGGCTACAATTTTTTTTATTTACACTGCCATTTAAAATGCAAAAGTGTTGTCACAATTTGAGGTCCCCCCCCCCCCCCCATGTCACACACGGTCACAAAATTCTGAGCCCTCTCTCAAAAAAGTGTGACATCGTTCATGAATGACCCCTTATTAAACTGAGATCTACATATTTTAAATTTTACTAAAAATGTTAAAAATTAAATCCCAACCCTTAACAAATAATAATAATTATTATTTAATAATCAACAATAGTCATACAACTGAAGCTAATTAGTAATTAGGCCTACTTTTATTTAATTTTAATTAGAGACCACTGATATTAATTTAAATAATAATTAATTAATAATTAGCCATTAGGTACTTACACACTCACACTGATATTAGATAAATTAATTATTAGTACATGTATAATGAATGTATGACTGTAGATTGTAGTATACATTCGTCATACATAATTGTCATTGAGTAACATTGTATTATAAATATATTTAATAATTAAAGTAATTATGTAGCATCCACCACCTAAACCTAACGCGGCGGATATTAGATCAACTTTAGATAGCGCCTTATGTTAAATGTTTTTTAAGTGTTATTTCTGCTGGATTTAGGATATAATTATAATCATATGCAAATAGTATACAATTTAACTATTAACACAAACTTGCCTGTCGTATTTTACAAACAAGTCTTTCAAAGTCAGAAGGGTTCATTGGCTCTTTCGCCATTTTCACAAAAGTAATTCGGACTTCAAGAGAGATTTTTAAGTAAAATTCATTCGCGTCCCTGACAACAGTGGGAAAATACAAAACATGGATTACAACTAAAACTTTCGGTTATTCAAAAATGCTTCGACACGGCATACGAAATATAAATACGTATTATACACCTTCACATAACATAAAGTCTAGACAAAGGCTTTTTAAACTTTTAAAATAAACTGTCATATTTTTTAAAATTAACTCTCGCAGTAGGCGTACCAGGTTGCTTTTTTCTTTTTGCAATACAATCAAAAACCTAATTACTAATTTACATGGACAGCTGTTCAAATTCACTCTGATTACTGGTTGCAGTTCAACCATAATACGTTTAATATTAACGACATGCAATTTTACCGTAATACCTAAGTTTTACCGTAAGTCATCAAAAAATTCTGTTATTATGAAATATAAATGCTACGTAAAATATATCCCCCCCCCCCCCCCCATCATCGCTCAAACATGTGGAATGTTCCTACAATTATTTCGCATGTGATTCAAGAACCAGTTTGGACATAATGTGCATTGTTGCTTTGAAATCTTTAGGGGTAATCGTGTCTCCTTAGTGCAAACACTTCCATAGGAATCATCACTCTGAACAGTGCTGTTTTCTTTTTGACAAGTGTTGTGAGATGTCATCACAATTGGAGGCCTATCATTTGGGTAAGTTTTGATAAGCAGTTCATTCCATCAACATGAATTTTTTTCACATTCTCCAATATCCTGTGGTTTAGGACAATAGTGTTGGTACAAACAGAAATAGAAGCTTATGAGTGGTTTTATAGCTTTTTATTTCTCCGTTTAATAAATAAAGACATACAAGAAAGATCTAACTAGTTTTTAACACACTTTCCTTAACAATTTATTTTTAATACAACAAATGAAAACTACAACTTTGGTACATGCCTAAAGAGATTCAACAAAAAATTCTTGACTTGTTTCCAAGTGTACATGATGATTAAACAATTGTTCTTGTGTTATGATAAGCCAAATTTTACTGGTTTGATTAACAATCAGAACCTAACAAAAGTTGTTTTACAATGCTGAAGTCAAAGAGAATTTAAAATTCCAGGTGCAACTTAGACATTTTTATTTAATGCATGTACTGCCTGGTTGAAATTATCAATTAAGTGTACAGAGATCTAGTCTATAACAAACTTGTTTAACTACACACAATTATACATAAATGTTTCCATAAATAAAATTAAATACATTTAATGATTATCAACACAACATTTTAGCATACACGACAGACTGTTGTACAGAATATAAAAATTGCTTTCGTGATGAACTTTAATTTGAAAAGCTATTTTTCTTTACATTTAATTACAAAAATTAAGATGTTTAAACACATAAACTTGGTTTTCACACCTTTTTAAATGCTTAATTACTTAGTCCTAAATGCAGCTTATACAACTTTTCAAAAATTTTCATACAAAAATTAGAAAGAATTGAACACAATATCACAAACTTTTTCTTACACCTGGGTTGTTCCCCTTTAATCGATTAGTAATAATACAGTCATAGACAGATATCCACCCAAGGTTATTCAGATTATTACTGTAGTTTGCTTGAAATATTTACAACACTCTTTTCAAAATCAAGCAGTAAGTATTTTACATAACATCACAATCAAGAGATGACATACTTAAATATGGTATGTTCAACATGCATTATGAAACAAAAGTCAAAGTTTATCACATTCAGCATGTGCTGTTTTTTGACACTTGTAGTGTTATAACAGTCATGAGATTTTATGACCAACAGCACAGATCTACTTTGATTTATTTGATTTCTTTTTTTATCTCACAAAAAAACTTAATTTCTTTTATAGATCACAATATCTAAAATCAAATATTTTTAGATCCTATCAAAATGACCCACAAGAAAAAAAAAACAACCTCAATAAGTTGGAATGTTAATTTTCTTGGAAGTAGCAGCAAAACCCATTCAATAATCACAAGAATATCAAATTCAGAAGATGTGAACATTTGAAGTTATGACTGAGAAAAACATCAAAATTGTACTAAATTACAAGTATTTCTCTATGTTCTTAACTATGAAAAGTGACAAATCTGGATTATTACTTATAGTAAATATTTTAAACCACTAAATAATTATAACTTTACAATATGTCATGGCAATAATTACGGAAACAAATGTATCACAAATAAATCTAATAAAATATATTTTAAAGAACCCACCTAACCATATTTCAGTACTAATATTACTTTTCAAAAGAAAATGTTTGCATCTTAAAATTTACTGTGAAAGTCATACAGGTACAAAAAGTTTAAATTTTGTTTCCAATATCAGTAGAAGACATAAGATAAGAAAATCTAAAATATTGGAATATAGCTGTCTATTTTTGCTCTATGTCTCTGAGCCACACATTCAGCAATCCAGATGATGTTTCTGATTTCCTGCTCCTTGAGACGAATGTAGGCATAGAACACACCAAACTGGAACTGCTGCATGAAAGCTTTCTTCATCAGTTTTACCTTGAAAAAATCATAATACAATCAATTAAAAAGGGTGGAGCTAAAGTTACAGCTTTTTTCAAAAGGTCTGTTTTAAAAATCTATACTATTTACATGAAAAATGTAGGATTTGTTTGAATAAAATAATAACCTCATATTCAAAAAATTTATCTTCCAATGTTTTATCACCAGGGTTTGAACCTGAGTTGTCAAAGAGTTCTTTGTATTCCTGAAATACAGACATGTACATTTATAGCAGAAAGTTATATTAGAAACCTATTTTTAATGGCAATACCACACCCACTAATATACACATAGAAGTACCCTTTTCTGGTAAATAGCTAATAGAGGGAATATGAACTTACAGGGTAATAATCAGCAACACCCCTGACTTGATCAAAGTCATCACAATCACCCAGTAGTTTTAGACCAGTGGGGTAAAGATGACCACAGCGAGGGTAAAGCTTCATTCTGTCTTCCTTGCTCAGTTCAGTTCCAAAAGAATTGATTGTGATTATGAATGATCTTCTGTCTGCATCAAACTGAAATTTAGAAAAACATACTTTACTGAGTACAAACATCTAGCAATGAATTAACATTGATGGCTTACTTCCTAAGCTACTAAAATATAAGAACACTGTGAAATAAAAGATGTTAGCCAAATATGTGAGGTGCAGTTAAAAATGTCACCTACTGCTAGTGCCTCACACATGACTTCTGCTGTAGCTCCTCCCTGTTTCTTGCAGAAATTGTAAAAGTCCTCCAAATAAGACTGTAAATATATATTTAAAAATAGGTTAATTACAAAAGAAAATATTTATGAATATGAGAAATAATAAAAGCACAGATTGATAACATTCAGACAAAACACAGAATTATGAAGTGATGAAAATATGACCTTGTAGAGTGTGTTCCGAATAATTTCTACATTCATTTCATCCAAATCTTCAGCCGAGATGCAGTCTTTAATGTATGGAGCTAAATCACAAAAATAATTTTAATTTTAAGAACAAATAAGTACCTCTGAATTAAAAATGATTACATCTAGTCATAAAGAGTTAATATACATGTCTCAATGCAACAATGTTGAAAATACACTGTCTACTGCAAAAAAACTTTGGGAAAAAAAACAGCATACTTTTTAAAAAATTTTTGTCACATATTCTTACCCAGAGGAGTATCTACTAACACAGCATTGTACAACATTATTGAAGTATTGGCTAAGTTAATAGCTGCCAACTGGTCAAATGTTCCCAACGGGTGACATTTGGGAAGTAGCTCATGAATAGGTCGGCCATGAAGAGTTCCAGTGATAAGAAGAATGACATTGTCAATCATGTAGCTGTATCTGAAATTAAAGAACAAATGACTGATTCTACATAGCATTTTTTTTAGTTCAACTTAACAGAAGCTATCATTAACACTAGTTAGCGTTTTATGTTATAATCTATTTTAATAATTTTCATTTTTTCAAAATACACGACTTACTTTATGTAATCAATGAATGCTGCTAATGGTTGCAAAGCTTGTATGCGCATATGTTCTACTTCAACAACAAGCTTCTCACGCAACTTGTCATCTATAACAGAAACTGTCAGTGGACTTGGCTCATTAGCTAAGAAGTTTCCATAGTCTGTAGACTGCAAATGTAGCTTCAAATCTAGGATGAATGTCACATTATAAAATTAAAAGTGGTAATACAAAATAGGCCTCGCACAGTAATTAAAGCAATTGCCTATTATTTATTTCAACATTCCGGAATAAACTGTGACTAAGCCTATATTTATGGTTAAAGGTTTAAGTTTACAACACAGTTACACTTCTCAGTTTTAAGTTTACAAAGTAACAAATTTTGAAAAATCCACCTTAAACAGTAGTTTTAGTCAATAATCATAGTTTTACCAAAATGATTAGGCCCTATTACATTAACTGAGCAACCAGATGAGAATTCTCCCATCATATTGTTGACATGGATTAAAAAATTGCTTTTTTAGATTTTGCAATCAAAGCGAACGTGAAAATAATAAAAACTAAAATCTTAAGCCTAAAAATAAGTCAAGTCAAGAATCAATGTTATAAAAGTTGCAAATAGAGAACTTGACAATAATTTTTTTTTAGTTTAAGACTACATTTCTATTTATTTTCATCATCTAGGTTATAACCTGATGTTTCACTTTCATAAGACAAACACTGATTTGCTGAACAGGAACTACGTGATCGATTTCTGACAGCCCCACGTCATAGTTTTTTGTTTACAAAACTTTGCAGATAAAGTTTTTAAATAACCCTGCAAGGATGATTATACATACCGGTGTCAAATAATGGAATCTTCTTTAAAAAAGGGGTGTTGGGTTGTTAGTAGTATTGTAATCTTGACTAATTTTATGGTTAGAAATTAGAGTTAGGCATACGGTAGGACCAGGGTTTGGGTTAGGGACAGGGTTAGCATTGACATTAGCCAGCGAAGCGTGTATTTAGTTAACTACCAGTAACCTAACATCCCTTTATTAAAGAAGATTCCATTATTGGACACCGGTGTAAACATTCTCCCCAATGCAAATTTAAACCACATGACCAAATTATGCCATTATTATTTATTATATTAGCTTTTTGAATTACCGGATGACATTGCTTATGCTGCCATTACACATGAATCATGAAAACCGAACTGTTCTTGCTTTTTAAAAAAAAATTTATTTAGTTACCAAAAATATTAAAGACATCAAATACATCCAATCTAGTCTATTCTAGTCAAGTCAGAAAAAAACAAAAAGGATTTTCTAACCATATTAATTTTAAGTACGCCGTGGCGGGCCGTGCATTATTTTTAAAAATTTTAATGGGCCTCTTGAATACATTTGAGACTTTTCTCGATCGGGTCCATTAAACAACTTAGACTTTAGGTCTAGTACTTACCGATCAACCTGCCTAAAAATATAAGCTAGGCCAAGCAAGGGGCACTAAAAATAAAGAAACGTAGGCTAGAGTAGAAACTAGAATAAGAATCTAGTTGACTTAGGGCCTAGAGTCTAGTATTTTTAGTAAAAAATTTAAAATTAAGTTAACAGTTTCCTGTGTTGGACTTCGGAGATTTTCGGTTTAGACTTTGTTAGGAAGAGACTTTCAAGTTTTCAACTTAAGATAAAAAAATAAATAAATTGACTTGGACTTAGGCCCCTAGGCCTCACTTACAATTAGGACTTGACTTATAGGGACTTAGTGACTTACTTAGGCTAAAAAAAAATTTCTCTGGTCTTGTCTTACCATCAAGTGTCTCACACTGAATCAAATTCAGGTAATCTGCCTGCTTCAATATTCCAGACTTAAACCCTCGGAGTAGACCTTCGAGATATCCATGGTCGATATTGAAAACAATTTCTTCAAACATTTTAATATTGAAGTAAGGTATTAGATTCTAACCTCTAACGTACTATATTCTAGTAAATAAGAAGACCGGAAGTCACAATGCAAAACAAATCACATGACGATCGCAACGCCTTCCGATTTATGACTGAAACGGAAGGTTACTCCCAAAAAAAAAAAAATCCATTTAGAATCTAAATTTAAAAAAATTATTACTTTAAAAGTAATAGTAATATAAAACACCATCGCTGACGAAACTTTGACCACCTCCACCGAACAATGTGACATAAATTTGACTTAGAATTTAGATGTTTAATCAATAATTATTGAGGTAAAAACAAGTTAATAAAAAGTCTAGTGACAATTTATTAATTTAAGCGCAATTTCCTTATGTTATCCATAACAATTTTAAATCGAGATAAATCATATATTCAGCAACGGAAATAGTTTTATTTTAACGAGTAGGCCTACACGATGCTCAGTTAAAAAAAAAAAGACAACTATATTATTATTAACCTATATTAACGAGTAGGCCTACACGATGCTCAGTTTTAAAAAGTAGTAAATATTTCTTAATTAAATTTTTTGTGACCGAGCGAAAGGATATTTTTGAAAACTTTCTTCGGCAATATTGTTCTAAATTATGGCAGGAATCGATTGGTAAATGTTTCAAGTCGCTAAACGGTCTGGTTGCCGAGATATGGGCAAAAAACTGCATTTTTTCGAGGTTTTTTTTTTGGCTTTTCCGGGAAATCCAGGAAGGAATTCCGGGAATTTTTTTGGCCCACAATCATCCTCGGAACTTGCTTAACATATTTGCTTTGGAACTAGTCCTCGATATTGCTTCGTTGAGGAGGAGATAAGACTTAAAGCTGCGGACACACATCCATACATCCATCCATCCAGAAATGACGCATTATTAAACGCAATTGCCAGTATGGAAATTGCGCTAAAAATTAGTTTCCTAAATTATTAGAATCTAATTTTTTGCGCTATTAAACACACATTGTTTTGCGTTCTTTCGGTACACGATTATTTTTAGGTAAATCTAGATTCTAGATCTAGACTAGATCTATTAGGCCTATGTAATTTTATTTAAAATTTAAAATAATTTAGTTTTAATAATATGCACCAAACATTTATTAAAAATGTTTAAATAACAAGCTTTTCTACAATAGTGCACTAAAAATGAAGAAAAGAAATGATTTAAAAAAATATACAATAAATAATATTTCAATAACTAAAAATACTAGCGTAGATCGCTGCTTAATGTTTAGCCCGTGCTTTTTTTTTTAGGAATTTAAATAGTGGTTAATAATTATATATTTAAAGAAAATCAATCATTTAGGCCTACTTTCTTACTTTTTAGAGCATATAGTTGTAAAAAAAGACTTTTTATAAAGACGGTTTAAAAAAAAATTAATATAGATCTAAATGCTTACATTTTTTGCATACCTAAAAATCGTGCACGCCAAATGAAGGCAAAGAATGTGCGTGCAATAGCGCGTTAAAATTAGAATGCCTACTTTATATAGGAAACTTTGATTGAATTTTTATTAAAAAATAATTAAGGATCAAATTAAGTCAAATTTTATGTAACAGTTTGTTGTCATCATGTCTTGTCCCAAGTGCTAATTTTTAAAGAAAATTAGTCCGCTAGAAATGGTCGAAATTTCGCTCGCCCGTTTCGACCCGAAATATAGCATGACAGTTAAAACAGACAGAGAATGCAAGTTTAAAAAAAAAAAAACTGTTTTAATAACAAACGTTTAGTTATGCACAAAAAAAGAAGAAAATAAATTAATTTCTTTAACTATATAACGCATCTCTATTTTAATATCTATAAAGAAAAGCGCAAGTCAATTGTTATTATTAAGGGCACCATTTAATCAAAATATCTAAATTCGGATGACTTTCGTTTATATTGTCATTCCATGTTGTTTCTGTAAACTTTTTTTTTAGGAACTGACCTAAATAACTGAAAGAACATCTAATAAAAGCTCGGTTATTAAAAATATTTTTTTTTACTTGAAATAAAAGTTCAAGCCAGCCTCGTGAGAGGGATGCTACGATATGCATCTTTATTTCTTCTGATGTCAAAGGGACACCGGATTCTAAATTAGAAGACTAAAATATTTATTTTTATATTTTATATAGACCCTAGAGCGTCACAATGTTCAAGCGCGAAAAAAAACCCCATTGTTTAATCAGTACATTTTGCAGGCCTTGGTGCCACTCCCAGTAAATGGTGTCACGTTTAATTTTATCCATGCATCTAATAAATCATAAACTAATTTAAACTATACCAAATATCTCTCTCGAAGAGCATAATAATAATATAGGTGCACTACCAAAACTTTTTTTTCAACAGAAATTTCGGCAAAATACGACCCCCCCCCCCCCCCCCCCCATAAATAGTGTTCTCTACAGCATTCATTCGTAATAGTACTAATAGTTCATTCTTTGTTTAATAAGATACTAAATGAATGTGGGGGGGGGGGGGGGTCGATGTGTACAGTTCCTTATCTTGTTCTTAGTTGTCTTAGTAACATTATTGTGGATATTGCGTTTTCCGCCTGGATAGATTTTTTAATGGATTTTCTTATCCCGCATTTGATTGGCTGTCGCAAATGCGAAGTAGGTCGCTAGATGCTATATAAGACGACGAGAGCTATTATTCTGTCTCTCAGTTTCACACCGGTTTGATCGGGGCTTAGAAAGTATCAGAAAACAAGATAGTTCAGGAAAATATTTTGCAAAGCGTTAAAAAAAATATTTAAAAGCAGTCAAGAAATTCAGATATACTAAGTCAAACATGTCTAAGCCTTTATACAAAGTCGGTACGTGAATTTTAAGGGACTACAATAATAAACATGAGAACTTTTTTTTCTATTTTACTTTTACCAAACAAGTTCAGTGAAGTTATCAGATACCCAAAAAAAATAAAAATAATGTTGAATCAATGAATAGTGTGAATGCTTATGCCGCTTGGGCGGCTTAAGCATTTAATTTATTTTAATCTAATAACAAAAAATTGCATTAATCAATTATCAATTTGATCTAGATCTTTAATAAAGATGCTTTATAATAATTATATTTTATATTCATTAGGCCTAGATCTAGACTCTATATACAGTGGTAGGCATATAAAATATAATAATCTAGAGTCTATAGTTATAGGGCCTAGATCTAGGCCAATTACTAAAAAAAGTAATTAGGCCTCAATATATCTATTTATCTAGATCTAGAATCTAGTTGTAAATAAATAGCCTATAATGCCTATATTTTATTTTTTAAGTATTGTTTGCATAAAAAAAAAACAGGATTCTAGACTTATTAGTATGATGATGATTTTTATATTTATTACCTTTACACTTCACTTTACAGCTGATATTGGTCTTGCTGAATGGGGACGCAAATGTCTTGAAATAGCAGAAAATGAAATGCCTGGATTAATGTCAATGAGGAAGAAATATGGAAAGTCCAAACCATTGCAGGGTGCAAGAATTGCAGGATGTCTTCACATGACTGTTCAAACCGCTGTTTTAATTGAAACATTAACAGAGTTAGGAGCTGAGGTAAAATTTTGATCTGCTTAAACTCAACAATTTATATAATATAGATCTATATTATAGAAGCATAGCTGAACAATTGTCATTTATTGATATAGTAACTAAAGAAATTGTATTTAATTATGTTATTTCTAGGTTCAGTGGTCAAGCTGCAACATTTTCTCAACTCAAGATCATGCAGCAGCTGCCATAGCTAAGACAGGGGTACCAGTTTATGCATGGAAGGGTGAAACTGATGAGGAATACATATGGTGTATTGAGCAGGTAAATTATTTATTTTTAATATTATAAAGCTGCTCTTTATTGTTTGAAAAGTAAATGTGTTAGCATATATGAATAATTTATTCTGATGTCTTACATTTCTGCAGACAATTTTTTTTCCTGATGGCAAACCTCTGAATATGATCCTTGATGATGGCGGGGATCTCACTAACCTTGTTCATGAAAAATACCCTGAACTCTTAGAAGGTAGGGTAAATTCCTAACAAGTTTATAGTTGTAAAAGTTGTCTTTAAAATTTTGTTGCACTGTTTAATAAAAACAATGTTAGACCAGATGTATTATTATTTTTAAGGAATAAAAGGCATTTCTGAAGAAACAACAACAGGCGTACACAATCTGTACAAGATGTTTGCAGCTGGTGAGCTTAAGGTCCCAGCTATTAATGTTAATGATTCAGTCACAAAGGTATATTTTTTGGTTGATATTTGAATTGAAAATAGTAGCCTAATCATTACATCTGTTAATGGTTAGAAATACTACTTTTATCTGATCTTTCATCTATTTAGTACTAAAGCAAATGAAAATCAATTAGGCCTAACTTAATTTTTAGTAGCTTGAAAGTGTTGTTAGTTTTATAAAATATTTTTCTAAATGCCTCTAACAATTGTCTATCATCAGAGCAAATTTGACAACTTGTATGGCTGTCGTGAATCTCTTGTTGATGGCATCAAACGTGCCACTGATGTAATGTTAGCTGGGAAGGTGGCATGTGTTGCTGGTTATGGTGATGTTGGTAAAGGCTGTGCTCAGGCATTAAGGGCCTTTGGCGCAAGAGTCATTGTCACTGAAATAGATCCCATCAATGCACTACAAGCAGCCATGGAAGGCTATGAGGTAAACCATAATGATTCTAGTATCCAAACATTAAAAATTGAAAGAAAGATTAACATTTGCAATAGCTGAATGTTTTCTGTTGTAGGTTAGTACAGTGGATGAAGCTGTGAAAGAAGCTCGCATCTTTGTAACATGTACAGGCTGTAAATCCATTTTGAGACCAGAGCATTTTGAACACATGCTTGAAGACACAGTTGTTTGCAATATTGGTCATTTTGACTGTGAGATTGATGTTGCATGGCTCAATGCCAATTGTGCTAAGAAGGAACAAATAAAACCCCAGGTAAGATCTTGTTCTCCTAATGTTGCAATATTGCTAAAAATTCATTAAAAATTTAAGATCATATAGCAGGATAATTGATTTAAAAAACAAATACAATGATTTAAATAAAATTGTTTAACTTATTGGTATTACAGTGTTATGCTACAATTAAAGCTTGATTCATTAGCAGTAGTATTTATTAGTAATTGCTTTCAATCAATTTGCCAGTAATATCAAGAATAAAATGTAACTTTACAAATAATTGCAGAAAATCAGAATAGCATAACATTTGTTACTTCATGGAAATACATGTTTAGGTACTTCTGATAGTAACTGCTAAGTCAGTGTATATGGTCTGTTATAGGAACTCAGCTGAATCTTGTAGTGTTGTAGGCACAAAATATTGTACATGAGGGAAAAGAAATGTAGACCATTGAGATTTTGTTTTCTAAATTAATAGTAATATTTTGTAAACAGGTGGACCGTTACACAATGAAAAATGGTCGACATATCATTCTTCTGGCTGAGGGTCGCCTTGTAAACTTGGGATGTGCTCATGGTCATCCAAGTTTTGTGATGAGCAATTCATTTACAAATCAAGTTCTTGCTCAGATTGAACTGTGGACTAAAACTTCTGAATACAAACTTGGAGTTCACATGTTGCCCAAAAAGGTATATTTTTCTGTAATCCATTGATGTAACGAATAATAGTTAGTATAGCAAAATCGCAACTTAAAAATACCCCACGAACTTACATAATGACTTCACCTTAAGATTTTAATGATACTAATTACAATATATTTTTATTAGCTGGATGAGGAAGTAGCAGCTGCTCATCTTGAACATCTAGGAGTAAAACTGACAACATTAACAAAGGATCAGGCAGATTATCTCAATATCCCACAGTCTGGACCATACAAGCCTGATTACTACAGATACTAATTTGTAGACAGCTAAGATAATGAAACTCTCTCTGCATACCAGTTGTAATCATATTTAGTGTATGACTGCATTATTCCAAAAATCTAATTCCCATAAAGATCAAATAAACAGATTCAGTGTTAACATAATGAATATTATAGGTTGACTGGTCTCATGGTTTTTTTTTATACCTAATTTCTGTCATTTCATGTTGCAATGTGTTCAAGCTGTACTGTAAGCAGTTGTTAAAAAAAAAAATAAACAGATGTATGAAATTGAACTTTCATTGGTCTGTCTTTCTAAAGTGTCATGGTTCTTCAAATTGAGCATTTTTAGACGCCCATGTTGTTTTTAGAATTTTAAAACGTTTGGGCAAGTATTGAGAATAACCTTTAAATTACCAGACAACACATTTATGACAATCAAAACAAATATTTGTGTCTAAAGGTTTAATACATTAGAATATTTACAATAACTTCCTGGCAGTAAATGTGTCTTATTCTCAATCTTTTTTCATAGCTTTGTCCCCAAAACTGTCTGATTTAGGGACAGCAGTTTTAGGATTATATGGGTATGTCTTGACAATAGGACCCTGCGCAGCCTTTCGGTAACTCAAATCCTCAAGTCTCTGTCGTTCCATAACTTGCTGAGAAGCTTTCATATTGCTGTAAGCTGAAATGAACCCCCACCAAAAAAGTATGCATGATATTATCCTTAATGAAAATCTTTAAAACAAAAAGAATAAAAACAACTAAGAATTACTAAAAAATAAACTGGATCAATTCCTGAGTGAGACAGAAACTTATTGCTAAATCTAAAGTTATGAATTTTCTTAAATTTGAGAACTACATCACCTTTTATAAGCACATATGAAAAAATGAGTATCTGAGGACCCCACCTCCCCCCCATTATTTAAAAAAAAAATTATGAAGAACTCTAGTTTTTATACAAATACCAAAGCCAGTTTTTTTTAATGAGCATTTCATAAAGATTAGAAAGTTTATTCAGATTTTTAAATAAAACAAATATAAAAACCTTTGTAATAACAGTCTTTTTAGCGCACATTGCAAATTTTACTGACCAAAACTATTTTATTTTCCGTGCATTTAAAAGCTTTTTATTATAGAGGTTTTCAAATTTTTTACCACTTTGTAGTCATTTGTTCTAAATGTAGATGCATTAAAACCTAACTAATAGCTCTAAAAGACAGTTATCTGCCCCTTAACAAAGTTCATGATCAACAAACTGTGACCAAACATTTGGCATGAATCACAGCTCAACAGATTGATCACACAATTGCAGCTGGCTAGTTATCTCCCCTTTTATTATATAATTCAGTAGTCTTTTAATTAGATTTTAATGACTAATCTATAGGATAATTAGATTTTAAAAATTGACATTGTTATGTTATCAATGAAGAAGGTATCTGGAAAGTTTGACTGAACTGGCGCATTAGAAGTGGGTTAAAATTGAGTGACAAGATTTGCCACAGTTACCATTATTAATATGGTCTGTTATATGAAATTTTAAAGTCTAATGTGAAATAATCAGAAAGAAAAGTAGTTAAGAAAAGAGAAAGAGTTGTACAAAATATGAATAGCAAAATAAGCTGATAAAACAAACTAATGTACAACCACAGCTCAACTATTTTTTTTTTAATTAATGAATTTTTAAAATCACTTACCTTCTTTAAATCCTTCCAGAAATCCTTTTTTCTGTGTAAGATCTATTGGCTGTTCAACTCTTTTAGGTATATTAAAGAACAATCTGACTCTAGGAATCTTGAGGAACAATACTTGAATAAGAGAGAATCCATTGGATGTAAACCAGTAGACAAGCATAGCCTGAAAATTAACAATACCAATTCACAAAATTCCTTAGTTTCAGCATATGGGATCAACCATAAACACACCCAGAAAAACTGAGTTGTAGCCACCCCTCCCCTATCCCAGATTGAAAGTAGAATCTAGAATGCGTTGAGAAAAAAGTCATAGTATAAATAGATACCTAGATCTATATGATAAGCAACTTATTTTATTTTCATGATTTAATATCCCATATCAACCAAAAACTGAAGAAGAAAACTTATTTTTTGCATGGAAAAATAAGTTTTAAGAAGTATTATTTTTTTGGGGTATTATAAAATTATTATTCAAAACATGAATCATTCCCTCCTCAGGTTTATGACCTTGATTTCTTTCTGTTTACTTCACTGCTTGCTTACCACAGGGGCACTAATTTTTAAACTAGATTTTGTTATTTATTAAGTGGGTTTAAAAACCTGAGCATTGCCTTTTCAGTTTAAATATACATTTTGTAAGTAGGCTAAGTGTTTTTTTAGGAATATCCTGATGTTATATATTCTGATGTTATAATATTCTGATGTTACAATCAACATGTGAGTGGTGGACCTGAAGCAACCCTTCCCTACAAAATTCAGAGATGTAACCGCACTCACCAAAGATTTTTTTTTAACAAGCAGTGTAATAATTTTCTCAAACACCTTATTTCAAGGTTTGAAACCTTGAAAAATGGATTCGAGGTGGTTTGTGTTATGGAGAAGTGTAGCAAAAAATGTCTGTAAAGTTGAGTAAGATAAAATGCTGAGAACAACAGATTTGTTTCATATATAAAATAGTCATAGGCAAAACAAAGTACAAAGAAAAAGTATTGGCGCAAAATCTTTCAGCCTTTAAAAAAAATATGACAATATGCTGTGCTAGAGATCATCCTACATAGACCTACGGTTGTAATGCTATAGTTATCTTTATTGCACAGCCCAGTTAATCCCCCTTCCCCTCTCCTGAATAATGTAACTAAGCGAATGGGATTCATATTGGGCTTGTAAATTTTTCCATTTTCATAAAAAAGTCGTAAGGTGGAAAAATATCAGTTTTCTTTTCCAGCGGAAAATGTTTTTTTAAAGCAGAAAATTTCCCCCAAAAGAAAATGGCAGATTTCTGACAAAAAAAGAGGAAAAGTTAAATCTCGGAAACGTTCATTCTTGACATCATAAACGGTGCCTGTTTACCATTATAGTAGACCTGTTTTTACATAACTTTTTCATAATATTTAAAATGCTTACTGAAGGAAAGTTAGCAATTAATGGCAACATGATGACAGGCATAGCTCTTAAAAACCATTTCATCACATGAGTCTGGGACTGAGCACTTAGACCATCTACACCAGCCTGTAACAAAATATTAGAAGGGAATAAAAAGTTGTACATTAATGCAACAAGCCACCTTGTGTAATTTTCACAATTATTCAAAGCAAATATATATTAATTTGGAGTATCTATAACATTTATCATATGTCACCTTTATAAACAATTTCAATAATTGGTCACTTAATCACTAAATTAGACCAAACTAAGAGTCTCCAACATAAAATCTATTTTACTGTATTTGTTTGGGGCTGAAAGTTGATGATCAACAAAATCAGACTAAAACAAGCTAAAATCATTGATAAATATCTGCTTATGACAAATATTAATAACAAGGCTGTTTGATAAAGTTTCCAACACAGCAGTATGGAGAAAGGGAGGATAAATCCCAGAAAAATTCAGAAAAGAAGGCGGAGATGGATAGACCATACTTTGGGGAAACTGGAAGCTACTATTTCCAGACAAGGAATTGCAAGGATCAAGAAAAAAAAGGGATACCCAAAAACACTTTGCACAGAGAACGGAAAAGGACATGAAAATAATGTATTGAGTTAGCTAAAAATGGAAAAAAAATAACAAATAACAGAAAAGTCCAGAGGGGGCAAATGGCCTATGCACCACTGTAAGTTGAAAAAAATTGAAGTAGTAGAAAAGATAATTTAGCTGAATCAAATAAATGTCCAAATGAAGGCTGCCTAAACAAACATAATAGAACAAGGTGTGTGTTATGACTCATTGCTTCCTAATGACATACCTCAACTGTGAGCCAGAAAGTAGCAGCTGTTAAAAGTGGTAAACCATACAGTGGTCCAGTGATGGTAAGGTCAGGAAACCAAAGGCAGCCACCAGTCTTCATACTTTCAACTGGCAGGTTTGCCATACCTCGTAATCCAATAAAGACAGAAAGAAATATTGGAACCTGTAATGTTGCAAAATATTAGCATTAATTGTGATGTAAGAGGGTACTGAGTGTTAAAGCCATTTTACTGAGTGCTGTTATTGTGAGTCTCAGTGTTTATCACGAGGTATAGGTCTATGATCAGTGTCATTATTGTTATGGTCACTAAAATTCTTTCTTTGCTGGTGATAGTGGTCCACCTTCTCACTTTCTGTAGTCTTCTTTAGTTTTTCTGTTCTCCTAAGATTTTACAATGCTATTTCAAAACTAAATTTGTTATATTGTACTCAGAAGCTTGATCACAGTATTCCAGCATCGCTCTCTCTCCATGTGCTGAAGTCAATGAAACAGGTGAAACTCTACTTTACCTGCCACACAGACCATAATGTTCGAAAATGTACTTTATATACAAGGGCAAAGACTATATTGTACACTCTTCACCCTATTTTTAATCATACTTGAAGAAATGACAGCTTGGTGAGGCATCCTATTCTGCTATACCCTCATGGCACCCATGTACAATTTTAGGTCTTGTTGCCAGATGTCGCGAAAACGTGACAATAATAATCAATGTAAGTAGGCTGAATTCACGAGTTCAAAAAATTTGCAATGTGCTTGAGTCAAGAGAGTGTGACATAAATTTTGACTCGACAACGTGACTGATGGTACAGATACAACCAGCAGCAGTAGGATAAATGTACCTATGCTGGAAGCTGTAAAACATTTGGTATGTATAAATTTAGGATGTATAAAACACAGAAAAATGTTAAACTCTCATTAAATTTTTGTAGACGATTAGAATATTTCCTCTGTACTCTGTAGTTCTATACGAGAAAGTAAAAAAGTTTAAGATTACAAAATCCTATAAAATTTTATTTTTAAAACAAGCAAACAATAAAAAAATATTGCAAGAAGAAACTTAGAATTGTGTCTTCACCTGACAAAGGGGCATCAGCATTTGACCAAATGGCTTCACATTATTTCTTTTCATGTAATCTCCCAACTCTGAACCATATCGCAGAGCTATGAAAAATTGAAGTAAATGCAAGAAAAACATTAGCAGAAACACTTTTTAAGCAACTAAATAAAACTACTTCATTCACAAAACATTTTTTTCCTAAACTTTTACAAGAAAACTTGTTTTAGATCTACATGTGATGACTAAACTTGGTATTCTTACACAAAATGTTAGTCAATGTTTGCTTGGACTAAAAAAGACTAATTTGTTGTATTAAATCAGAATAAAAAGTAACAACCTATTCCTGGGAAAACCCTGAAGCAGGTTACAATTAACAGTTCACTGATGTTGCCAAAACTTTTTATAAATATTAAAATTAAAATTCTGGATTTGATAAAAATAACACCACAGAAAACTTCCTTATAAGTATTTTAGCTAACAAAATCACAAATGGTATAGTTTAATGTTTAAAGAAAAAAATTGCATACAAATTTTCATTGTTTTGGGTATGATTACAGGCACCTCTGGACTAAGTTATAATCAGGATATGGAAATTTAACAAATGAAACAATAATTAAATAAATAAAGTAATTTTCAGAGGTGGATGTACACCTGAAGATTGAAATCCATAATAACAGTTAAGAAATACCAGGAGACATGTTTGCCATCTCATCTAGTCATTAAGTAATGTATTTTTGTTTAACTTAAAGCAATAAAGAACTCATTTATATTTCATATACATTTGTTGTCCATTTTACTGTTGTTTAAAAAAATGTTTGTCAATCAACGTTTTATTAATAGTGAATTCTAAGTACCAGTATTTAAAAAAAATTCTTACTCATATTTTCTTACTCCTTTTAGGATGAAGAGTTTAATTGTAATATCTAAGATCTAGTTTTATTTCCTTACTACTGTATTAAAAAACAACTTAAAAACAGAACCAATCAAAGAAGTACATCTACCTTCTACCATATTTCCTCTCTGTCTTGCTTGTGTGAACTTGAGTTGCAGTCTCTGTACAGTGGGCATGTGATTCATCATATTAATTGACATTTTTTGTGCTTTCACAACAATGGGGAACATACATGTCCTCACAATTATTGTGCCTGAAAAAAAAAAGAGTTAAATGTCACTTAGTATGCAGCTAATTACTAAAAAATATTAATTTTAAAAAATGTAACATTAAAATATTTTTCTTGCACTTCAAAAGACTGACAGGTCTGTCGGTTTTCAACCAAATCCAAATATTGTTTTCTATTATTAATACTAATAGTTTCGCTGTCTGTCTATCTGTGTATCTATGTATCTGACAAAAACGCTATAGAGAAAACACAAGCAAAATAAATACTCTCATAGTAAAACGAAAAATGACGTCACATTTAGCATGTAGTATAAAAAAAGTCTACAGCTGGAGAGTGCACACAATAATATGACGTCATTGATTCTCGAGTAAACATTGAATTAAAAAGCCAATTTTGTCTAATCTAAGTGGTTTGCGTGAAGAGTTTCATTCATACAATTCTTAGGGTAAGGGCAAAGCCCCACCCTCGCGAAAGAACGTCTAAGGCCCTCCCCCAACTCAAAAGAAATTTCTTCATCGATACTCTATAATAAAATTACCGCCTAATTAATGTGTCTAATCTAAAAAGTGGTTTGCTTGCAGTTTCTTTCATGCAATTCTTCGGGTAGTGGCTGAGCATGACACCAGTGTTTCTTACAGACTTTTTCCTCCCGGAGGGGGGAACTTATTCTAATCTAAAAAGTGTTTAGTGTGCACAGTTTTTTGCATGCATCTCTTCCGGCAGGGGCAAAGCCCCGCCCAGGTTCCTCCTTTAGTTTGTATGATCTACAAATGCGACCAGTGTTTCTTTCAGACTTTTTCCTTCCCGGCGAGGAGTGGGGATACTTGAATTTTTTGGGGGGCGGGGGTAGAATTTTCTGGGAGGGGGAGGACACTGGAAAAAGTATATTATTATATTTCGTTGAATGGGACGGTAGACATGTTTTGGGGTGTGTGTGTGTGGGGGGGGCAGCAGAGCCCCATCCTCCCAAGTAGAGTTGCCTGAAAGAAACTCTAAATGAGACTTTTGTCATGAATGAGATTAGCTGCATGGTTTAGGGATATGCCTATGACTATATTTTGTATAAATTAAAGTAGCGATTCTGGATAAAAATCCGTTTTCAATGTCATTTTTCGTTTTCGGTTAAATTGAATTAAGGTGGTGATTTTGGTTTTAGTTTAGAGAAAATAGACAGCACTATCAACCGAGTGCCAGTTGTATCCTTCCTCAACTGGCCATTTTTCTCGTAAATAAAATAGTTTTACTAATAGTTTTTACTAAATGCAGCTACAAATATAAAAAAAAAAAACTTTACAAGTATAAGCAGTTATATGCACTGAAATTAAAAATAAATAAAACAAACTTGCTTTCTCAAGTAAAAAACCATTGGTTGGTAAGTAAGAGATTTCATAAATGGCCAATGGTTTTACTAAAGAAAGTAAATAATGTGTGATCTCTAAAAAACTGTGTTTTTCTTAACAAGACTGATTGTGTATCACCATGAATGATTCTTGTTATCTCCCTTTTTGTTATTAAATAAAATAAATCAATTTAATTTTAAATGTCAAATTTAACACTTAATTAGATTAAAAATGGGATACTATTTTGCTGTCTTTAGATATTAAAGTATCTGCAAAGTCTATATGAAATAGCTGCATAAAAAGTAGATTAAAAATTGAGTTACAATGTTTATTAGAAATCCAGACAGACAGACATTGTGAACTAAAAATAGCTAATAAAAAGAATAATAATCTTCAGAAAATGTATTATAATCACACAAAGATCTAGATAAAAATAGTAGTTGTGATTTACCAACAACAATTGAACCCCACCAGGGTAAACCAAGCCCAGCATGTAGCAACTCCAACCCTTGCTGAACTAAGCCTGGAGGCAATAAGCCCCCTAAACCTACAGACTGTAATGTGGGTTCACCAAGTGCATTTAATGTCTCAACTAATTCTGATGTTGCTGAATCAGGTAGTGGTGGTACTGGTGGTATATAGTCTGTAGGTGGATTAATGAAACTTGATGGTTCTGTGCTCTAAAGTTAAAAAACAAAAGTACCAAAAAATGTTTTTTTCAGGATAACAAACATGAAAATGATAACTTTTTTTAAAAAGAAAAAACAATTACTAAATTTTAAAAATTCATTTATGTTAAATGGACACAATAACAATGGTGATCAGCACAAACATTAGTTAATATCAGTAGGCCTATAAAGTGAGAGAATTAAATTTTGCCAAAAAATAAATTGCTTACTTGACTGGTGTTTGAAGTTGCTGAACTGTTTAACCTAAAGCAACCTACAGATACTGGTGCTGCTCTAATGTGATGCTTCAGGGAACTTCTAGAAACAACACACCTAAGCTTTGGAAGATGTCTCCCGGTATGTAACGAAGCACACAATACATCTGATACATTCTGTAATTAATAAATTGAAGGTAGTATTACTTGCTAACCTGGATATTCTGACAGAGATTCAAAGGAGCGACTCAAAATATCGCTCCTTAGGATTGTTTAAAAAAATATTTACCACAAGCAAAATGACGAAATTTTCACGGTATAAAAACAATAGGTGGCAGGGCTATATATGCTATTGCTAGAAAAGCATTTTAAAATTTGGTTTGGAGAATGGAGGCTAAATTAGTTTCATTAAAATTAATAGAACTTTTAAAATACCAAATCCCTATCAAATAGGTATAAAAGTGAGCAAGTAAGTAAACTTAAAGCATTATTAGTTTTATCAGTCTATGAAAAAGAAATCAATTTTAGTGGGCACTTTTTTATAAGACCGGCTCTCATATCACAACCAATTTATTTTTATTTTTTAAAAACCATGTGACCCCTATATTTGGGTGATCACTAGCGAGGAACTCTTGTGCAGAGCTAATTACACTCCAGTGGGATCAAACAAAAGATTGATAGGATGATTTTTAGATACCAATGTCCGATAATAAACTGTTCCATAATAATATAGGTGTGTTGGGTTGTTAGAACGGGAGAATGTTTACACCGGTGTCCGATAATGGAATCTTCTTTAAAAAAGGGGTGTTAGGTTACTGGTAGAATCTAGTAAGTTAACTAAATGCACACATGGCTGGCTAATGTCAATGCTATCCCTGTTCCTTAACGGCGACGGCAGTAACAGTTAACCCTAACCCTGATGATCTGATCCAACCATATGCCCTAACCGCTAACCTTAATTTAAATCTAGATCGTAATTTCTAACCATAAAATAATAAAATGGCGAGATTACAATACGAGAATACTGTAACAATACAATACTACACTACTAGACTAGATCTAGACTTCTATTTTAGTAGTAATAACTAACACTCTAAGCAACCAAACAACAGTAACAATTTGTAACAAAACAAGTTACAACCCAACGCCCAACACCCCTTTTTAAAGAAGATTCCATTATCGGACACCGGTATCTATAATCATCCGATATGGGGCCTATTATATTCAATTTACTTACATGCTTTTTGGCTGGGTGTATGCATTTTAATCCGACTTTTAACAAATTAGACGAAGAGCGAAACTGTCGCAAAATACAGCACTGATTCATAAGTTGCATGCAGGCTGCCATTTTGACATTCAGCGGGGTTTCGGTAATTACCGTGAAATGATGCAAGACAGTTTGTCGCTATGATGTATAATATTGTTGCAAACAAAATAATAGACTAGATCTATATATTTTATACAAATATTAAATATAGTCTTTATTCTTTAGTATTGTCTTGAAGGCATGTAAACAATGTATCACATTTTGAATAGAGGTGCCGCAAGTTTAAACAAAAGAGACCTAGATTCTAGATCTAGGCCTATTATTATTATTATTTTTTTTTTTATATTTGTACTTAACCTGAATATGCTGAATAATATTGAATAGGCCTAGATCTATATCTACATCAGACTAGATCTACCTGTGTTCTAAAATAAAATATTCATTGCCCAAAATAATGTGATTGGGAGAATAACGCCCAACGCCTCCTCCCGGATGAAAATTGAAAAAAAAACCCAACCTCGCCCAGGGGAGGGGGCTACTGACTGAAATAAATTGCCTACAACTAATGGCAGGAAATTAAAATATTCACAAAATACTGATGTATTTAATAAGTAGGCCATAACAATAAGTCAATTAAAATAAAAATCACATATAGACCTAATTGCAAAAACTGCTGTAAAATATCTCGGAGACCCCGGCGTGTAATCGAGAGAGACGCTGAAGAGATATCAGATCGAGTATTGTTAATTTTATTGAACTGATCTTTCTTACGCCTTCTTTGAGTGCAATAAAACTGAGCATGCGATGTTTAGCATAAATATAAAATAAGCAGGCATGTTATACTGCGAACTTCATTATTATAAAGCTATTAAGATGGTTTCCCGTCAAGCGTATCATTATTTTTATACGACATTCCAGCACGCGGTGACCAGTTTCTCCAGGCATATCTTCGAAGAAAGTCTACCGCCCCCTGAACGAGATAGAATTTATATAGAAAACATATACTTTTACCAGTGTCCCCCCCCCCCCGGGAGGAAGAAAAGGCTAAAAAAAAACACTGGCGGTGACGAGGGTAGGATTTGGAAGGGCCGGTGGAATTTCGTGACATAGGCCTAACTTGGGTTTGGGATCATACTTTTTGTAACGAAGTGTAACAAAAGAGAACGAGTGGGTTAATTAAGAAATTTTCTCTTTTCTGGCAACATTCTTTTTTTTATGTTTATAAAAAAATCGAATTAGGATTTGATTTTTCCAAACATTTACAAACACGCATGTACGCGCACACACATACACACGAATTTCGTCAGTGCAGACAGTAGGCCATATTTTAGCAAGGCCATAGGCCTAAGCCTCTGCTTTTTCGCTACGACGGGCTAGTCCCGTGAACACAATTTAAAGCCAAATCTATTTATTTTTCATTAAAACGAAAAACACAAATTTTAATATAACGATCCTTTATTTTTGTTTTTTATCATAACAAGTAATAAATGTTACATGTCTCTACTAATTCAAATAAACAGTAATAATTGGATAGTATAACAGATAAACAAAGTATTAAATAAGGCTATATATATATATATATATATATATATATATATATATATATATATATATATATATATATATATATATATATATATATATATATATATATATATACATAATTAAAAACATCGCATCCTGGCATACAATGTTTCTAAGAACTCTAATCAAATATAAGGCAGTATTTTACTAACTTCCACAAATTCAACTCTCCAACCAACTTTACCAATACTTTTTTGATAGATGCAAGTTTTATATTAGATCTAGGCCTACTTTTGCTCAAGTAAATGATGAGTTGGGAAGAAATTATAAAGGAAACTTTGACATTTGTTTTTTCTATTATTTTTACACTGATTCTAATTGTTATAGGTGATTGTTTGTAAATACAACTACTTACTACTACATTTACTACACTATCTATACACAATATAGAAGGTCTATACAAATTATTAATTATAGATCTAATATTATAAATAATAAATACATGGTACTCTATCGTTTTGGGTACGTAAAATCGCCCGCGACTAGATCTAGTAATGTGAAAAACAGGTGACTTCTTAAATTTTAATAATTATTTCACATTTTGATGAGGATTTATATTTTGAAAAATACAAAAATGTTTTCTTGTTTCATTTAATATTTAATATGATTTATGTACCTGTTTTTAAAGAATTGAATTAATTTGAATTAAAACTTTTTAGTAATAAATGAAGACTATGTTTCCAACAGATGCAACCGTGCTCATTTTACTATAGCAGCCATCTTGTTAAAGTTTTTTTTTTAACTTATAGCGCGAGATTCAGGGGGAAGCCACTCTATTTTACAAATGGCTGCTCTTTTATATAGCAAATCTTGCTCTCAAACACTGCTGTTTAAAGTTAATTGCTGGCCTATATTGATATATTTAGCCATTGATTTAGGTTTACTATTCATATATCTATAATATTTGACACAAATAAATCACAATACACTTCTATTAAAGCCTTGACAATGAGGTAACGTTTTCGTACATTAATAGCCGCGGGCGATTTTACGTACCCAAAATGATAGATTACCAAATATATAAATATATATTATATTATATATTATGTATATTGGATTATATATATTAATAAATAATATTAGGCCTATTCATTTAATTATATTATATAATATATATTATATAGTATTTTATATATATAATATAATACTAATAGTATTTCAATATATTATTCTATATTATACTATATACTATAACTATATTAATATAGGATAGGCCTATTCAATATATTAAAATAGTATGTGTAGCATTTGGACAAAGGGAGATAATTTTCATACAAAAACCTGCACAAAGCTCTTGAGTGATTTTTCAAATTTTGTTTTTACCAAATTAAAAAATTAATATGATATTAATTTCCAATACTCAATACACAAAGCAACCACATTTTCCAAATCTACTGAGCATACCTAGCAGATATATTCCAAATTCAACATAAGCTTAATCTGAAGATTTTGGGAAAATGAATGAATATTATCTTTTTTCGTGATAAACTTGGGGCATATGTATCAAAGCTGCAAAATTGGCAAAGAAAAATAAATCTTTGAAATATTGCCATTTTTGAGAAACTCTGCAGTGCAATAGATTAATCTGATTGTGAGATAAATAAATTTTTGAAAGAGGAGATTTCTGGGTATTTTGAATCTCTTGAAAACTAACTGCAGCGTTACTTCGCTGAGCTGAAAAAAGAACAATCTGGATTGACATGTAACCCATTTTCTGCTTCCCTTGATGTTGCCAGCATTCCCGATGAATTCTTAAATTTGCGGAATTATTCCACGTCACATACCATGTTAAATGAATAACTGCTCACACAACTTTGGTGTAGTATGCACCATTCATACCCAAATGTGAAAATTGATTGCCTTTTGAGTGTTAATTCCTTTTGTGTCTACATATCTTTGCGAGAATAGATTTTTATTACTACTTCAATTAAAAACAAATCAAAGAAATAAATTAAATGTTCAGAATTAAATGAGGTTGGCATTAACAAAAACTTAACTGTGTATGTTGAGGCTTGTCAATAGCATATAATTTCATTCATCATATTAAAACAGTTATCAAGAATAATTCATACTGAAATTCTACGACAAAATAATATTTTAGTGTTTATTAATTTCTTTACTAATTTTGACTTTTTTATTCTATGGGGGTTGCGGGTCACTTAATTTTTATAAATGGGGGTCGCCAGTTAAAAAAGTTTGGGAACCACTGCTCTAGAACAATATAAGAATCTGCATCACAAATGTTAAGACAATACTACTTTATTGCTTAGAGACTTGGAGGGTTCCAATATCAAACCACTACATATTTTCTTTGCCTTTTTCAACTCCCAGTGTCACCTAGTGTAGTATAGGCAAATGACATCATTGCAAGAAATGTCTCATCTGATAATACTAGTTGCTAGTTTCCTCAACGTAAGGTATATCCATCTCCACTTTCTTGTCAGAATTTCTTGCTCCACTGGGATTGGCCTTGTTCTTTTCTATTCTGATTTTTATAAAAAATTGTAGCCTGTTACAGTCTCCATTTTTTATCGACAACTTTCAGCAGCGTGAAATCTTATGTTGGAGTTTAAAACTTGTTGTTTGATCTACTTTGTAGATTGGGATGACATTATTGAGTGCTAGACTACTAACCCAAAAGTCTTGAGTTCAGATTTCTGACTCGAGTCTGTAAGACTTCCTTTAGTCCACCCAGTTCTGATGGATGCCTTACTCAGGGAGATTAAAAGTGGATGGGCATGCACCATATTTTATACCCAGAAATCAAGAGACAGATGAACTCTACTTTATCTGCCCTATGGATTGTTAAGTCTGAAACCAAAGGGGAACTTTACAACTTTTAACTTATTCAAATCAATAGAAATTAGCACTTCAGTGAACAAACCCCTGCAGGGAAGGGATTCGTTTTTTTTTTACCTAAGCACCACTGTATATTTTTCAAATATTTTGAAATGTTTAAATTCCAATCTAACATGAAAATCACAAACTTAATTTTAAAAATATGTTTTTACACTTAACAGCATGGATGGTGATGTGGCGACTATTTTTCTCCAAAATCCAATTTGTTAGAGAACTGATATTTCCTGATGGAGATGTAAAGCAGAAAGATCCAGGTAAAAAGGAAGAGCTACGCAGTAGGAGAGAAAAAAAAACAAGAAAGGATTCTTGACGGTTCCCTGTAATAGTCTTCAAATTGATCTATCTTCACAAGATTTTGTTAGGTTTTGATAGCACACGTGAAGAGTCAACCAGCATTCACCTACAGAATCATGATTGATACCTCTAGTTTAGCAACATCTCAAGTTCATTTAAAAAACTTTTAAAACAAACTGTACCCAGCATTCACTTGTGAGCAGTGTAAATAGCTGTTGATAACTGCAATATGTGTGTAGTGTAAATAGCTTTTAACAGCAATATGTGTAAATATCTATGTATGTCGTCGTTGAGAATAGTGTATGATGGGCTGGTATGTCATCCATTTGTAATCACATAAAAGCGCATTTGTGTCACGCAGTTGCATGGACAAGGGGTTTAGACCCCCCCCCCCCCCCCCCTCCATGATCCCCCAAAATGGCAACTTCCTCATTATTTTTACAGTGCACACGTTGTTTTAACTTCATGGCTACAGTTTCAAAATTTCATGAAACCACAAGTTCATTTTTTATAATTTGTATGGAGAATAAATATATGTATTTGTGGAAAATATTTAAAAACCCACCCTTCCCCTCCATAACAAAATCCAGCCTACGCAACTGATCATATGTTCTGATACATCCTGAAATAGAAAATAATATGTAAAATCTAATTACAACAGTTAAACTTAATATTAAAAATACTTGTCACATTTTTAAACTAAGTGTAGTAAGGATAAGAAATAAAAAGAGTAAAGAGGACTAAATAACATTGCATTTGTATAACATCGGCCTCAGGGGCCTAGGCTTTTTGATTTAGTCTATATTGACATCATTAAAAAAAAACTTTTAATAAAAATGAATTTTTTTGTTCTGTTTCTATTTTATTCCTTTATCATGCAAATAAAATAAATTATCAGAAATATGATCTCACGAATTATTTGTCACTTCTCTTGAGAAGACCCTAAAATTTCCAGTGTGTGTGAAGTCAGCATGAAGACTGAGCCCATAATATATGAGTCCCAATTGTTAAAGGGAGACTTCTTTCTAAAATATGGTGAACAAATGTGTTGGAAAGATAAACACACCCTTTCCTTCACTCAAATCTCTACCTAATGGGTGAATGATTGTTCACTTTTAAATGCCTATAAACACATGTAGTGTGAATGGTTGTTAAATTTATATACACCTATTGTAAATTGTGTTTATAGTTTTTCTTTTTATACATACTATGTTCCACTATTTTTCAAATTAACTATACATTTAAAAAATTACTGCTGCTAGTTAATAACTAAATTCATTTTTAACTTTAAAGAGAATAACTAGTAAAACAAAATGAAGTTAAAGAAGTCATATATTTCTTCAAAATGTTTAAAGCATGGAAATTACTGCCTTATGCAACATGAGAACACCAGAGTGATAAGAACATGCCTAAATAAATATATCAAACCTTCTGCTCTGAAGTAAGTCCCATAACTCCAGAGTAAACATAGGCACTTCGAAGAAGAAAAAAAACAACATTGCTAACAGATTTTAATGCAAATTTCATAAACAATATATATAATCTGCATACAGCTAAATTGTCTTTGCTGTTTTCTCAATGATGCAAACAACTTTTTTTCTTTGCATAATCATAGAGAAGTTCTATAAATTAAAAAAAACTTAAAACATCCTACTTAGTGGTACTTGATGTTTTTGGTTTTACTTATCTATCCAGTGAACACGTTAGGGAACTTTGCTTAAAAAAAACAGGTAAAGGAAAATCATTCATGAAAACACTAGATACTTTTTAACAGTAAAAAATATTCCGACATCAACCCTATGAGTAACATTATAAGTTCTCTAAAAATAGCTCATCATAGTAATTAAGACTAGCCCCACATAATATATTAAATTATTGATGGGCCAACATAACATTTTGAGTATTTTGATCAATTTAATTAGTTATAAATTATAAATGTTCCTACATTTATAATTTATTTTGATATAGTACTGACAGTAATAAAATACAAATTATGCAAATTAAAGCTTCAAGTGTATAGCGCCATACATCAATAAATTACTGTACATTTTTTGCAACTTGTGTAGGATCTTTCCTAACACTTTTTATCAAAATATATAATACACCGAACTAGCTTCCAGCCCCGTCAACAATTTCTGCATTTGAAAGTTGCCCCTGAACCTGACAAGAATTGTTTCTGCTAGACTCTCCAGCCACATTATGAGCTGAGATTATAAGTTGACTGTTGTAGTTGTCTAACTCTGAGTGACCGTAGTGACTGCTCTCCCCCTCTGCCACCAGCAGCTGACCCTCAGTGTCTATTGTAATTAGTTGACCGGAATCCTCTGAAGACATGATCTGAGCATGCCTGCTCAGGAGCTGACCAGCTGTTGTCAGCAGCTGACCATCATCTCCACTTGTAATGATGAACTGACTGGATGTGCCAGGGGAGGAGTCTGTAGTTGCCAGCTGGACACTAGTGCTTGAGGTGCTGTTGCTGACCAGAGCATCCGGTGATTGCTGTCAGGACCAGATTCAATTATAGTCAGTACACAAAGACAGGACCAGATTCAATTATAGTCAGTACACAAAGACAGGACCAGATTCAATTAGAGTCAGTACACAAAGACAGGACCAGATTCAATTATAGTCAGTACACAAAGACAGGACCAGATTCAATTATAGTCAGTACACAAAGACAGAGTGATTTCTAATGCTGTCAGGACCAGATTCAATTATAGTCAGTACACAAAGACAGGACCAGATTCAATTATAGTCAGTACACAAAGACAGGACCAGATTCAATTATAGTCAGTACACAAAGACAGGACCAGATTCAATTATAGTCAGTACACAAAGACAGGACCCGATTCAATTATAGTCAGTACACAAAGACAGGGGGATTTCTAATGCTGTCAGAATCAGATTCAATTATAGTCAGTACACAAAGACAGGACCAGATTCAATTATAGTCAGTACACAAAGACAGGACCAGATTCAATTATAGTCAGTACACAAAGACAGGACCAGATTCAATTATAGTCAGTACACAAAGACAGGACCAGATTCAATTATAGTCAGTACACAAAGACAGGACCAGATTCAATTATAGTCAGTACACAAAGACGATTTCTAATTATGGTTTGTGGTTGGCCGATATGTGTTAACACAATTAGATTAAAGCTGCCCAACTTAGCCTCACACTGTTGTATGTTAGAGTTAAGAAGTTCTAGAATAAATACATAGATTGTCTTATTAAAAAAAACTGATAAAAAATGTAAAGTTTAGGCTTTTGGCATTTCAAACTCATTCAATTTGTTGTTCAAAAACATCTATATCACTAAACAACCATAAAAACTTAAACCGCAGTCCAAACCTATAAGAAACTGGCATTTGTTAACTAAAAAAACCTGTTAAGTACTATATTACTTATCAAAGTAATGCTGAAAGAAATCTTTTTGAAACTGACCACTTCCTCTGGGTTATAATACTGTATGACATATTGACTGCCAGGGAGCATCCCACTGGCATCCCCAGTCAGTAGCAGCTGACCATCCTGCTGGACTGTGATGTCCAATGGCTCACCATCTTCATTGACCACACGCAGCTGATTCTCACCACCCTGATAGAAATTGTTTTTTTTAAATTACAGAGCTACAAAAATCTTTGGAGAAAATCTAACACATCCACATATTTTTTCTTCTCTAATGAAATAAAAACAGAAAAGTAGTTGATAACGTATAAAGTATGTCAGAAATCAACAACAGTTAAACAAGAACATGATGGGCAGGTAGTTTCCTACCTGAGACATTCCAATCAAATGCTGGATAAGATTAACAGCTGACAGTGACATGTTGCCATCATCATTTGCCATTTGTAATTGGAGCTCTTCTGCACACACAAAAATTGATCATTGCAATTAAAAATTTAAATAATGTAATCCTAATAGAATAAGAAAATATTGACCATCAATTTTAAAACAAAGGGAATGAATAAAGACTGACCAGAGGGAGGCTGACCTGCAGCCTCAAGTTGTTTGTTGACTAAAACTGCCTGCTCATCCTCATACTGGACAACCTACAAAAAGAAAATCACTCATCACAAACTTCACTGGTAGAATATACGGATATAATTATATAAATAGAAAAAAAAGGAATAATTTTTAAAAAATAAGGTTTTGAAAACAAGCAAAATATGGACAAGTAGTATATGTTAAATAAAAAATAAGCAGTTATTTAACTGCAAAAAAATCTGTATGTTAGTTCAAGGCATAAAACTAATATAAGTCCAAGTTAGCTATCATAACTAGGTACCTAAACACCTACTATTGTATCTGACTTAAAGACACAATGGTTCATTGGAGATAATAAAGCATGAAAACTGAATAAAAAACTGAATTAAAAAAATAGGCTGAATGAAATAGTTTACCTCAACCTCTGATATCTGCATTTGTTCCATGCCTGCTATGTCTTGAATCTGGACATGATGCTTAATTTTCAGGTGGCGTTTAAGATCTGAAAGGTTCCCAAACAAATATCCACAGCTCAGGCACTTGAAGACCCTTTTCTCAGGGGACATGACTGTGGTGTCAACCACCTCATCATGCACAAAGGCTTTACCCTGCAGACAACAGCACAAATATGTGACAGCAGCTCAACATTAGTTTGGTATAAATAGCACAACTGGCATCTTAACTCCCAGTGACAAATCACAAAAACAGCTGGCATACCTTGTGCTCAATAAACATGTCTAGAGAGGTTCTAATAATTGAAAATTGTAAGCAGCCTTTTTTATCCAATAGCCAGTCCATCAATAAGTAGAAATTTTGAGTCTGTAAAGGACCTACTTTGTGACTTTTGGCATAATGTATCTTCATGTAGCCCTGGGTGTTGGCAGAAAAATCACAATGTTTACAGATGAACCGCTTTAAAACCTCATGAGTCTCCATGTGTCTCTTTAAGTGGCTGCTCTGTGTTGCCTCATAGGGGCATCTGAAACATCACCACATGCCAGGCCAAAGATATAGATACAGGGTGTAATACTACAATTTTACAAAGTTTAAGTATAGGATGTATCTCTACAATTTCAAAGTTTAGATATAGGATGTATCTCTACAATTTCAAAGTTTAGATATAGGATATAACTAAAAGGAAGTGTTTCTACAATTTCAATAATAAACACCTGTTTAAAACACAAATTCATTTAACAATTTCATCTGCTAGAGATGGAATCTATCAAATCAAGAGAAACACATTTAAAGATGATGAAAGCAAGTCAAACTAGTACTAACTTATCACATTTAAAAAGTCAAGCTAGTACTAACTTGTCACATTTAAAAAGCTTTCCTCCCTTGTGTGACCTAACATGCCAGCGGAGCGCTGTCTTAGACTTGTACTCTTTCCCACATTCTGAACAGGAGAAGGGTTTTTCTGTAGAGTGGCGCAGCATGTGGGCCTACACAACAGAAACATGAGCTCAGTATAACTGTATTCAAATCATTAAAAATAAACATGTCTACAAATAATCAATGGCGTCCATCGTATTCTTTTTACAACTAGCTAGCCCCACCCACAACTAGAACACATTTTATACCTGGAGGTTGTTTTTAGAGCGACAGGCATACGGACATATGGGGCAGGCAAACGGCTTTATGCCTTCATGTATCCATATGTGCTTCTGTAGCTCAGAGTTAGCCCGGATAAACACACGAGGACAATGTGGACATTTGAAAGAACGTCGACCTGTTCAATTTTAGAACCTCAATTAAAACGGAAGTCGACCTGTACAATTTTAGAACCTCAATTAAAAAGGAAAGTTTGTAATTGTTTCAAGCATGAAGCACCAATGAAAATTCTAAAGCTACCCATTTTCCCGAGAGGTTTGTGCCTATAACCAGTGAGCTTTTCTAGAGTTTCTCTGTCCATATCTTTGTGGGTGTTGAGTATATGGGCTCTAAGTTGTTTCATTCTGAAAATAAGTTAATTAAGTTGATCAGGACAAACAAAGATCATGGTAAGAACATTAATTATACCTGTAGTGTCTTATCTGATCAAACTCATGTGAACTACTGGAAGACCAGCCCACCAAACCTGCATGCCACACCCACCAAACTTGTATGACCCACCCACCCACCAAACTTGCATGCCCCACCCACCAAACTTGTGTGACCCACCCACCCACCAAACTTGCGTGCCCCACCCACCAAACTTGTGTGACCCACCCACCCACCAAACTTGCATGCCCCACCCACCAAACTTGTATGACCCACCCACCCACCAAACTTGCATGCCCCACCCACCAAACTTGTGTGACCCACCCACCCACCAAACTTGTGTGACCCACCCACCCACCAAACTTGCGTGCCCCACCCACCAAACTTGTGTGACCCACCCACCAAACTTGCATGCCCCACCCACCAAACTTGTATGACCCACCCACCCACCAAACTTGCGTGCCCCACCCACCAAACTTGTGTGACCCACCCACCAAACTTGCATGCCCCACCCACCAAGCCTGTATGACCCACCCACCAAACTTGTATGCCCCACCCACCAAGCCTGTATGACCCACCCATCAAACTTGTGAGGACACTCAGGACAGGAGAGTCCACTGATGCCCAGGTGCTTGAGCTGATGGTTCCACAGCCTAGCCCGAGTGGGGGCCAGAAAATCACACTCCTTACACTGGAAGGCCACCTTCTCATGCTCTCTCTCTGAATGTTTCTTTAGTTGGTCTTTAGTTGTAGCGCGGAAACTACAGTTGGCACAGGCAAATGGTTTGTCACCTGGTATAGACCAAAACGAAAAATCTTTTTGCATCAAAACAAGACCAAAAATTTATTTACAACTTTTTTTACCATTTGATTTGTTGAACACAAAAAACAAATTAATGAATTTTTAACAAAACTAGACATTCTTTGAGTCTGTATTGTCAGCTGATTATTTATGTTTATTTTCTTGAACAAATTTTCCCTGATAAGCTTCACAATACAAAAGCAGCAAATCTACTAAGCAAGAAACAGCATCCGGTTACCTGTGTGGGTCCGAATGTGAGGCTCATAATCAACTTTACTGTAGAACAGCCGGCCACAAAATTCACACTCCTCCGTGCCAAAAGTTTCTCTCATCTTGTTAAAGATTTGCATGGACATGTTTCTGTATCCCAGCCTCTTGATCAAGGCGTCAATTTTTTCCTCCTTGCTCAGCTCTAATTTTTGACTGGCATCCTCCATTATCTGCTTCCCACTTTCTTCACCAGCAGCTAAAAACATGGAACAGAAAATACTGACAGTTCTAGTCAGCTCAATGATAACAGACCGATAGAATACTAAATTTTTTACATATTATGTTCCATACGATGAATTGAAAAATAAGAAGATATGACAAAAAAACATACCAGTGCTGCCACCATTTGCTGCATCCCCAGAATTGTGTGCAGGATCTAACTCTCCACTGTCCTCTTGAGCTGGACAAGCCAGGTTGTCTAGGGAGTTCTCCTTATCATTGCCATCAAGGTCATCATTGCCATCAAGGTCATCGTTTCCCTCTAGATCAGAGCCTGGGTTCTGCAGCATCAGCAGAGATGGGGACTTGGATTTCTCTTGACCATTGTCTTCCAGGTCTTGTCCCGACCCAAGTGGGCTGATGGTGTCACATGAATCTGTCTTGGTCAGCTCTTCCTTGACACTGTTCTGCTCTTGGATAAACTGCCTGTACTCTGAGACAAAGTCACTCGACTGCTCCTCTAGTGTAGGTGGACTAGAGTCGGACTGAGAAATTCCTATCTGGCTGATGTCAGACTGTGAGAGGCTGTGAGACACCTGGCTAGTCTCTCTTAGTTCTTCTGGCAGGTTCACGTACTTGCTTCCTTCACTTGTTGTGCCCAGAGGCTCAGGTAGGTAGAGGGACCTGGGGTTAGATACACAAACAATCAGCCACGCAGGTACAGAGACATGGGGTTAGATACCAAAACAATCAGCCACGCAGGTACAGGGACATGGGATAAGATTCACAACCAATCAGCCACGCAGGTACAGGGACCTGGGGTTAGATACACAATCAGCCACGCAGGTACAGGGACATGGGGTTAGATACACAAACAATCAGCCACGCAGGTAAAGGGACATGGGGTTAGATACACAATCAGCCACGCAGGTACAGGGACATGGGGTTAGATACACAAACAATCAGCCACGCAGGTAAAGGGACATGGGGTTAGATACACAATCAGCCACGCAGGTAAAGGGACATGGGGTTAGATACACAATCAGCCACACAGGTACAGGGACATGGGGTTAGATACACAATAAGCCACGCAGGTACAGGGACATGGGGTTAGATACACAATAAGCCACGCAGGTACAGGGACCTGGGGTTAGATACACAAACAATCAGCCACGCAGGTACAGGGTGTTAGATACACAAACAATCAGCCAAGCAGGTACATGGGGTTACATACACAAACAATCAGCTGTGTTTTGAATGTCATATGTACATCATTGGCCTTACTACGGAAGTGGATGATGGGTGGTTTGGGTTATGGAGACACTCTAATTGTTCATATAAAGTAGAGTTAAATTAATATGCTGCACTTAAAATGGCATCAAATAAAATTGCCTTTTTTATAAATGCAAGGTGGAATTGATAAGTCTGCAATAAAAAAAAAAATGATACATCTTTGGCAATATGAGATAAATAAAAAATCCTGATGAGCTGAGAAATAAATGGAGCTTTACCTGCTGATACATTCCTCTAGCAGAGACTCAGTAGAAATAGTTGCATCACTGTGTGCAGATGTCAGGTGCTCCATAAGTCTGATTGTACTAAGGAACTAGAATAAAATATCTAACTGTCAAACAAATCAACAAACACTTGTAGATACACACTTGTAACAATAAAGTAAACAAGAGATTAATGGTGAAGTGATGCCTACCCTCTGATCACACACAGCACAGCAGTAGATGACTCGATGTTTTAGGTAGTGTTTGTCAAGGTACACCCGCCTGCTTGCCCAGTAGTCACATAACTCACACTGTCAACAGTTTCAAACATTAGATCATAGTCACACAACTCACACTGTCAACAGTTTCAAACATTAGATCATAGTCACACAACTCACACTGTCAACAGTTTCAAACATTAGATCATAGTCACACAACTCACACTGTCAACAGTTTCAAACATTAGATCATAGTCACACAACTCACACTGTCAACAGTTTCAAACATTAGATCATAGTCACACTGTCAACAGTTTCAAACATTAGATCATAGTCACACAACTCACACTGTCAACAGTTTCAAACATTAGATCATAGTCACACTGTCAACAGTTTCAAACATTAGATCATAGTCACACAACTCACACTGTCAACAGTTTCAAACATTAGATCATAGTCACACAACTCACACTGTCAACAGTTTCAAACATTAGATCATAGTCACACAACTCACACTGTCAATAGTTTCAAACATTAGATCATAGTCACACTGTCAACAGTTTCAAACATTAGATCATAGTTTTTGAATAATGTTGTATTTGTAGCTAAACAGATAATATTATTAGAATAATGTTGTATTTAGCTAAACAGATATTATTTGAATAATGTTGTATCTGTAGCTAAACGTATATTTGATTATGTTGTATCTGCTATCTGTATTTAAACAGTTAGTGTAATTTAATTACTGTTGTATCTTTTACCTCGAGTTAAACAAATGGCATACTTAAACCGTGGTGGAATCGTATAAACAAAAGCAAATAACCTGCTGTACATAGGGCAGATCTTTGATGTCATGAATGAATAAGTGGCGATCACGGTCAACTCTTTTTTTAAACTTTCTGTTACAAATATGACATTGATGGATAACCGTGGTTCCTTTTTGCCCTCGACCCTAAACATGGAGAAATTAATTGTGTTATTAGTTGTGACAATTGGCAGATATGACAGCTAATCCAAAAAAAGGTTAAATAACCCAATGAACAAAACATAACTCAATCACAAGTCACTTCCTGATTACCCCAGCAAGTTCTTAGCAACAGGGGAGATAACTCAATATTTATATCCAGTTTACTTGAGATATGAACTAGGTTAAATTAAAAACAATGTATAGAACATGCTACATTTAAGTTTTGAAGAAAACTTGGCACAAATTACACTTAAAAAATAATATGCTTAAATAAACTGTAATTTTTTAAATGACAAAGGCATATTAAACTTTATGTTGCATGTGCACTTAAATCTTCATATTGTAAGTCCATCTAAAATCTTTATATTGCCAGTTTAAAAAACAAATAGTCATGGTAATCAAAGAGTACTAACCTGTAAAAATGTCTGTAAATATTCTTTTCCTCTTTTATCCGTGTGATACTTGCGTATGTGGTTGATGAGTGATTTCACCGTGGAGTAATCTTTCTGGCACAGCATACACTGTGACCTGCGGTTGTCATGGGTCATCTGGTGCTCAGCCAAGTGACTTTTGTTGACAGTTTTAAACTCACACTGCTCACAGCGATAAAACTGGCCAGTGTGTTTCCTCATGTGTGTGTAGAGGTTACCTGTCAACACAGTGACATGCATTTGACAGAGCAGGTACAAGCTTTATAAAGAACAGGACTAGAGATTTTATAAACTTTTTTATGCTATACAAGTGGGGATGATATGGTTGTATGTTGTATCACATGACTGAATGGTGTATCGCATGACTGAATGGTGTATCACATGAATGAATGGTGTATTGCATGACTGAATTGTGCATCGCATGACTGAATTGTGTATCGCATGACTGAACAGTGTATCACATGACTGAATGGTGTATTGCATGACTGAATGGTGTATCGCATGACTGAATGGTGTATCGCATGACTGAATGGTTTATCACATGACTGAATGGTTTATCACATGACTGAATGGTGTATCACATGAGTGAATGCAGCTGATGTAGCTTACAAGTCAGGGTCAACATAGAGGCTGTTTATACTCCTAAAAGTTAAGAGTGGCGAAATAAAATCAGCTCTCCCTATCTAAACAATCATGAAGACTTTATAGTTACTGGCAAAATAATTAAACTTATACTACACAATAATACATCATATTTACCACCTTATTTTTATTCAGATTAAAAATAGAATGTTTAATTGGTTTCAGATTTGAAAATACCTGTAGATTTTCTTCCCTAAGGTTTCACTTTGAATATACCTGTAGATTTTCTCACCTTTGGAATTGGTTTCATATTCACATTTATTGCACTTGAAAGGCTTGGTGTCCGTGTGTGTAACACAGTGGAAGCGGATGTGGGAGAGGGACTTAAAGACCTTATCACAGATGTTGCATGAGTAGACCGAGAGGGAGGACATGGTGGGCGTGTTGTACACCAGCCCACTCAGTTCGTTCAGCTCCTGCTCTATGATGTGGATACGGAACATGTTGTCTACCTAAATAAGACAACAAACAAGCATGATGTGGATACGGAACATGTTGTCTACCTAAATAAGACAACAAACAAGCAATAACACTATAATAACACTATAATTTTTTTTAAATTCTGAAAAATAAAAAAAAAACTGTTTATTAGAAATTGTGAACAATATACATACTTGGGACAAATCAACATCAATGCAGGATTCAAACTCAGACTTCTCATCCTCAGTTTTAAAAATGGGGACATTTTCCATGGACTCCACGGCCACCTTCAACTGTTTAGCCCCAATGTTTTCCTCACTCACATCAGTATTCAACTGAAATTACAATTGATTGGAGACTTTTCATCTAATAGAAGAATTAGGTTTACTCATAACTTCTTCATTTTGTTATAAACATTAACGAAAATGATTTAATCAAATGTAGATAATTCTATGTGACATTAAAAACAAAAGACCACCTTATAACTAATGCGTTTTCTTTTCTTTCCTCTTCTACTTTTCCAGGGCCATTTTTCTTTGTCAGACTCATCTTTATCCATTTCATCTTCATCTTCTTTCTCATCCTCATGATCATCATCTAGTGGAGCTGTAAAGTCATCTTCATCCTCTTTGGCTCCTGAATCTGGCTCCACAGAATCATCTTCCTCTTCTAGTTAAAGACAAGTTTACAAGAGTGAATGTTTAAAGCTAAAGACAAGTTTACAAGTGTGAATGTTTGAAAAAGACAAGTTTACAAGTGTGAATGTTTGAAATTGTTCACATATTGAACTGTAGTGGAGCAGTACTAACTTGAAACAAAGTAAAATAAAAAACAAAATATTTTTTACCTGAGTCAATTTTGAGGATGTCTTTTTTAGTGATATCAACATATGAAGAAGATGCGAGGCACTTGTGTGTGTTGAAGTGACGTTCTTTGGTAAAAGTTCTTTTACATTGTGGACACACCAATTTCCCGTCTGAACCTACAGTTAAACAACAGTCATATAATTAGGGTAGAAAGACATCTAAGATAATATAAACTATTATTTAGATCAGGAAAACCCCCAAAATTTAAACCAATAAAAACCCCTACAGTTAAACGAAGAAAATCTCTAGTAGTTAAACTCCCAAAAGTTAAACCATTAAAATCTCCAACAGTTAAACCATTAAAAACCCCAGTTAAATCATTAAAAACCCTAGCAGTTAAACCCCCAACAGTTAAACCTCCAACAGTTAAACTATTAAAAACCCCACAGTTAAACCATAAAACCCCCAGCAGTTAAACCAGGGCAACTACCTACTTGTTTCTGGGACTGTTGGTCTAGGTGCAGTGGGAGGTACAGCTTCAATTATTTTTATTTTTCCTTCACCGGTCTTTGAACGTCCAACACGTTTCTCTGAACATTTGAACAAATCATTTTCAATCATTATATTAAATTATGTTGTTCTGAGCGCTTTACTAAACAAACTTCAAAAGTAATTAAAAATATATGATCCAATATGTTGAATTTGTCCCGAAATGTTTTTCTTACTTTTTGGCACTGCAACAATATCTGCATCCTGTTGGTCCAGTCCTCCATGTGTGTCTTTAGCTTGCTGCTCACTGAGTGAGGGATCCGTTTTTACAGTCACGCCAGAAACAGATCTAGGGCGATGAGAAGCGTTAAATTTGAGTTTTAAAGTATCAATATTCAATGTGCTCAAATGATAACACTAACAACACTCAATGTGACAAAATATTGAGACCAACAAATTCTTAATGTGACAAATTTCAAAATATTGAGACCAACAAATTCAAACAGTGACAAAACACTGAGACCAAAAACTCAGATGAAATATTCAGACAAGTAAAATGTGCAAGAGAAACCTGTTGAGAATGATCAAATGTGTGCCCCCAGCAGCAGGGTGGGGCTCCATGTCTCCCTCGTCAATACTGGCTCTCTCCAGCTCGGCTTCCATGTTGACATCATTCAAAAAAGCCAGTGACGCGGCATTGTTCAGTGACGCGGCATTGTTCACTTTCTCATCTGCACGTTCATTAACATTTTAAAATTTTACTAAACATTTATAAACAGTAAATAGACCTAAACTATACTTTTTGATTTTGATGGAAAACTTAATAATTATGTTTTAAACCTGATAAATGTACTCAGATATCTTTTTACTGTCTCCACCTACTGAGCTAAACCTATCAACAGTGTAGGTGATTCCTGTACCTCTCTCTCCCATAGGTTCTGTGGTCAGGCTGGTGATCTGGCCGGAGTGGTCCAGCTGCAGCTTGATGATTTCTGTCCTGTGCTGGCTGGTGGTGACCTTGAGGGGGTCAGTCTGTCCACTGGCACAGCTGCTTTTCTTGTGGTACATGAAGTCATTCAGGTCGGTGAACGTGTCTTGACATGAGCCACAAATAAATGTGTCAAGAGGCATTTTGGTGGTGCTACTCCCAGAACTAGACTTGGCTTATAAACTAAACAGATTCACCTGGAAAAAAATTGCTTTCAAATAAATTTTTGTTTAGACAACAGATTTATACCATTGGCTTGATGAGTGCCCCCCCCCCCCCACATTGGTAAAGCAACACATCAAGTGACACCAGGGTAGAGTAGAACAATTCTCCAGTCAGGACCCCCCCCCCCCCCTAGTTTGTTTCATTTACCATACAAAGCAATGTTTAACCTTATAGAGCTATAAAAAAAATACCTGCCAGTGTTGCTCCAGATGATATGCATTAGGTACTAACTTCAAGCACTAAAATATGGTACAAGGAGGGGATATCTTATTATCACTTTACCAGTGAGATTTCTCTCTTAGCCTGAAATCTGGTACCTACTGCAATGCATTATTATGTGGATCCATCTTTTTGTTGCATTGTGGTCAGTGTCTTCATGTTTCAAAATGAACTGTGGTCAGTTTATGCTTGTTTAGAAGTGTGAAAGCTAACATCTTATCAATTTATTCTCTAGTTTGTACATTACTATAAATTTGCCAACATCAATTAGTTAGGTGACACATGGTGCCCCCTCCCCCACTGACAATTTTGAGTCTTCCTTACCCTGAATGATGCCTAATATTATAACTTTAAAAATAGTATAACTGTAAAAGCTTGTTAGCTAAAAATTCTATACACACATTGTAAAGCTACTGCTTGCCAATGTGTAATTATTTCTCTGGTGCATGGTGTCAATAACACTAGCAAAAAGATAATTATTCAGTTAAAACTATAACTAGAATGAGTTGAGGTTTTCATTACACATCTAGACAACAGTCTACAAATGTTTTTGTGTGTTCACCTTCCTCATACCATACATTTTAAAATACAAAAACCAGACAGAACACAACAAACTGTTGAGACAAATTTTAAAATACAAAAACCACAGACAGAACACAACAAACTGTTGAGACAAATTTTAAAATACAAAAACCAGACAGAACACAACAAACTGTTGAGACAAATTTTAAAATACAAATACCACAGACAGAACACAACAAACTGTTGAGACAAATTTTAAAATACAAAAACCAGACAGAACACAACAAACTGTTGAGACAAATTTTAAAATACAAATACCACAGACAGAACACAACAAACTGTTGAGACAAATTTTAAAATACAAAAACCAGACAGAACATAACAAACTGTTGAGACAAATTTTAAAATACAAATACCACAGACAGGACATAACAAAATGCTGAGACAATTAAAAAAAATGTTCCATAGTTGTAATAGAGTTTATTGAATAGTCCAAGCAAGTAGAAACTTAAATTCAGTTATCACACACCAGGAATATTATCCTGACTGACAATTTAGTGAATCAAACTCTAGGGTAATATAGCATTATAGTTACTTTCAGACCACATAACTATTTACTGTATAAATCTCATAAGGACAAATAAAACTTCATGTATATCCCAGTCTCCAGTAGGACACAGTGATGCTGTAGAGGTAGAGGCCACTTTTGGCTCCAGCTGAGACTCTGGTTTAAAAATTAACTGTAAAATTTATTTTAAATAATTTTGCTGCATCTTCACTTCACATACTTTTTTTAAAGTACCCATTTAAAAAACATTGCAAATCAGTGGAATAGCTTATATATGATATAAAAATACATGAAGAAAAAAAAAACTCCACAAAAATAACACCAACATCTTGGTTTTCTAAAATCAAAAAAATCAAACAACATCAGCACCTAATAATTATTTGCTAAAACTAAAAGTACAGCAAACAAAAAAAAAGTACATATTTAAAAAAAAAATAGTTGTCCGAAAAATTGATTATTTGATTATAACTATATATGTTACATTGAACGAGATAACATTTTGTAACTTCAAACAAACATTAAACATATTTGAGTTGTATTCAAACAAATTAATACAAAAAACTGGTACTTTGCTTAACTTATGATCAAACAAATTAATTCATTCTTGACACTATCACTATCAGTAATGTCATGTCTCTCAATACCCTGGGTATAAGCATTTAATTGTAAAAATAATTACAGTAACAATAAAACCATGTATATTTATACTGGGCTGGAGGTTAGTCTGTTCAACAATGATTTTAATCACATTTTCAGATTACAAAACTCATTGAACATTTTAGGTACCATGACAAAATAAGCTCACACCACAGGGTGCACAACTGAATCACAACAAAATGAGCAAAACTAACTTTTTGTCTTATTGTTCCCATAAGTTATGCCAAATTAACCACTTACATAAAATGGTTTAACATTGGCATTTTGATATTAAAAAATACACGCAGTAATGATACTTTACATGAAGACATGGAGTCTACCACTGGAGTTAGCACCAACAACTGTGCATGTTGTATTGGGGTGAAACACATTCAGACTGCACACAGATCCTAGCCAATTTTCATCTGTAAGTGATCTTAACAGTGTTCCATCAGCATTGAAAACTTCAATTTCTCTGGGACGATTCATTGAGCCAGAAACAAACACACCCTCCACAGTTGGGTGCCAGTTGGGCTGGAATTTGGTCAACCACCGCCCTGTGAAGTTGTTGTGCTTCATCTTAATGCTATGTTGCAGTGTCATGTCTTTGTTAACCGTATAAACCATGATGGTATCATCTGCAGCACAGGACAACACTTTTGTCCCTTGAGGAGAGAAGAAGGCACTGGACACAGCTTTATGGTGGTCATGTAAAGATTGGATAGGCTTTGGTGTTTTTGAACCCATGTAACGCAAGTCCCATAACTGGACAGTGGGGTCAATTCCTGCAGTAATGAAGTAATTGGAGTCAACTGGATTTACACTAACTGAGCGGAGGCTTTTCTTGCTAACTGGGTATTTTGATGCAGAGTGAGGATTTCTAATGTCAAGAAATGTGACATTGCCGCTGAACTGAGACAGCAGCAGCGTATTGGGGGCATCAACAAAATTAAAGTTTCTAAAAAGGTCATCATTTTCTTCAGGAACAGAATATACATCATTGAAAACACCATGCTCAAAGTCGCCACAGCGTAAAGTAGCATCATAACTGCAAGAAAATAATTTGTTGGGTGCTGCTGGGATAACACTCAGATGGCTGACAGGTTTAGAGTGAGGTTTAAATGCTTCAACATGAGCATCGTCAACTGTGTCTTCAGCCGGCACATGCCACAGTCCGATGTGTCCATATTTGTCCCCAGCAAATGCCAATAAAATATCTGGAGATGGATGCCAAGTAAGTGAGAAGACACGGCCAGGTACAACTTTTGCCACTCTGTACTCTGTTGTCTTTATTTTATTCAATCTGGCTACAAATTTTTTTAAATCTACTGATGTTTCTGCTTGTAAAACTGGCTTGATGCCACAAATAAGAGATGAAACAGGATTACAGACTTCATCTGAATCAGTGCCTTTTTTGGAGTACACACAATCTGTCATAGGAATAGGCCCTGGTGGCAAACGTGCATCAAACTGTGAAGTTTCTGTTTTAGGTTCTGGGGATGGCAGTGGAGTGCCTGTTGGATCAATATGTCTGATGCGCAAACTCTTTCGCAGGAGAGTGGGCTCTGGAGGTTCTTTCTTAATTTTCAAGCCTCTTTTAGTTGATTTTAATTGTTTTTGTTTAAGTTGTAGTAGTGATTCTCTTTCTTGCTTTATGCCAAGACTGGCAAAAAAAGCTTGGTTAGCTTTCATGTTCTGTTCTCTTATTTTTAGGTAGTTGAAAGAATCAACATCAACAGCCTGATCTTCAGAACTTGATTGAACATCCAAGTTAACATTTTCTTTGCAGACAATCTGTAGATCTAGTTCTTTTTTGTTACTAGTTAAACTTTTATCAACTTTTGGCAAATAATCCAGTTTGGAATTTAATTTTTGAAGCTTCTTTGGACTTGACATTTTTAATTTAGTATGTGATTCATCTTGAGAGTCATCAACTTCAAGTTTATTATTAATTCTTTTTGATCGCCTCATTGTGGTTATTAATTATTTAATTTATTGATAATAAGAAATTATCACTAGGTCTAGAATCTACTATTTTACACTATTACTATACTAAGCTAAGATTTAAGAACTAGAATCTAGATCTAGATTCTTCGAGTCTAGATCTAGATTTTGATTCTAGTTACTAGATCTACATCTAGATATTCACAGATATTGTAACTAGATCTAGTGGTAGACTATCTTTTCTTGTTCATTTTCTTATACAATAGATTTAAATCTTGAGAACTTAAATGCTTAGGCTTTAGGGAAAACTTTTGTTTACATTAAAACGTTATGACTATGAACATAGGCTAGGCTAGATTAAATCTAGAGCTCCAACGGGAACTACGAATAATAAAACCGCGCCAAAGTTTCGTAGGCTAATGTTTACGAACAGAAATAGAAGTTAAAGTACGAAAATTTCCTCACAACACAGCTCCATCATGAACAGAGCTGTGCACTGAACTTCGTGTTTACGAATTTATTATCACTTTATTTAGCTTATTTTCGTGTTTTATAATGTAAACTGCTAGTATAAATAAAAATAAGCGACATTATAACTCACCACAACAGCGAATTCAATCTTTTCATTATTTTGTTCTACGGCTAGAAAATGGCTGCCAATAATATTTGTTTAACGTCTCGTAAAATCTCTTAACGAATTCGAGATCAAAATAGGCCAAGGAAAATAACAACGAGTAATAATAAAGTTACTTCGTATTATATCCCTTTGAACGCCACCTAATATATTAGGTGGCGTTCAAAAACTTGAATCTAACATCCAAGACTAAAATGCCACCCTCAATCAAAGATTGGCACCCAGGGCCGGCGCTACCTATAAGGCGAACTAGGCGGTCGCCTAGGGCGCTGTCCGTAGGGGGGGGGGCGCCAAAATGGGTTGGAAAAACAAATAGAAAGTTTGAGGGGGGGGGGGTGCAAATCAAAAGCTTGAGGGAAGGGGGGGGGTGCGAATCGAAAGTTTGAGAAAATTGCGGGGGGGGGGGGGGGGAAGGGGCGCTTTTAATAAGTTTTGCCTAGGGCGCTAAATACCCTGGCGCCGGCACTGTTGGCACCAAATCGTGTATTTTACAGCATTTAGTTTTAATATTACGCCAACTGAGAACAAAATCTTTCAGCTAGTGGTATAGTTAGTATAGTACAAATGGTAGGTGCAGTGAGGTTAATACAATAAGTAATAAAACAGATAGTGTTAGTTACCTCACAAGTTAAAGACAGTTACAAATACTATGGACGTTTCGACCCAAGGTCTTCGTCAACACATTATCTGTTTTATTACTAGTTAGTATAGAAGAATATGTGCAAAGGGTGGACTGGCCCGCCGGACTAGCGGGAAAAATCCCTTTGGATTCAGAGTTTCTTCCACATGCATATCTTCGGAGGGGGGGGGGGGGGGGGGCTCGCCCCCCCCCCCCCATCGCCCCCGAATGAAATGGAATTTATATAGAAAACATACTTTCCACAGGAAAATTTAGTCCACCCCCCCCCTGAGAATATCAAGTGCCCCCCCCCCCCCGCCCCGAGGAAAAAAATTCTGGAACAATTTTTGGATCCCCAGGTAAAAAAAACCCACGTGGGCCCATAATGAACAGGGTTGTACGAGGCCTTTAAGTGCTTTGATTAAAAAAAATTGAATTCCCATTAACCACCAGGCTTTGATTGGGAAAATAATACACAATGAAAATCTTAATATGAGGTTCAATATGTGGTGCCTCCTCCCCTACCCGCAAAATATTTATCGCCTCCCATGATTATATATATATATATATATATATATATATATATATATATATATATATATATATATATATATATATATATATAATTAGTAGATTATCTCGCTAAATTGTATATAACTTATCTTATATAAACAATTTAGTAATTTCATTGTAAAGTAGATCCACCGTGTGACAACAATTCACAAACAGATTTTCTCATATCGGGCCTGATAATCGCGTTTGAAAATAATTTTAAATTCGCCTTTATCTCATTACTAGGCATGCTGCCCAGCTTCGCTTAGGCTTTCGAAAACATTGCGAATTTGAATGCTTAATTAATTCGCCCGAGGGTCGGTCTACGACCTCAGGAGTTATGAAGAGGTTCCTCCGTGGACATTTTTTTTCGATTTATAGCTCATATAAGGCGCCGGTCAGTCGAGGTCAGTTTTGACCCCATCATCGTAGACTTTTCAGCCAACCGGCCCCCGTGTTCTGTCGCCCCAAGGCAAGATCCTGCCAAATTTGAAGCGCCTGCGGCGCCGGGAAGTGCCCTATCGGGCACCCGACAACTTTGCTTTATATATTACTAGCCGTCCCGGCCAGGCCCTGCTCTGGCTTCTGTGAAAAACCTTTCTGTTAAAGACCATTACCTGTGTGTTTAGTAATCATCATAAACCCGGCATTGCCCACCCAAACCACAACCAACCAAAACAACAAAACGCAAACATAACGCTAACACAATTACAAATACAAACGAAAACAAAAACCTAACAACAAACCCAACCACAAACACCAATACAAACACAAAGAAAAAACAAACAAAAAAGCAAACGAAAACAAAAACCTAACAACAAACCCAACCACAAACACCAATACCAACAAAAAAAAAACAACGAAAAAGCAAACGAAAACAAACCAAATCCAAACGCAAAACCAACCAAAAACACAAATACAAACCCAAACAAAAAAACACAAACAAAAACGAAAAAAGAAAGAACAAAAACGAACCAAATCAAAACGCAACCACTAACGCAAACCCACCTAAACACAAAGAAAACACTAACGCGAACATAAACGCCCGGGGCGGAATCACCTGTTTTAGCTTAATGAACGACTATAGTACCCCAACTTATTCATAGTCTTTTGCACTCACTTAAACGAACGCGCCTGTTTCAATTTAATGAACAGTTATAATACTCCAAGCTTATCCGTAAAATACCTACAACATTTGCACTTGATCAATCCCCGCTAATTATGTAATTTTTTTTTCCCAACACCAAAACAAAGTAATTAAAAAGTAAATTATTTTCCACAAAATGCAATGGTTTTATAAAGGGAAGTAATTGTGTTTTTCCTAATTTATCAAAGGGAAGTAAGTGCTATAAGACTAAATAAAGACATAATTAGAATTTTTGTAAAAGATGATATTTTTTTAAAACTTGTGTTTAATGAACATGCCGACAATTATTACTATAATTTGAAAAATGAAAATTATTTCCCAACACTTTCAATAGTAATTTTTTAACTCATAAATTTAGAGAAATGCGCACGATAATATTATAACACTTTAATCCATCGAAGACCAACGACAAACATATGCATTACATACAGAACTGAGCTTTATATATTAGATAGAGATTAGCAAATTGCATAGATAAACAAAGATTTCAATAAAGTAATTAAGGCCTGAAATACTTCAGTATAGAAATGTATTATTTGAATAGATTCTAGATATAGGTAGGGTCTACATAAATTTTATGAGTTTAGGCCGGAAAAATTGTATTGTATACATTTCATAGTGTACGTAGATCTAAATCAAATTTGAATGAAATAGTTCATTTCTTTTTATTCTAAACACTGCAGATGACGTCATTAGTTAATGTATAAGCAATAGTGACGTCACAGTTTTATGCGTTCTTTTTCACATCTATTAATGCTTTTCCGGTTGCATAAATAAAATTGTTTTTCTACATTCGAATACGCCTTTATTTTTTATTTTTATTCTTTAAATAAAATTGTGGTTATACATTTAAAACATCTAACATATTATTTTCAACAAAAGTCCGTATAAAGTTCTCCATATATCGCTGCCGTTTCTGACTTGATGTCCGGCGAAAATATTTTGCGGACAGAGAGAGAGAGAGAGAGAAGAGCGCACATGGCGTTTTATAAATTAGGATATGCCCGCCAAAAATTGTGAAAAGATTAACTTCATATCTGGCAAGCCGGTCAAAAGTATTTTAACACGAAGGTTTGATATGGGCTATGGTTTCCTGTTTTTTGTTTTGTTCTTAGGACAAAACTATTTAACTGAGCTTTATGGGCAGAGTTTCTTCCAGGCCCCCCCCCCCCCCCCGAAATTTTTTTACCGCCCCCCCCCCCCCCCCCCCCCCGAACGAAATGAAATTTATATAATTTATATAGAAAATATATACTTTTAACAGTGTCCGCCCCCCCCCCCCCGAAGAAAGTCTACCGCTCCCCCGAAAATTTCAAGTGCCCCCCCCCCCCCCGGAGAAAAAAGTCTGGAAGAAACACTGTTTATGGGCACCCCTATTCGCCTATTTAAAGAGAGCGATAAGTCATGGAAGTGGTCCTATGGTGTGCCTTCACACTAACACTACAGCTTATGTAGTTATTTTGCCTTTTTTTTCTTTTACAAAACCACTAGTGCAAAAAAAAATATTTTGTTGTTAATGGGCAGATTTGGATCCCCTAAACAGCCTCCCCCATTCCGGGATCTGGCAGTATGGTAGATCCACCCTGGTTGGGGGGGGGGGGGGGGGGTCCCTTTTAAAGGTGGGGTAAAGGTGGCGCTAGAGAGGGATCTCGTCAATTTATTCTTGTCCCCACGTATTTCTCCCTTATCCCACGTATTTCTCCCTTATCCCATGAAGATAATTTTGATCCCATTATTTTCTTCCTTCCCTCTCAAATTTCTTCCTTGTTCCTACGAATTTATCTTCAAGGGATTATCAATAATAACGTCACGCTCAGATTGCTATAAACCATCGCAAGTAGCCTGATCATTTTGTCACTGGGAGAATTCAACAGTTCAATATGTAAAAAAAAAGACCAGCCTCCAACCAACGTTGATTCAGGTGCAGACTTACATGTGATCACTTGTGTAGATCCCGTCTTATATTTCAGTTGATTCTTCCATTCCCCATGTCTTATATTTCAGTTGATTCTTCCATTCCCCATGTCTTATATTTCAGTTGATTCTTCCATTCCCCATGTCTTATATTTCAGTTGATTCTTCCATTCCCCATGTCTTATATTTCAGTTGATTCTTCCATTCCCCATGTCTTATATTTCAGTTGATTCTTCCATTCCCCATGTCTTATATTTCAGTTGATTCTTCCATTCCCCATGTCTTATATTTCAGTTGATTCTTCCATTCCCCATGTCTTATATTTCAGTTGATTCTTCCATTCCCCATGTCTTATATTTCAGTTGATTCTTCCATTCCCCATGTCTAATATTTCAGTTGATTCTTCCATTCCCCATGTCTTATATTTCAGTTGATTCTTCCATTCCCCATGTCTTATATTTCAGTTGATTCTTCCATTCCCCATGTCTTATATTTCAGTTGATTCTTCCATTCCCCATGTCTTATATTTCAGTTGATTCTTCCATTCCCCATGTCTTATATTTCAGTTGATTCTTCCATTCCCCATGTCTAATATTTCAGTTGATTCTTCCATTCCCCATGTCTTATATTTCAGTTGATTCTTCCATTCCCCATGTCTTATATTTCAGTTGATTCTTCCATTCCCCATGTCTTATATTTCAGTTGATTCTTCCATTCCCCATGTCTTATATTTCAGTTGATTCTTCCATTCCCCATGTCTTATATTTCAGTTGATTCTTCCATTCCCCATGTCTTATATTTCAGTTGATTCTTCCATTCCCCATGTCTTATATTTCAGTTGATTCTTCCATTCCCCATGTCTAATATTTCAGTTGATTCTTCCATTCCCCATGTCTTATATTTCAGTTGATTCTTCCATTCCCCATGTTCTATATTTCAGTTGATTCTTCCATTCCCCATGTCTAATATTTCAGTTGATTCTTCCATTCCCCATGTCTTATATTTCAGTTGATTCTTCCATTCCCCATGTCTTATATTTCAGTTGATTCTTCCATTCCCCATGTCTTATATTTCAGTTGATTCTTCCATTCCCCATGTCTTATATTTCAGTTGATTCGTCCATTCCCCATGTCTTATATTTCAGTTGATTCTTCCATTCCCCATGTCTAATATTTCAGTTGATTCTTCCATTCCCCATGTCTTATATTTCAGTTGATTCTTCCATTCCCCATGTCTTATATTTCAGTTGATTCGTCCATTCCCCATGTCTTATATTTCAGTTGATTCTTCCATTCCCCATGTCTTATATTTCAGTTGATTCTTCCATTCCCCATGTCTTATATTTCAGTTGATTCTTCCATTCCCCATGTCTTATATTTCAGTTGATTCTTCCATTCCCCATGTCTTATATTTCAGTTGATTCTTCCATTCCCCATGTCTTATATTTCAGTTGATTCTTCCATTCCCCATGTCTAATATTTCAGTTGATTCTTCCATTCGCGTATTACATTAACAAGTTACCAATAACCTCCCCTGACCAAAATTCAAACGACAAAGGTTGAAAGGCAAACAAGTTTGACTTGAATATGATTTTAATGTGATATTTAATGTACAATGTTGACAAGAACATTATCGTTGAGAAATGTATGTTTCATGTACAATAAAAAAGTAATTTTAACCATGTTATAAATTATATACAATAAAAGAAAGTTATCTTATAAGCATCATATAATTCATGTACAATAAAATATCTTTAAGCCATGTACAAAAAAAAAATCTTTTAGGCATGTAATGTTTCAAGTAAACATTTTTTTTACATACCATGTAAGGTCAGGATCAATAAGTAACAACACCTTAGTAGATAAACTCAAATACAAATATTTAAGTGTCAGCCCATTCAAGGGGATTTTAGAACATGTAGGGGATTTGGTTAAACTAAATGGAATTTTAGAAGATTTCATTGACTCACTGATTGAAACTCACTGGGATATTTAATAAAAGATTTAACTCCATAGGATATTCGAAGGTTTAATTGATTCACTGATTAAACTCAAGAGGATTTTAGAAAATTTAATTGATTAATTGAAACTCACTGGGATATTTAGAAGATTTAATTGATTATCTAATTGAAACTCAACAGTTTTAGAAGGTTTAATTGGTTTACAAATAACTAAAATGGCCACAAATAATTCTGGACTGTAACTAGGATGTTACTTTCCCAACAAAAGGCTTCACATAAAGGTATCACATCATTTCATCACTGTTTCTTATTAAATATTTTCTTTGTAAGTAAAACAATACATTTACATTGCTATTTTGATTGTGTAACTAGTTGATAAATAATATTCTTCTTGAGGTTTATGTAGTGACAACGAAAAGGCGAAATAAACAAAAGATAAACTCTCTGAAACCTGAATGGCGTTGGAGTCTTCAACTACAACTTGCTTAGCTTCTATCCATTTGCCAAACAATTTGTTAACATCTAAATGTAAGGGGGACTACTGTTCCTAGTAAATCAACCCTATACAATTACAGTGTTGTGTTAATGCATTATAGTTTGATGCTGCTTTAGGACCATCAAAAATATTTTAAAATTAAAACGTTTTGTCACTAGCAAGAAGATAACACATGTACCCTGTATATAGTCTTAACAGTACATTACTAGAGAGAACACCCCAAGACACGTGCATACAAGACACGTGCATACAAGCAAAGATTGAGTGAACAATTCAGACCAGTTATTGAAAAGTAAACTGGGGGTCAAGTTGCATTACATGTTGGTCTACATGTATGGATGGATGTCATTAATCAGCATGCTATGTACAAACAGAAAAACTTTCACAAACAGGAAAAATCATTCTACCGGTAGATTTAGCTGGAAGCACTAGCACAAAATGGAGGCCCAGCACAAAATGGAAGCACTAGCACAAAATGGAAGCCCACAAGTAACTATCTAAATATTTACATGCATCATCTCAAGCCACTGGGTTGGCTTGTAACACTATGATGTTTGTTTTAAATGGGTTGACTTGTAACACTATGACGTTTGTTTTAAATGGGTTAGCTTGTTACACCATGATCTCTGTTTTAATTAATCCTCCTGGGAGAGTGAAGCTAAGACTAATGTCAGTAGGACATGTCCTGGTTGTGTTTATAGGACATGTCCTGCTCATGTCAACTAAATCACTTGCTGGTGTCATTAGCAAGAGGATGTTCACACAACATCCCTGTTTCCAGCTACTAGGATACAACGAGACAAGTCTAAGCTAACCTTTGCTGACAACCTATTTCTGGGGGTTTTATACATGCTTCAGACAACTATTGTGCTTGAGAAATTATTTGTGACCCTAAATATAAACATAGGCTTATAGCAATGTCATCACAACCTTAAAACAGTCCACAAATGGAAGATAGAATGCTGCAATATTGTGCGTGTTATACCATTTAAGCCAACACAATTGTGTTTGTGTACCACATTAACCCAACACAATTGTGTTTGTGTAGCACATTAACCCAACACAATTGTGTTTGTGTAGCACATTAACCCAACACAATTGTACCAGATAACCCATGTTGTGTTTGTTTCCCTGTGTAAACTGTGCAGTACAGTGGCAAGTTTAAGTCAACAAAAAGATGCAAAGAAAGAAAACAACTTAGGCACTCGACGTTTTCTACACAAATTGCAAGTTTTGGTAGTTCTTCCATGTACATGTGTGTAAAAAAAACATGTAAAAATTTTGATTGAATGTTCAACAGGCATGTTCTAAAAAACTTGTTCTAATACTGATAGTCTGTACAGCAAAGCGTTTTATTTAACAAGGTGTGAAAGTAAGGGGGGGGGGGGAAGAGTGGTCTCCCAAAAACAATTATGAGGGTATTAATCTTAATCCCCACACTTAATAACCCATGATTAAAACAATTTTAACAAACACTGAAAGCTTTGAGGTTAGTCCTGTAACACCAAGAAATGTACAATTTGCACTTGAGAATATAAAATAGTTTAAGTCAGTCTAGGGCTTTTAAAAACAAAAATAAACAATATGTACATGTTATTTTTACAAGCCCAGAGTGATGGCTTTACAAATGTTGCTGGAGTTTAAATCTAAGGATGGCATGTCCTCTCTGGGTGGAAACCATTATGCACACTTGATAGTGCTTGAGCAGAAGGGATGTTAAGAGTTATAGTTAACTAACTTGGGAATGTATTGACTCTGAGAACATTGTTTGAGCACGCTACTAGATTCATCTGCTTTATTATGGTTAGCCTTCAGATCCTAACTCTTATGGCATGTTAGAGTAAACAAAGTCAATGAAAGAAGATTAGGTAGTAACTTATTAGTTAAGGTAAACGTTAATCCTAGTTGAGTCCTAGAAGTGTTCTTATCAAATCCAACTGTACAAGATGTTTCTCTGATAGATTTTGATGTTGATGTTGTTGCTAGGCAACCATGGCTATTGTTTGGCTGCCTGTGTGATGACAAACTTGAGCTCGTGAGCTGCATGGGAAACTGCGATGACACGGTCCACCATTTCCTGGATGGCGGGAGGGGATGGGTACAACAGGGCGGCCGCCTTGGTGGCCGTGACCGAGGCCTTGAGGCAGTCACACAAGTGGTTGGCGCAGTGCATGATGCGGGCACTCACGTTGTTGCTGATCAGGTTGCGGTGGATGCTGTCACCGATGTGCACTAGTTTATGGGCGGAGACGATGACAAACTTGCTGTGGGATATAAAGACGTTGGGCGGCTGGTTGCTGCTGACGACGCCGATGAAGGCGTCAACAGCGTTCCCCAGCAGGGTGGAATGAGAGTTCATCTGCTCAGTGTAGTACACCAGGACTTGCCGGTCGTTGGGGTCCAACGGCTCAGGGCAGTTTAATCCTCCTTCTACAGCCGCGGATGGAATAATAAAGTTGGATCCTTGTGAGAGAGAGTTGTTGACATTGACGGGCGTCTTCATGTCTTCTGAGAACTCGGTAACTGCACCATCCTCTGAGTTGTCATGGCTACTCTCCTCGGCTGCTACACCAACATTACTTTCTGTCTTAGCCACATCTCCCGTTTCTGTTTTACATAGATTAGCTTCAGCGGCAGTTTCTTTGACAGGAATCATATCCACGCCATTATCGTCCAGACTCAAGTCCCTGACACCACTTGTGATACTCCCAGTCTCCAGCTTTGATTTGGCCGTGTTGTTGCCGTTAGTTTGAGCTTCATCCCTGCCACCCCCCTTCTTGTTGTCTGGCTCCGTGACACTGTTGCTGCTCAGAGATCGTGTCAGCGTGTCCCTGTTGTCCAGCTGGACGTAGTCGTACTCCTGACCAACGTGTCCACCGCTGCCCGCGCTGTCTGAGGGCAGCTCGCCACACTCGGCGTAGTCGTCCTGATGTAGCGCGGCTTTAATGTCGTACAGAGAAACTTTGCTTTTCTTGGACAGCGTCGGCGCAGCAGTGGCTGGCGGTGTTGGCGGTGGGAGGCTGCCCGGCACGGCAGGAAGTGGACGGTGCTGGATGCCTTTCTGTTTACCAAAACCGTAGCCCGGAACTTTGGCGCCGTTGCTCTCACCAGCTTTGGGAACAATGGGTGGTTTGGACGCCACAGATTTCTTGCCGTCACCACTGGTAGCTTTCCTGAACAGGAAGACGCTCTGGCTCTGTATGAACGACGCCACTTTCTTCACCTCGGGCAGGATCTCCTTAGACACGAGCGCTATCTGCCCCAGGTCGTCAGGCTTGTTTTTGTCTAGCGGCTCGCACAGCAGCGACACCTGCCACTTCATGTCCTCCAGACTGGTGAACGACTTTTGAACAAAGTCCAGCGTGTTTTGGAGTGGGGATATGTACTTCTGTAATCTGCTTGCTAAATTCCTATCGGGAATTCGAAGTGCGTTAGCAACAGTCCCGTGAGCAAACTCGACGAAATCACTCAAAGAATTCCTCACGAGGGAACAAGACACTTTGATGTCGTACAACGTTTTCTCAAGGCTGGACCGGCTTCTCCACGTGGTGTTCACAAAACCGGTCAGCCGGCTGGTTGCCTTGGTAACGTCCTGCTGCTTCTTGGTCAGCTGCTCTAGCGCCGAGTCCAAGTCCAGCAGCAGTTCGTCCCACAGAGGCGCGTCGTTGAGCTGCTGGTCAGCGTCCAGGCTGGAGGAGGAAAACCTCTGGTTCTCGTCTGAAGAGTCGGACCTCATCGAGATGACCGAGTCTCTCATGACTTGAGGAGGAATGTCATACACGCCCGAGGTTTCGTTCAGCGCCGTGGCCGAGCTGTACCCAGCGTAGCCGCTCAGTTTCTTCAGAGTTACCTTAGGGGCGTTGTTGGTCGGAGTATCGTAAAGGTCATCCAGTGCGTGCTCCAGACTGCGGCTGCGCTTGATGTCCCTTGGAGATGGCGTAGATTTGCAGTCAAACGAGGACTGTGAGCTCCTGAGGCCGTCTGAGGGCGTCAGCGTGTTGGAGTTGATGGAGGATGGCCTTGACTTGACTGGACTGTCGTAGAAGCCGAGGCCCGAGTCCATGGACAGTTGTTTGCGTGACTTGTCTGCCTCTTGAGCAGACGGCGGTATATCATAGGTCTCTAGCGGCAGGTCCATGCTTGACCGAGCAGAGTCTGGGAGGCTGGTGGTCTGGGAGAACCTGGCACTACTCACACCGGAAGTGTTGGACAGCAAGGATTCGCTGGAGGCGGCTGAATGAAGACTAGACTGGGAGGCGGGGCTAGCGTGAGATAGTGTGTAGTTGCGTGCAGGGGGCGTGTCGTACGTTGGTTCGTTTAAGTTCTCGGTGGAGTGTGTTGGTGAGATGGACTCGTATATCGGCGGGCCCTCCTCGGACAAGATCCTCTCTAGAGATGACCTGTTACTCCCAGGCGGGGTCTCGTAACACGTGTCACTCGAGTTAGAGTGTCGGCGCTTGACGAGACCGGGCAGGCTCAGGGCGCTGTTGTTGAGGGGGGTCTGGCCCGGGCTCGACAGGAGGTTGGAGCCCGAGTCTCTCAGGGCGCTGTTGTTGAGGGGGGTCTGGCCCGGGCTCGACAGGAGGTTGGAGCCCGAGTCTCTCGAGGCCGAGGATCTGTTGCTGTGGGGTGGCGTGCGTTCAGTCGAGGCCCTCTTACTGCTGGGTGGGGTGTCGTATATCCCACAGGCGGTCTCCGCGGAGCCTCGCTTGCTGCTAGGTGGTGTATCGTACAGGTCGTCCCCCAGAGAAGCTTTCCTCGGGCCAGCGGAGAACTTGTCGTGGGAAGCTCTCCGTGCTGACCCTGCGTCCAGTGAACCTCTGTGGGAGGGCGGGACGTCGTAGTCTTGCAAGCTTCGATTGGGTTGGTCATAGAGCTCCATGCCGCTCTGGGGATGAAATAAAGATCAGTGTTATACATAGACTGGTATACTTATTTAAATAAAGATCAGTGTTATACATAGACTGGTATACTTATTTAAATAAAGATCAGTGTTATACATAGACTGGTATACTTATTTAAATAAAGATCAGTGTTATACATAGACTGGTATACTTGTTTAAATAAAGATCAGTGTTATACATAGAATAGCATAATTGTTTAAATAAAGATCAGTGTTATACATAGACTGGTACACTTGTTTAAATAAAGATCAGTGTTATACATAGAATAGCATAATTGTTTAAATAAAGATCAGTGTTATACATAGACTGGTATACTTGTTTAAATAAAGAATACAATGTTGAACGCCACATGCTTTAATTATTTGTTTAATTAAAGAACAGTTTCAACACATCGTACAGTTAAATTTGTTTAAATAAACAACGCAGCGTTTAAATTCTCCCCCCCCCCACACACACACAAGCCCATCCTTAAGATAGTATTGCGCATTATTTTACTTGGTGTGTTTGATTGAAGTGGTTTTTACATTTCATATTACCCCACTAAATGATCTACTTCTATTGACGCTTCAGGCTAGGCCCATTGAAGTGAAGAAAGTTGGAGCGGCTCATGGCTTGCTATGTACGGCCTGCATCTTCCCAGCAAACTTTGATTCGGGCTGCAGTCAAACGTTTTGATGGTCTCACCCCCCCCCCCCTCTCGTGCAGACCTAGGTGAGTGTTAGCTCACCGTAAAAGATCGGTATATTTTTATCTGGTCGCTTTTTTAATCTCCCGCACTATTTCTATTTTTAGCATCCAGCACTCAGCGCTCAGATAGCGTAGACGCGCTGCAACACTTGGCGCCTGTAAACACGTGCACGGTCGTCAGGACTTGAAATCATAAAATCTTGCCGCATCATCCGCTTACACGTCAGCAGCAGCACCATGTACACGCACAGCTAGAGAACAAGAACCGCATTAAATAGCAATCACCCTCAACAACTTTTGATTGAAGTCAATGCAGCTCCATCGCATTCTTTTCACTGTCAATTTAGCTCAAGGCTCCAATAACAAAGGCCAGTTTCACTGACAAGTTAGCTTAACATGTTTTGTACTGCTAGTTCTCGCAAGTGTGAAGTTTACAGCCGTGAGACGACACATAAAGTGCCCGCCATCTTGTCCATACGATGCAACCTTTGACCTAGCACTAGAACGTACTACACTCAGCGAGCTCTGTTGCCAGTGTGTAATGTCTATAAAATAAGACAGTAGCAAAACACAAACATGTTGCCAGTGTGTAACGTCACTAAAATATGACAGCAGCAAAACACAAACATGTTGCCAGTGTGGTCAAACATAACCGTTGTCAAAAGTGTGGCAAAACACGAACTCTGTCGCTTCACCAAATACACAGGCAGTTTTATCTTTAGACACCAGAGTTCCCACGTCCTAAAGCCTGGAGACTCTAGCGTCTTCTCCAGTGTGTTGTGACGATATTTACTTGTACAAACCCATCTAGTGCAGTTATTTTTTTGTGTTCATAAACTTTCGAATCTAGACAACTATCGCATCAAAACAAGGTTCTCTTACTATATGGCTGAGTGAAGCTAGGTAGCAACAAATGTAGTACAAGTCTAAGTAGCAACTAATGTAGAACAAATCTAAGCTAGCTTGGCAGCAACCAATGTAGCACAAGTCTAAGTAGCAACAAATGTAGCACAAGTCTAAGCTAGCTGGGTAGCAACAAATGTAGCACAAGTCTAAGCTAGCTAGGCAGCAACCAATGTAGCACAAATCTAAGTAGCAACAAATGTAACACAAGTGTAAGTAGCAACAAATGTAGCACAAGCACCAGTACAGGTTGAGGATGTAAGTACTGTCTGTAGCTGATCTAAAAATAGCAGGTTGCGCACCGAAGTGTAAGTTGTAGACAGCGTGTCAACACAGTTGTACCCGTCTTATCTGGTGTATCCTAGTGAGCCCGACAACGCCGACATTCCGCCCTAATCTCTGGCACTAAATATTCTAGCGCCACTGACGCCGAATGCTGTCTTTAAAAAGTGAGCGGGACAGAAATTCGCGAAATGTTTGTTTTTTAGCCGGACCAGCGGTGGACCAGTCTCTAGCAACTCGCGTTTCTCGGCTGGTAATGTGAGCACTAGGCGTGCTAGCCCATTCATGGGGGGAGTGCAGGACGCCCATTCATGGGGGAGTGCAGGACCCCCATTCATCATTGTAGGGCATCAAACAAGCCGTTGATTCATTCAGCACTAGGTGCGTACTCAGCATTATCTTTATCATCTCCCATAGCCTCTCGATGTTTATATGAATGGAAATTGTTTATTCCGTGCACAACGGCGGCGTCAGAAAGAAATTATCGCGAGCGGAATATCAAACTACCGCAAGTACAAGCCGTGTTAATTTTGTCGTGCGCACATAAAAGTGTATCAAAATGGGAGACATATGAGGCGAGGTATGATGTAAGCCATACAATGTTTCTTTAAACTTGTCTGAACCTGTATGTGCGATTGTATGTGAGCCGGCGAACTGTTCTATTTGTGTACGTTTTGTAGGAGTGATTTTCTGAAGGTCGAGAAAATACACGCCCCACCCACAAGTAGCCACGCCCATATCAAGATGGAGTCCTCATCTAAGTAGGGGGGGGGAGCAATGTTGGTGGTGAGGTGTGAACGAAGTCTGTTGGCTGAAAATGATTTCAGTATTAGAGGGGGAAAACCGCCTATACATTTGATGTATAACTTTGTTGGACCAATCTATAGATTTGCTGCATGTTGTTTTTGTATCTCTATCAAGTTATTGCAGATAAGCTGTAGGCCTCTAACTAAATCAAGACGCTGTTGGGATGTACAGCGACAAAAAGGGTGAGTCTGGGTCAGCTTTGGATTATTGTATCACAGCTACTTCATCCTCGCTAGTTAACGCTCAAGTAATTATATTCGACATTCCCTCGTACAAACAAATTTCAAGTGACGACTGTAAACACTCCCCCCCCCTCCCACAACCCAAGAACAAACTTAATTAAGACAAGTCATCGGATTTGCTACCCAATTGTTCAATCACCCTCTCCCCACCTCCCCTCACATCAACTGTGACGCTCCAGCTAATTATTCCACGAGGAATGACGCAAACAAATGGCGCCCATTGCTGAACGTGGTGGGTGACGCATCGCATCCTAAATGAGTTATGGGTAACGCTTGCACCAGCGGAAGGACGTCATTTGGGCAGTATATGTTTCACGACTGTTGTGCCATTTCTATATATGTTCATGACGTGGTATTAGGTGGCTGTTGTACCATTTCTGTATATGTTCATGACGTGGTATTAGGCGGCTGTTGTGCCATTTCTGTATATGTTTCATGACGTGGTATTAGGCGACGGTAAAGCCATTTCTTCTAGCTACACGGAAGTGATTTATTTATTTCTATAACAGGAAATAAGAGAACCTGTGTATGTTGTAATAAATATCAAATGCATATTAATAGCGGCAAGCGATTACCCCATCCATTATTCTTCACGATCCCATTAACCTAGGCTGCTATCTAGGTCACCGTCTATTTATTTATCCAGCCTGTCATTCCCGAACTAATCGTGACGTAGGCAGCCCATATCCCTAATCCTATTATCCCCTAGTTCTCCCCACACTAATGCCCGATGACGTGATCAATCGAGCCTTAAAGCTGTGGAGATGAAAATCTCGGCGTCCTTGTACGACCAATCAACGGTAATCTGACGTCATCATTGGCTCAATGGCAGACAACGGCAGGGGGATCACGGCGGCTAGCTGAGGGGGGGGGGGGTCATGCCGGCTAGCTGAGGGGGGATCACGGCGGCTAGCTGAGGGGAGATCACGCCGGCTAGCTGAGGGGGACTTTAAAATGTGAGGAGCTTATGGGCTGTAGGACATGGGGACTAAAATGTCTTTTCAGCCTACATTGACAAGTATAGACAAGTGTCCAGTCTTGACATTGTACCGTATAGACAGGTGTCCAGTCTTGATATTGTACCGTATAGACAGGTGTCCAGTCTTGATATTGTACCGTATAGACAGGTGTCCAGTCTTGATATTGTACCGTATAGACAGGTGTCCAGTCTTGATATTGTACCGTATAGACAGGTGTCCAGTCTTGATATTGTACCGTATAGACAGGTGTCCAGTCTTGATATTGTACCGTATAGACAGGTGTCCAGTCTTGATATTGTACCGTATAGACAGGTGGCCAGTCTTGACATTGTACCGTATAGACAGGTGTCCAGTCTTGATATTGTACCGTATAGACAGGTGTCCAGTCTTGATATTGTACCGTATAGACAGGTGTCCAGTCTTGACATTGTACCGTATAGACAGGTGGCCAGTCTTGACATTGTACCGTATAGACAGGTGTCCAGTCTTGATATTGTACCGTATAGACAGGTGTCCAGTCTTGATATTGTACCGTATAGACAGGTGTCCAGTCTTGACATTGTACCGTATAGACAGGTGTCCAGTCTTGATATTGTACCGTATAGACAGGTGGCCAGTCTTGATATTGTACCGTATAGACAGGTGGCCAGTCTTGACATTGTACCGTATAGACAGGTGTCCAGTCTTGATATTGTACCGTATAGACAGGTGTCCAGTCTTGACATTGTACCGTATAGACAGGTGTCCAGTCTTGACATTGTACCGTATAGACAGGTGTCCAGTCTTGATATTGTACCGTATAGACAGGTGTCCAGTCTTGATATTGTACCGTATAGACAGGTGGCCAGTCTTGACATTGTACCGTATAGACAGGTGTCCAGTCTTGATATTGTACCGTATAGACAGGTGTCCAGTCTTGATATTGTACCGTATAGACAGGTGGCCAGTCTTGACATTGTACCGTATAGACAGGTGTCCAGTCTTGATATTGTACCGTATAGACAGGTGTCCAGTCTTGATATTGTACCGTATAGACAGGTGTCCAGTCTTGATATTGTACCGTATAGACAGGTGTCCAGTCTT